ATTGGATATATTTATAGTCAGTTTGAACGCAAGGCAATATAATATTATGAAAATGACTTTTTAGCATAAGTAAGTTAATAATCGTCAATTCCTTTTATACTAATAATCATTCATTATGATCCTTTGACGATTTTTGCATATTTCTGTGTATTTATTGTAATGTTAAGCACATTTGTAATTGTTTTATTTCAAATCCTTTTAAAAGTAATATCTTGATAATATAATTATAGTCCTTACCCTCATCATCACCTATTAATAAATTTGTTAAATTTTATTTTCAGAACTTTTAATGGTTTTTTTTGACTCCTTTTAATGAATGCATGATAGGTGTGATTACATGTGGAAAATAATCATATTTAATATAGCATTCAGTAATAGAACCATCAGAATGTTTATAACAAATATCTCCTCATTATGTGATTATTAGCTTCTTAGGTGTTATTTTGGTTTCATTATCAGGAATAGTATCTGTTTATTATTTTAGAAACTATGATTTTTTGTAAGCAGGATTATTAAGAAAGTTTTCACATATAAATTTTATAACTATATTTTTACACTAACTTTTAATTATTTTATCATTTTGGAAATAAATGTATTAAAATGAATATGTAATTGTGTATTCATGTTATTTCTTAATAATGTTTTGTTTATTATTTGATGTATTTACATAATTACCATTTGGATTCACTACTGAAACTATATTTTATTCATAAATTTTAATAACTTCAATCTTTTTTGGAGCATTAATATCATATTGGATGTTTTCAAAATCTGATGATGGAGTTATTTTCTTAACTAGCTGTATAATTATCCCAGTATATATAAATTTTAATATTAGTTAATATTTACTTTGAACTAAGCCTATTTTTAGAATCAATTTGATGAAGAGAGTTTAAGATTTTGCTCAAATATTGGATAAACCCTGAATGAGTTTACTTTGGAATATTTTGTATTAATTTCTCATCCAATTACTATGACTAAGCAAAGTTATTTTAAATTTATTAGATATTTAAATATTCATTGTTAAACCTGCAATGACATAAATTGTCCTTGTAAAAAATAATTGAGAACCTTTATTACATCAAATTAGACTTTAGATTGTGAACCTCTTTATGTTTGGGTGCAATATCAATTTTAGAAATTAATAAAATTGTCTATGAATAAGGAATGTCCTGATGGGATTTTTGAATAATTAACAATCAAGTTTGTCACATTCTTAAAAAAATATCGAAGTAATTAATATTTGTCTTTTAAAAATATCTAAGATGTTGTTATAAGCTATAAAATATAATAAAAGAATTAGACTAATTCTTTATAATTTTTCATTCATTTAACTAGATAAATTTAATTGAATAGTAAATTAGACATTGAATAATAAAATCGAAACCAACATTTACTAAGTAAAAATGAATATAAATCTTTAAATGATTTAAATTTATTTTTATTTTATGAAATTTAAATTATGTAGAATATCATGATGGCTCTTTATTTATAAAAAGAATTATGGACATGTTATACTAATGGAAATATAAAAAACTATGATGATTTGATGGTTTAATTAAAAAAGATTTCAATATAAGATTCAATTGTCCAAAAGGATTATAATTATTTCAATTCTTAAAGAGAAGATTATAAATATGAAAATATTTTAATTATAAGATTGTAATTATTAATTTCAATGGTTTGTTTAGATGATTTAAATAAATAACTGTCTCTTGCTAAAAAATTATAGCTTATGTAATAAGAATAATTAGCTTAATCATCTCATTAATTTCATATTTTAAATTATATAAATGGTGTAGCTATTACTATTTAATAATTAGTATCATTTGAAGAATATGATATTAAAAATATTTCAATAAAAGATAATTGTAAAAAGTTTTTTGGATATGAAAATTCAGATGATACACCTAAATTAAAATATTTGATTCCTAATAAAATTAGATCAATTCATAAAGGACTTATTGATAGATTTTTGTTTTTTGGACATAGTTCTAAAATTTATTCTAGTTAAGATACCTTCATTGTAAATAAGAATTAATTCCTTGAAAAAGTATCTATGAGTTTAACAGTGTTGTTTCCAAATTAAGGTAATGATTACTATTTTTATGTATTTGCACATTTATTAAAGAAATCAGGGTCTCAAAAGAATAATTAAATTATGAATCAATAAGGATATATTTTGATTGATAAGAATTTCAACATTTTTGGTATGAGTCAAAGTATTTAAAACAAAATTAATTAATTTTCTTAAAATTAAATCAATTTTTGTGAAATTTATGATAAATTATCAATATTTTACATTTTTCCAGAACTCTTAGTAAAATTACAGGAACATTTTACTGATAAATAAATAAGAAATATAAGATAATAAGATGAAGAAGTAATAATTCAAAAAAATACAATGAATTTTGTTTTACCTAACTATGACATAATAATAAATGCTTCAAATTAAAAAATAAAAAATAATAAGATTGATTTTGATATTAAAAATAGACATATATTAAACGATCTTATAGAATTTGAGAAACAGTTTACTGAATATTAAAATACATCTTATTATTTTCAAGTAGAATTTACAATGATTTCCAAAATATTAAATCCTTTAATTGATGGTATATAGAAAGATTTCCTTTACTTTTTAGTAGATATTCAGTTTGAGAATGATTAAAAATCAAGTAAATGCACATTTTAAAGACTTCCATCTGAATCAGATGAAAATCAATAAAAGAATACTTCACAATAAAAGATCCATAATTAAACATAAAATTAAACATAATTAGTAATTTAATCATTTGAATCCGAGAATCGAGAGTTTCTAAGCTATAAGTAAATTAGAGCATCATCTACTACTTCAGAAAAGAGAAGTAGCAATAATTTAAATTTTTAAATCACTTTTCTTCGATAAATGATAACTAATTCTATATTGCCGAATCAAATTTCAAATTTATAGTCCTTTTTTTTATTATAAATTATATTAATAATTGGTATAATTATATCATTATTAATATTTTTTGATAGAAAATCCTCTATGTAATCAGATTGCATTAAAATTATCACTTTAGATTTAGATTTTCTTGATGCATATTCACAAATAATGAGTGGATCTAGACATTTAATATATTATAGGGATTTTTATACATAAATGAATGACTCCACTTTATTAATTGATAATAAAGTCTTAAATTTTAGCAAATACAATAGATTATATATTGCTTGGAATCACTTAAATCTTGGATTGAATAGATTAATAAGCATATATGAATAAAATAGTAAAGTCTTTTAATAAAAATCAGAAGAATCTATAAATATTTATATTATTAATGGTAATCTTTAGAATAAAATAATTTAACCAGTTTCTGAATTAACTACTTATTTTTAAATAATGTTTTAAATTTTCTACTTATCTTAACAAACTTAAAGTTAAAATATTTCAAATTATTTATCAGATTCAATAGACTCTTACTCAACCTAAATCAGTAGATCTTTGGTATACTATAATTATTTTGATGTTGTTAAGATTTTCCAAATGAAAATTGATTCTTGTAAAAATTACAATAATTATATAAATGAATATTTAGACTCTATTTCAAATTATGTATTTGTTGGCTTCTACATTATTGCTATTTTAATTGCCCTCTCATAATTGATATTCAACTATAAAGTAAATAAATAAATAAAATTCAATTTTGATATATTCGTCAAATGTGATTCTTCAGATGGAAATTTATTTATAAGAAAAAATGATTAGTTGAAACATATTTTAACAAGTAAATCAGTTCTATTAAGAAAATAAAGTTTCATGAGACTTCTAGAAAAACCTTTTGCTGATTATGATCAAATAAAGGTTTAAAATCAAAATTCAATGTCAGCAATAGTAAAAACTTTCAATTCTTAAGATAAACATATAGTAATAAAGAATCATCTTTCAAAGTTTAATTAAATAGTCACTTTGACTTTTATTTGTGTAATAGGACTGAGTTATGGAATGGGATTTCAAATATATTATAATATCATTTCAAATAATGTATAGCCTTATAATGAAGAAGCTATAGATTCTTAATAGCTTCGATTAACTTCAATCACAACAATTAACAAATATGATTAGTATTTAATTAAGACTTTATTTGAGTCTTATTATAATTTAGCATTAAATGATTCTTCATTTATTGTAACTGAAAATATACTATCTGATCATTTAATACTAAATTAATTAGAATTTAATACTACTCTCTTAAGTTAAGAAATTACAGAATTTTAACATTTGAATTTTACAAATTTTCTATTTAATTCTAAAACTTTTAAAACTATAAGTAAAAATGAATAAAATGAAATTTTATTACATGATACTTGTGTTTTAACTGGTTGTGATATGTATTCTGAATTGCTTAAACAAAGAATGTTTAATGAAATCTTAAATCCATTTTTTTATTAAGGAATAGTTAACCTACACTATATATTGTCTTAAATATATTATGAAATTGATATAAGTTTATAATATCCATAAAGTAATTTAGATAGATTTAAGAAAATTCAAAATTTTTTTAATGAACATAATTATATGATTTATATAATGTGGGGACTTGATGCAATTTAATTTTAAATTGGTTAATTTTGTTAATATTTTGTGAATGTTTCTTTGGATGCAATATTCAATTTAACCATAAACTCTTAATAGAGCATTATTATTTTTGGTCTCGTAACAATATTTGCTATAATAATTCTATAATTGCTATTTATTTATTACTAAATTTAAAGATATCACTTATCGAAATCACTTTTGAAATTAATTCCTCTCGAGATAATTTTCAAGAAAAACTTATACAAATAATTAGTACTTCATGAAAAAAGAAGTCGAGTTGATTTAACATTTTAATTTTGAAAATTGCATGAGTACATTACTATATAAATGCTTAATTTTAATAAGTTATTTTTTTATCAAATATTTATGATGTTTAATTTATTAATTACAATTATTATTAAACCTAAATAAATAAAATATGAGTTCTTAAAAGATTACAGACTATAAAATACTTTAGGTAATAACCAAAAAATCAAAAGGAAATGAGAAAACAATAAAAAAAGGAAATGAAAGTAACTCATCATATGTCCCGATGAGAAGTGTTAAACTCATACCTCCTCAACAACCTTAAGATAATTAATAAAATGATTTAACAATAATTCCTGAAGACATCAGAGCATGTTATGAAGTTGCTCCAATAAGTGTAAGTGATGAAAGAAAACAAGCCTTAATAGGAGATTTCAAATAAGAAATTTGTTTCTCAACATAAGACCCTAAATTATTAAAAAGAGCAAATACAGAAATCAATTTTAATGATATATCCCTTTGCTTTTTATAATCAATTAAGTTTTTCAAATAAGAAAAAACTAGCAAGAATTTAGGTAAACTCACTAACAAATTACTATAGGATAAAAACAAAGGAAATTAAATAAACATTTCATATTAAGTAGGAAAGAATTTCAAAATTATGAATTATTTCATCTATCTTTTTTACATTAACAACATTTCCATTTTGCTTTTGAATTCCATGTTTTGCTTACATTAAAATCAAATTAATAGTTTATTTATACAAATTTTGTAATTGATTATCTTAACAATAAATTGCATTCATAATTGTACAAAATATAAAGAAGATATTTATGATAAATTGTAAATCAACAAATAAAAATACTTACATAATATTATAATCAATATCTTTCAAATTATATTCATAGTTTTACTGACATTAATAATATAATTTTAGGTTTATTAAGAATTATTGATTGTATGTTTGATATTACTTAATATAATAACAATTCAGCAAATGAGTTAAATTTAATATATGTGGGAATATGAAAATATTATTAAACTCATCTTATTGGCATTTTAATAATGTCACCTATTTTGTTGTGTTTATCTCCTTTTAACAACTGAAGATTTTGCATCTCTTAATTTTAATGAATAATTCCATTAATACTTAACTATTTACTTATAATTCTTTAGTTATTTAGTTGGCATTGATCTTTCATATTAAAATATTGAATCGAGAATTGAAATATTAGTATTTATTTTATATACATGGATAATCTTTATGATAATAAAATATCTATTTATAATTTAACTTTATTTACTTGTATAGGTGTAGAAGACAACTTTTAAAGATAAAAAGAATATGATTGATTTTTTGGATTTTTTAAAATCCTTAAAAATTAATACCTCAAAAGTTAGAAAACTGTTTAATCAAATTTAATAATAACATATTTAACAAAGATCAATTGCAAAGATTAAGAACATAAATTATTTGATAAATTTTTATGGAATTAAGGAATCATTAAGATAATAGATAATTTATTAAGATAAAATACAACATTTGAAATACTTTAATTTATTTAATTAATTATCAAGATAAAGTTTAAGTAATTTAACAAATGTTATTGAAATTTAATATTATAGAAATGAAGAAATAATAATTAATTAAGATTAATTGGATGATTGTTCTATATATATAATTAAAAATGGATAAGTGGAAATTAATTTTAAAAATTCACAAAATAGTATTGTTGGTGTTAAAATATTGAGTGATCATGAATGTTTTGGTTAAATAGCATTTTTAACTGGTCTACCTAGATGTGCTACAGTGAGAAGTATAGGAGAATCCTGTATTTTTAAACTTAATAGAGTAAATTTCTTGGCTACAATAAATAATAACAATTATGATAAAGTATTTATCAATTAAATAATGGTAGGAACTTATTAACAAAATTACAAATGAAATAATTTTCTCAAATTAATTTGAAATTCTTGGAATTCATTGTTATAATTGTTAATCATAAAATCATTTGATATAGAACTGTCCATAATTACATTTAGAAGTAAAGAAAGAATAAGTGATTTTGGATATATTGGCACCTTCTGAGTAAAAAAGACATAAATGTATTTATGCGAATTAAATAAGTTAAAAGGAGAGATAGTAAAAGTGGAAATACAAGATTCAGTGCATTAAATATTTAAGTGAAATGTTAAGAGTTTTAAGAGGATTAAGGTTATGCATCCTCTTTGGGAGAGACAGATCATACAAATTATTAATAGAATTAATCTCATTATACTATAACATAATCTTCAATTAATTATCCATCAAAAATATTAGTAGGTTAAAAATTATCATTAAGACCATCTACACTTGAAAATGTATAAGGATTAGAGCCATAAGAATCTTTAAAAGAATAATAATTTAGAGAAATTGATTAAATATTTATTAGAGCTGGTAATCCAAAAGCTACTACTTCTACAGCAGGATTTGGTTATAAAGAATAAACTTCTTAAAAAAGTCCACAAACAGAAAATGTTAATAATACTATAGATGAATAATAAATTGAAGATTCAAGTAATGAAAGTTCATCATTTTCTGATGATTAAGTTTCTGGTACTTCAAGATAAACATTAGATTAAAAATTAAGACCAATGAAATAAAGTAATAATAGATCTGAAAAGTATTCTCAATATAGAAGTGGTGTAAGTAGTATTTCAATGAATAATACTCCAAAACATTCTTAGTTATCAATTTTAAATACTTTCACATTAAAATCAGATATGAATAACAATTTTCAATAAAGTGGAGGAACCAATCATGGTTCACAAAAAATAATTAGTCCATTACATTTGAGAGAAAAAGAAGATAGATAAAATACATTAACAATACCAGGAGGTAATAATACATTATAAGTTCCATCTAAAAAAAGTTTAATAAATCCAATATCTTAATTAAATTATGAGATGTCTCCTTTTGTTGCATTTCCTCAACATGTAAAATATCATATTTAATAAAGCATCCTGCAATTTATAATGAATTATAATGGAGTCCTATAGAGATTGATAAATATGAAATTTACAAAATATTTTATCCAAAATACAATATTGATGTAGTTTTAGAGAGTTATCATAAAGAAAATGCTTAAAAGTAGAAGTCAAATATTAAAGAGTTATTTAAATTAAATACTTTTTGATAATCAAACAAATGAAAAATTTTTATTATTTTATGTCAACTATTNGTATTTATGCGAATTAAATAAGTTAAAAGGAGAGATAGTAAAAGTGGAAATACAAGATTCAGTGCATTAAATATTTAAGTGAAATGTTAAGAGTTTTAAGAGGATTAAGGTTATGCATCCTCTTTGGGAGAGACAGATCATACAAATTATTAATAGAATTAATCTCATTATACTATAACATAATCTTCAATTAATTATCCATCAAAAATATTAGTAGGTTAAAAATTATCATTAAGACCATCTACACTTGAAAATGTATAAGGATTAGAGCCATAAGAATCTTTAAAAGAATAATAATTTAGAGAAATTGATTAAATATTTATTAGAGCTGGTAATCCAAAAGCTACTACTTCTACAGCAGGATTTGGTTATAAAGAATAAACTTCTTAAAAAAGTCCACAAACAGAAAATGTTAATAATACTATAGATGAATAATAAATTGAAGATTCAAGTAATGAAAGTTCATCATTTTCTGATGATTAAGTTTCTGGTACTTCAAGATAAACATTAGATTAAAAATTAAGACCAATGAAATAAAGTAATAATAGATCTGAAAAGTATTCTCAATATAGAAGTGGTGTAAGTAGTATTTCAATGAATAATACTCCAAAACATTCTTAGTTATCAATTTTAAATACTTTCACATTAAAATCAGATATGAATAACAATTTTCAATAAAGTGGAGGAACCAATCATGGTTCACAAAAAATAATTAGTCCATTACATTTGAGAGAAAAAGAAGATAGATAAAATACATTAACAATACCAGGAGGTAATAATACATTATAAGTTCCATCTAAAAAAAGTTTAATAAATCCAATATCTTAATTAAATTATGAGATGTCTCCTTTTGTTGCATTTCCTCAACATGTAAAATATCATATTTAATAAAGCATCCTGCAATTTATAATGAATTATAATGGAGTCCTATAGAGATTGATAAATATGAAATTTACAAAATATTTTATCCAAAATACAATATTGATGTAGTTTTAGAGAGTTATCATAAAGAAAATGCTTAAAAGTAGAAGTCAAATATTAAAGAGTTATTTAAATTAAATACTTTTTGATAATCAAACAAATGAAAAATTTTTATTATTTTATGTCAACTATTTTGCCTTATTTGATAAATAAAACCAATAACATTTTATTGTTAAGAGGAGATGTGGGAAAAGCAAAACCTTCTGTATCAGATCTACCTGATTTCAGTTATTCTTATGGTAAAAAGATTAATAGAGATGGAATTGGAATGAAAGAAATAACATCAGATTGGTAATATGGGATCAGTTCACATCATAAAAAGTCTAAAACTGTTAAATTACCAGAAGATACTTTTGTTTATGGACTTAAAAACAAGTAACCATCATATAATAGAGTAGACCTTCAACTCCTTTTGGGAAAGTGATTAAAATGAATTATGGAAATGAAGCAGCAGATATTATAGAGAATCTATATCGAATGAGGAGTTAACGAATTTCTAAGAAACAAGTAATATAAAAGAACAGATCATATTCTTTGAGATTAGAGCATAATACCAAATAAAAAGAAGAAGAACATAAAGAATTTAAGATAAAGAGATTTTTAGAAATAAAATCGAAAATATATTAATTATGATTTCTATATTGAGAAATTAGCAATTAAATTTTGTTAGCAGATTCTTCAAGACCACTTTATTATAGTAGCCAGCTATGAGAAGAAGAACAATTACTCCAATATTCCCACCACCAGGATACAACTTAACTATTCCAGATTGGCCAGTTGAATAGTTTATGTTAAGAATAGGAAAAGGATGTTCAGATTATGCAGATAAATTTGAAAAATTGACTGAAGTATTTGAAGCAGATAGAGTACATTGTTATTTATATATAGTTTTAAATGAAAGAGAAAGGTATACCTCCAAAGGTGAGAAAATATATATTTTCAATCAAAGAGTAATTACGTAGAGGAGTACTTACATTTGAATATTTAGAAAGGAGAACATCAGTCACAATACCTAAAAAAAAGGCAACAAAAAAATGAGTTTATATTATTTTATAAGTTTTATCAGCAAACAGACATTAAAAGTATAATTTATCACTTGAAATAAATTCAATCTATAAACATAATTTCAAGATATCAATCCACTACTTGTAAAATTTTGAAGGTACATACTTTCTCTTATGAAATTAGCTTCTTATATAATACCTTTAGCAACCCAACTTCCATTCTAATTTTAATAAATTCTGACTTCTCTTGAAGTAATAAATGCTTAATTTTCATCCATTTTTTTACTTTCACAAGACACTGCTAAAAGATTAGCCAAAATATTCCAAGACAATCTATAAGCATGATAATTTGGTTTAGTTTCTCTATTAATATTAAATACTTTCATTTTTTCTACTTGAGTCTCATTTGCTATTTTAATTTACCATATTTTAACTCCTTCAGCACTAGCAGATGCAATTAAATGAAAACTTTTTCCATTTTAATTAGCCCATTTTACATCATTTATAGTTTTCTCTTCATCAAATTCATAAATCTTTTTCATTCCAAATTTTTAATTCTCATATTCTAACATCCATATTGCCATAGTTTTTACTCCATTAAAATGATCCATTTTTATTTTACTTAGATATTTTTATTATTCTGCATTACCTGCAGCAACCAACATCTCTCTTTCTAATGGAGCATGATTCCAAGATATTGCTCTTAATCCATATACCATTATTTATATATCTTCACCTTCTTTTATGAATTAATTCTACTCATAAACTCTATGAATTTATAATTTTCCATCAACATATGCTATTGCCAATAATAAACCATTTGATTTTGAACCAAATTATATGTCAGCTACAGCTTCCTTACTCTCTAAAATTAATATTCTCTATTTCCATTATATAATTATTTATTTCTATCCTGATGGACTTTCTTGTAAGTATTTCTTTTCTTCCCATACCCATACACCTTTGTCTTAACTACAAGTAGCTATCAATGATCCAAATTTAGGATCTGCCCATCTAATCTTCCAAATTGGACCATCATGACATTTACATTCAGCACTCTTTTCCCATTTCCTATTAAATAAGATTAATTTCATTAATTTACCCATTCACTTTATTGTAAACTCTCATTGTTTGATCACTTGAAGCTGTTGCAAATCGATTTCCATCAAAATTAAAAGCTATATCATGAATAATATCCTAATGAGTAGTTTCTATTAGCATTATATATTAATTTAACGAATATGATTAAGCCAAAGAAGTCTTCACGTGAACTATGGAATTAATTGGGTTTACGTAATCACATTAAACAGGCCTTTGAAGAGAAGGAAAGTAATTGGGGTTAGATCGTTGATTCAAATAAGAAGAATCTAGTAATTCATTAAACTATATTCAGAGCCAAAGATCTATCTCAGAATATGCAATCACCTAAAAATTAAAAGAGCAACATAATTCTTTTATCAAAAATAAAGAGAAACCTAATACCAAGACTTTTTTAGAAGATTAAATTGAAAAAGGAAATTAAGACAAAGATGAATGGTTATAATTAGCATTAATAAATGAAAAATCCCATTTCTCACCTATAAATAAAAGAAATTCAAATGATTAAACATTTTCTCCAATCAATAGACTAAAAAATGAGGAATAATAAGTAAGTCAGCAATAATCATTCTAAGTATAAATAGAAAAAACTAATATTTGCAAACTCCCAGGTCATGAAAATAATTAATATAAGTTTATATGTATAGATAATGATTGTCCATATAAGTTATAAAAAGCATGTGCTCATTGTGTAATCAAAATGCATACTAAACATGTTAGCTAAATGAAAGAAATTGAGAATTATGAGTATTTGATTGAATAAAATATTAAAAAAGCTGAGGAATTAATGGATTAAAGTTAAGAATTATTTAAAGCAATTTAAAAACCTTATGAAAATTACTTCCTTCAAATTAAAAATTAAATTATTACTCTGATTAATGATCTTTAATAAAAACTGTTGTAAATTAATAAGGATTAAATTCATAAATTGATAAATAATGATATTGAAATTGTTTAGAATATTAATTCAAAGTTTGAAGCATATAAATTAATGAATTAATTAATACCAGATGAAATTATTGAAGATTACACACGTATTATAAAAGGTATTTCTGAAAAGATTAAACTCAATATTAATTTTGACATTATTAATAGATAAGTTGAAACATTTGTTATGTCAATCTTTTCTCCAAAAAAATAAAAAGAAAATAAAGAATAAAATGATGATACTGAACTATTACAACAATTTATATCTACTAATAGAGATTCAAATAAAGAGTCAATTCTTAAACCAAATAATTCAATGACTTGTTGTTCTCATCCATCTCCTTTACAAACCAAAAAATAATTGTAAACAAAGCTTGTTATGGGATCTGCGTCTCCATTAAATGTTTTCAATCGTTAAATAAATGGAAGGCAAGTTACTAAAATAATCTAAACATAGCCCATAATCTATTATAGAACAAAAAGTTGAAATAAAGACTTTGATTAATAAATATATCTATATAATTATGATATACTAATTAAATTATTTATTTTACTTTTTAATTTTCCTAAAATTACATCTTATCATATATGATGATTAATATATTTGAAATACTATTTTTAATATATAAAAAGTCCACTTAAAACTATATTTTTAATATACTATCTATTTAATATAGATTATTTTATAGTAAATATTCAATGATGGAGTTGAAGAAAATATGAAGCATATTATTATTTTAAGTTTATATTACTAATTAAAAGATATTAATAATGTAAATTATTAAGAGCAAAGCAGTGTAGTAATTAGTGCATCGTTCACAATACAACAAGATTGTGTGGCAATCTTCAAATCCATATAATAAGAGATGGCAATACAAATTTAAGAATGCTTATTATACATACCCAAGAGATATTAATTAAGAGCATACATATGTAAAAACACCAAAAGATAACTGGGAATCAGTACCACTTGGATGGGCATGGATTTAGGATTTATTGCATAGACATGTAAGATTTAAAAATTAAATTTAAGGTCCCAAATTTCTCATGTTTAATTGAAAGAAGACATAGATTATTTGATAAATTCAATGTTTATTTCTTACCTGCATTCAGTCTCTTCTTTTATCAATTCTATCCTTTAGCATTTGGATTCAAAGTAATAAATTTCAATTAAAAATAGGTTTTAACAGTTTTACCATTAGCTATGTTATATGTGAGAGCAAGAGATAAATGTGGTGATCCTGATTTTAAGGAAACTTATCTTAGAGATATGCTTTATAAGAATAATGAGATTAACGCTCTATTCAAAGATGAAACTCTTCATGTATTAGATTATGATTGTGAATATGATCGTGGATATCCATGTCCTGAAAAGTTCCCAGAATTCAAAAATAAAGTATAGATTCAAAATTATCCCCTTAGTTTTGGTAATTCTTCAACACTGATACTTCTATGACAACTGGATATTTCAAAATGGCTGATGTTGAAACAGGTGCAGTTATGAATTTGAAATTTAAGACTATGCCTGTTCCAGGAAAATATAGATATTAAATTGGAGAACCATTCTATTTCTATGATTTGAGAGGTATTCTTCAATAATATATATTTTTAAAGCTGAAATAACTCATAATGGCTAACACAAAGAGGTTGTTTTAGTTGATGAGAAAGTCGCTTTATAAAAAATAAGACCATTTTTATTAATTATTTGAAAAATAATATAATAATCAATCTAGCATATTAAAATTATATTCAACTTAATTATTTTATTATAATTTACGATAAGTGTTAGCCATCCTTTATTTGATTTTTTCATTTATTAGTTTTTAACTCATTCCTTTTTCATTTGATTTAGATTCTGTTTCTTTTTTTAAAATTTACTATGGATTTAAGGATTTTTGCTCAGTCCATTCAATAACAAACTCATACCATATTTAATCTCCTATTACTTATCCAAATAATGAATACATTACTAATTTCAACTCTTGAACATCTGATAAATGTCTTTTATTTTAATATAATTTTAATATTCTTTCCTATTCTTCCTTCTAAAGTTATTCAAGTTATTACTAAAATTAAACTAGTTTTAAATTATAATCTTTAATAATTAAATTTCCTTCACTAGGCATATTTTATAATTTAATTTGGGTATCTTCTTTATCTTATAAATTAATAGATTCTAATTCCTAATTTTCCCATTTAATAACATGAGCAAAAGATGAAGGATTCAAAGGATCTATTCCTTAAACAAACACTGGTTTTTTAATAGAAACCTTACTTCTTTTAAGCATTGTCTTCACTTAGTTTTTCAATTAAGATACACTTACAGGTTATGTTGAAAATAAACATTATTATGATTAAGTACTTTTTAAATTAGTATGATTATGATTTAGTTTTTAAGATTGGGATCTAGCATCTTCTATTTCCATTTCTAATTATGCAGCTTTAAGAAGATATTGTCTTGATTAATCATCTAAATATCTTGGAAATTATTCAATTTTAGCATTTTCATTGATTTTTTTCATTTATTTAATTATTTGAATTAATCCTTCTGGCATCAATTATTCATTTGCCTCTTAAAGTTATTTTAAAAATATATCTTTTAATAACATCTTACATCTTCTCTTTTTTTATCTTAATTCATCTAACTCTTTCTAAATTACTTCCTATTTATCTATATTTCTATGCATTTCATCTTTTATTTAGTTAATGAATTTTTAAATATTTCTAATTTCTTAATCTCTCTATTATATAATTTTTTCAATAATTTCCATCATATTCTTTTTTTTACCTTCTTAATCAGGAACATAACCTAATCTCACTTTTTCTTCTTTTCCATAATATTTTCTTCTTATTTCACTTATTTCTTCTTCCTTTTTAGTTGTTTATTAAACTAATTAATTATTATCTAATCTCATTTAATATAGGGTTTATTTATTTTCTTTAATTTAAATTTAGAACTATTAATATGATTCCATTAATTATTTTGCAGAAGATGATGATTATTATCCTGTCATTACTATATTCTCTTAGAATTACTTAGGAGGTCTATTACTATAATATTTTGCCTTTGATAAGACTATATCATAATCAATATATTATGCAGGATTACTAAAATATTCAGTTAATCCCTTAAAATTATTTAGTGTTGAATTTTTGATAGCTTATGATTAATCTCTTACAACTTAAGCTGTTTCTTAATCCATTTTTTAATGATTCCAATTAGATTTGGCTGTTCTATTAATTTATAAATCATCCAACTTCTTAGTAACTTTTTATAATAACAATGAGTTTAAAATATGTTTATTCATTTCTATCCTAACTTAATCTAAAGTTTTTAAAACAGGATTATTAGATTCCTTATTTGATCTTAATAATTAAAATTTAACTTAAACATTTTAGTTCTATTCTTCATCTTATGATAAATTCTTTAATTATTATTTTTCTTGTGGTTTAAGAATTGAATTTATAATTGCTTAATTAATTTAAGGTCCTCCATCATTGGCAAATTCATTCTCCATTAATTTATTGTCATTTTACTTAACTTATTCAAAAGCAAATGTTTTTTTCTTTGAAATTACCTATTCATGCCATTAATCTAATTATTCAAGTAATTAATCTTATTCATCCTTACTCTATCTCCTCATTCGTTTAGAAGAGGGTTTATTAACAGATTCTGTTGCATCTCCTAAGTCTACAACATTCCTCATTTTTATGATTTTTCTATCTCATAAATATAGTTTTCCTAATACCTTTTGAAGTAGGATCAGCTTCTTCAAATTAATTAACAGATCTCTATCGAGGAATTTAGGTTGAGGGTTTCGAATCAAAGTTCGATGGAGAATGCACACTTGAACGAATTAATACATTTTTTTTATGCGGTTTCATAATTAATAAATATTATTAATAATTATCAAAATAATAAAGTAAAACATTAAATTATTGTTAATTCTTTATTATTTATTTTCTTAATAAAAATAAACTAATTAAAACAATTAAATAAGTAATTCTATTTAATCCTATTATCTAATTAAATTACAAATCATTGCAACCATTTTATATAGTTATTATTTAATCTATTTTCTAAACTATGGATTCCAAAACCATTAAAATAGTTTTTTAATTGAAATGTAATAAATAAAGAGTAATAGTCTATTGAAAATTAATATTGAAGTATTATGATCATAGCATTTATCGATTAATATCTTATTTAATTAAAATGTCATTTGACATTCAAAAATAAAAAAAAACTCAAGACAATAAAATAACAATGGTTAATGAAATGGTCTTTCTAAATATGACTATTTAATCACCTGTCAAAATAACACCATTATTAAAAAAATAAAAAACTAGAAAACAATACAAAAGAGCTGCAACTATCATTGATGATGATGATTTTTATAAAGGACCATTTGAGGACAGTAGAGTAACAAGAATGATCTTTGAGAAATATAGAATAGTTGAATTAACTCGATTCTGGTTTATAATTGCATGTATGGTGCTAACGATTTTAGAAGTATAAATGTTTTGAATTAGTATGAATATAGTTTTTCAACATTCCTTACGAAGACAATGGAATTGGAATTGAATGTCCTTTTGTATCTAATATTCTATATGTCAATAATCATTATTTTGCTTACAATTATAGCTTACCTAATAGAACTTGAATATAGAAAATGTTCTAAAATTATTTCCAATAAAGCATCACTTATATAAACTAACTTAATATGGGGATTATTAAGTGAAATTATAATTATAATTCCAACATCAAATCCTTTTACTAAAGGTTATTATGTTGATTTTGAATAGAGAGGAACTGCAGAAAGTAGATTTTATATGGTAAATGAAATTCTAACTTATATCATGTTTTTCAGACTCTATTTACTTCTGAATATAGGGTTTAAATTTTAGACTTATTATTCAAATCGAATAGGAAGAGTATGGTATAAAATTGATAATAATTTATATAGTCGTTTATATTAGACTCGTTTTGGAACTCATCTGATGTTGAAATTATGTATACGTTAATTCCCTTTTTATACTTTAACTTGGTTATTTATTGTTGGGTTTATACAATACACTTATTAATTAGAGATATCAGAAAGACCACTCTTAAGAACATTTGATTCTTTAGATAATTATGGCTTAACCAAAAGTTTATGGGTTACTATGATAACAGTAGCAACAGTAGGTTATGGAGATTTCTTTCCTTATACTGATTTAGGTAGAATAGCCATGACATTAGGATTATTTTATGGTGTTACCATAACATCATTATTTACAGCTATTCTATACAATATGTTATAAGCAACATCTGGAGAGTATCAATCTTGGGCTTTATTGGACAAAGCAACAATAACAAAGAATATAAAAAAAGCAAGTTCAAGAATATTTTTTTATTTAAATGAGTTAAGAAAAGGAAAGAAATTATAAAAAGCTGAAGTGTTGAATAATAATTTAGAGGAAACATTATTTAATTTAGAAAGATTTCTATAAGATGTAGGAATGTTGAAAAGGTATTAAATTATTTAATCACTCAATAGAATGCATAGAGATATTGATGGAGAAGAATTCTAAGAAATGATTAAACGAAAATTTGGGGATGCTAATTGTAAATTCAAAGAGATTAAATAACAAATATATAAATTTAGTGAATAATAAATTTTAATTCAGACTCACCTATCTAAACTATTATAAAATTCAATATTGGAAAAAGAATAGAATTAAATGCAATAGATATAATTTTCATCTATTTCTCAATAGATTAGTAAGAAAAAAATAAGTACAGAAGAGAAACTTAGCAAAGATGATGAATTTTTCAATAATTTAGATGATTCACAAAGAGATTCATGTTTAATGAGTTTCCATGATTGATTCAAAAAAATTGATAGTTAATAATATATTATGAAATCATCAAATTATGAAACAATAGAATTGTAAGGTAATCCTGCTTCGAGAGCCAATGAAGATGATGCATTTCAATAGCATGGAAGGCTATCATATTTGTTTTAAACATCTCAAACATTGAAAATAAGTTAAAGAAAAAAGTCAACAATTATTGGAAGTTCAAAAAAGAATGCTTTTGAAGATAGTAGGATTACAAGACTTTATTTTGAAAGATATAGAGTGTTAGAATTAGGCAGAATGTGGACAATTTGTGCAAGTATTGTTCTAATGGTTCTTGAAGTTAATTATTTATAAATAATATAGTATGAGGTTTCATTTGCGAATTAGTTAACGGAAACATACCAAGAAGAAATTAAAACTCTATTATATTTGATTCTAATTCTAACTATTGTTTCAAGTATATTGTTTATATTATTTAGTTTTAATGACATTGATGGCATATTTAGCAGAACTCGAATTTAGGAAACGATCTCTTACAGTACCCAAAGCCTCTACTATTTTTCAAACAAATCTCATTTTTCTTTTGCTAATAGAAACTACTATGTTACTACCTTGTCCTACTCCTTATACAATTGGATATAAAGTTTCATTCTCACAACGATATTCTGATTAACCAAGATTCTATTTCGTTAATGAGATATTAACCTTCGTAATGCTTTTTCGATCATTATTAATATTGAACATAGCATTTAAGTTCTAGTCGTTTTATTCGAATAGAGTAAACAGATTATGGTATTTTATCATTTTTTAATTTAGTGGTATATACTCAGTTGAATTCGGTCCTCATTTCATATTTAAAGTTGCAATTAGATAGAATCCATATTCTACACTTTGTGGACTTTTTTGCATGGGAATTTTCTTGTTTTCGTACTAATTAGAAATTTCAGAAAGGTCATTATTAAGAACGACAACAGAAATTGATCATTATAATTTAAAAAATTCCCTATGGGTCTGCATGATTACAATATTTACAGTAGGTTATGGAGATCTATATCCAACAACTGAACTTGGAAGACTTTCTATGACATTAGGTTTATTTTATGGAGTCGCTTTGACATCACTTTTTACAGCTATTTTGTATGCTGATTTACAACCATTCGTTTCAGAATTAAGATCTATTACATTATTAGATAAAGCTAGTATAAAAATTGAAATTCGATAAGTTGCTGAAAAAATTCTCTTAAATTTTTATAAATTAAATTCTTATTTACATAGATATCAAATAAAAAATAGTATTAATGATCCTGCCACTTTGAATAGAGTTAATTAGATATAAGCTTTTTTGTAAGAAGGATAACAACTTAAAAGGTATTGATATTTAATAATTATAGAAATTATCGATCAATTGATACTGAAGATTTTATAGCTATGGCTGATAGATATTTCAAAGACATGAACCATAGAATAAAAGAATTTAGAGATATGCTTTAATAAATGAAATGTTAATAGTATTCTATCATTGAAAGAGATACTCCAAAAATGAGATCCACATAAAAGCAATGTCATACAATTACTGCTGCTAGTTATGATGTTAAAAGCAAAGATGATTAATATTTTGAATAGTTAATTGATTCTCAATGTGAGCATTCAGAGCTTATGCAGTTTAATGATGATGAGTGATATTTTTATATATTATATTATATACTGAACTAATAAAGTTCTATCCAGAGATAGAAATTAATTCTTTTGACAATATCATATAGTGATCATGAGATTAAAATAGTATTTCAATTATGATTTATTATATTATCTAATAAATTTAAAATTGTTGTCAATAAAATGATCTTTTTGATAATTTTAATCAATATTTGATTAATTAATTCGGAATATAATAATCAAATTTAACCTCAGAAATCATGTTTACTTAATTATGTATAACTTTCTATAAGTACAATCTATAATTAGAGATGTAATTAAATTGTTGTATCACTATAATTCAAGATTATTGATATCATTATAAATAAAAATAATAAATTTTAGGTTTAATGAAATATTTCTCTAGGCTTATTTACTTCTTTATTTCGATAGGGTCTAGCACTGAAAGGAGAAAATCATAAGTGGATTATGGTAATATGGGGGTGATTGTCTACTATTTTATATAATTGCTTGGTTAACTTTTTAGTTAATTTGAAAGCAAATCCATAGTATTTTTTGAGAATGATTATTTGGCTAAAATAGGATAATATTCCTCAATCCCATTTACCATGATAGTCATTCATTATGACCCAATTACAAAAATTATGTATTATTGTATTTTTGGCACAATGTGTTCCATTTATGCAATAATAATTTTGTAAATTACATTCAAAGTATTATCATCATTGTATTCTAGCAACTATCAACAAATAGTTTTGTTAATAGATTTATAAGGTTTTATTTTAAGAACTTTTAATGGTACTTCTTAACACCATTTCATGAATGCATGATTGGAGTATTGACTTGTGGTCGTTTAGCATATTTGGCCTAACATAGTGATCTAGATCCTCAACAATGTTTTTAATTGATTTCACCTCACTTTTTAGTTATAAGCATAATAGGCTAAGTACTAGTTATCCTTTCAGGTTTTTTATCTTTATACTGTTTTAGAAATTATGAATTTGTCTAAGGAGATATAATGAGAAAATTTAGTTACTTTAATTTGTTAACTATCATATTACATATGGCATTATAAATGTCATCATTTTGGAAAGAAATGTATAGTCATTACAATTATCTTACTCATTCAATTTTCAATCTAATAATAATTATTATAGCTTTAGATATATATTTGAATATTCCTTTTGGTTTTTAAAAAGAAACAATTTTCTTTAGCAAATGTTTATGGTGTTCATGGTTTTTTGAAATTTTAGTTGCAATTTGGATATTTTCTGATTTAAATGATGGTCATATCTTTTTAAGTTTCTGTATATGTGTTCCTGTAATTTATATAGATATATATTATAGTTAATATTTGGTATCAATTAAGTACTTTATGACATTTATATTGATAAAGAATGTTAATTATTTTTAAAGTCTAAATCAAATAAAATAAGTGAGCATCCATTAGAATTTATTTGTTAATTATGTCATTTAGAGAATATAAATTAAAGTGATTACTACTTATTATTAAAATATTTAGGGATTCATTGTTAAAATTGTAATGATTTAACATGTCCTTGTAAATAAAAGTTAAATAAATTTATTTCTGGCTAAAACTAACTTAATACATAACAAATATATATTTGGGTGTAACATTAATTTTAAAAAATGATAAAATAAATTATGCAAAATTAAGATTAATTTTAATACTTTGAACAAATTACAATTAAATTTGTAACTTTCTTATAAAGATACAGAGAAAATTCTGTTTTATCATATAAAACTATTTAAGATGTTGTTTTTACATTTTAAAAAGTTAAACCAGATAGTATGCCAAAGTTCTTTTTGAATTTAATAAATTAAATATAACATTTAAATAAAATTGAAATTGAAAATAATAATAGAGTTGGTATATAAATAGGATCTTTAGAATTTCGTACTTTATAAGATTTTAATTTATTTTATAATTTTGAAGATTAAATTGTTAAATTAATTGTGGATTTACTCCTTTGTTTGAAATCATTATGGTTATAAAAAATGAATTAATATGTTTCTTATGAGAATATGATTTAATTTTCATAAGAAATAAAAGGAAAAACAGAATTAGTGAAGAGAGAGTTTATGAATTTTTAAAATTAGAGGGAACTTCCTGCCTTAGATACTATATTGATACTAAGAATAAAATTAGTAATTTCATTAGTTTGTATGGAAGATATTAATAGTTGTATAAAGATAGCTCAATAAATAGAATGTCATGTGAAGGAATAAACAAATTCTAAAAGTTAATAATTCAATAATTTATAATTTTTAAATGGTTAAGCTTTATCAATAATATCTAGTGTTTAATCTTAAACTCTAGGATATATTACATAAAAGATTAATGATTAATTTTGTGAATTTTTTGGATATTAAAATCCAAATATTCCATTAACTAAAATAGAATAATTATTACCTATTAAACTTGGTTAAATACATAATGGTTTGATTGAATCTTATTTATAATAAGGAAAGACAAATAGATTGTATGCAAATTCAGAATAATTTATATTGAACTCAGAAAATTTGATTGAAAAAGTTAATATATGTCTTACTGCCTTATTCCCATATTCAAATAATTAATATTAATTTTGGATTATAGGACATTTATTGAAAATGTTGAAATATGAAAAAAGAGAAATTGATTTAAATAAAAGAGGATATATTTTGGTTGATTCTGATTTTTTAATTTTTGGAATAACTAGAAATATTTATGAGAGAATCAATTATAAATATTTTTATAAAAATGATAAAAATGAAGATTTATTATTACCAGATGAAATATATGAATTAGTTGCAATTTAAGAATTAATTCCATCTTTATCTTAAATTTTTGAAGAATATTATAGATTATTAACTATCAAAAATAAAAAAAGAATGTTTAAATAAGATATTATATGTTAAAGAGAAATAGGTGTACTATAAGTTCTTACTTAAAAAAGAACTCAATATAGAACATCTTAATCATTATCAACCAAAAAATATACAAATAAATAAATGATTAATACTTTAAAGGATATTAATACTAGTATATCAAATAAAAAACCTTAATATTCTAAATTATATCCTATTGAATTTAGTGTAGTTTAAAAAGTTTTGTCTTATATAGAAAAAGACACAACCTGTGAATTTCTATATTTTGTAATAGAAATTGATTTTTTGGATGATCCAAAAATAAATTAATCTCCATCTTAATAAGTAGCTTAAACTCCAGCTCTTTCTGATATATTAAAAAGATAATAAGCAATCTTAGAATAGATTAGACCTTATTAAAGTAATATTATACTATCATGTGATGGCGAAGAAGTTAATGAATAAGTAGAATTAGTAGCTGAATTAACAAATACAGCTACAAAACTTAGTTCAAATGAAATTAATGAATAATTAGAGAAAATTATTGTTTATATGAATGACACAATTATACCAAAAACAATTAAAGATTTAATTGCTCATTTTCTCATGTAAATTGTTGTATTAATAATAATTATCATATTAATATCTAATCTATTTTAACATAAAAAGAATTTATAATCAGATTGCATATTATAAATTACAGCTGATTTAAACTTTTTAGATGCATATAGTTAAACCATGTCAGGATCTAGACATGTAATTTATTATAGAGATTTTTATCCAATTTAAAATGATACAATAATTCCATTTAATAATGATTCAATTAATGTTAGTAGATATGATAAGATATATATGGCTTGGCAACATATTGCAAAAGGTAGTGTTAGACTTAATGACATGTATTAAAATTATTCTAAAATTGCTATGAAAAGTGATATTAAAAATATTACTATTTATTTTATTAATTTTGATTTGAAGACTAAGATATCACAAACTCTTTAAGATTATTCTACTTATTATCAAATTATGCATTAAACATTTTTTATGTCATACAAATCATTTGCATCATCACCTTAAACATATTTATCAGGTAGAAATGATTCATATATGACTTAAATTGCAAGATCATAAGTTTATTATAACTTTTTTGATGTAAGTGAGAGTGCTAATATAACTCTTTGGGATTGTTATACATATAATACTGAAATGAATGATTATTTTGATTAGATAGTCAATTATTATTTTATTGGATTGTATTTATCAATTTTATTATAATTGACAGCTTTGATTATTAATTACCTTAAAGTTGTTCATACAATTAAACAATATTTAAAATTATTTAAAATGTGTGATAAAGAAGATTGTATTTAAATTATACATTAATTTGATTAATTGATAAGTATTGTATCATATAATAGAATATTCTTAAAACAAAAAGATTTTAAAATAATAATGACACTACCTTAATTCATATTAGATGATGTTAGAAAAAGTTCAAATAGAGCAACAGTAGTATTTGTTAAAAAAAAAAGAATAAATAATAAAAATATTAAAATAAATTATAAATATTCAAGTTATTGTTCAATATTGTTTATTGTTTTAGCAACTCTGATAATACTTGCTTATGTATTTGCTTTCCATTTATATTATCTTCGAATAACTAATTCTATAGGACCTATAAGTAATAGGGCTATCTTAGCTTAAGAACATAGATTAAATTTTATTGTAGCCTTAAATCGTTTTGATTTATTCTTAATAAAATAATATTTTGAAACTTATGCATTAATTAACAGAACTAATCCAAGACATCAACTCATGACAAGAAATATATAAACTGATACTTTAATATTGAATTTATTATCAATGGATGAAGAATTAATTTATTAAGATATCTCTAGAATAAAATCAGTAGATTTTACTAGTTTAATTCTTAATTATGAAGATTCTATTTCAGGACTTAATGATGAATAATAACATTAACTTTTAGGATAAGATGTTTGTATTTTAACAGGTTGTGATATGCAAACTTAATTATTGTATGATAGACTATATTAAAAAGAATTGATACCACTTTTTTAAACAGGAGTGCTCAATCTGCAATCCAAAGTATTATCTTTTGTAGAAGGAGCCTCTTAATTAATTTTTTAAAATTAATCTCATTTAGAAAGAGCTCATGCTTTAGAGTCAATACTTGATGATAGTGAATATCTCATTTATATGTTATGGGGAATTGATGTTATTTAATTTTAAATAAGCTAATTTAGTCAACACTTTTTAGACATCTCCTCATCAACAATAGATACATTAACTAAAGATAACTAAAATTTTATTATATTAATTGGACTATTAATGTTTATTGTTATTTTAGCATTTTAAATAATGTTTGGATATTACTAATTTAAACGATATATACTCTCTAAGGCAATTATTAAATCTATACCACTTCCCATCTTATTTCAAAGAAATATTCCTAAACATTTAGAAAGTTTTCGAAGAAAATATGAAAAATGATTTTTTAATTTCTATATATGATTTAATTTAAATTGATTTTATAATCATAAATTCAATATAATAATTTATCTTATATTCCTTTATCTTTTATATCTTAATAGTGTTCTATAAAACACTTTACAAATTTAATATTCTAATTATTGTATTGTGAAAAAATAATAATTAATATGGTAGTCCTATATTAAATTTTCACTCTTATTTTTAATAGGTTTCATTAAATTTGAAAAATTTCATTTAAATTTAATTTTGGAAAGAGATATCAAAATATAGATTATTACAAATAATGATTTTGAAAAAGTATCCTTATGCTATAGATTAAAGAATTATAAATGAATATAAATTTAGAAATTATATATATAATTTTAAAATAAATAAAAATGGCCATGGACAACAGTAAGTTTGAGCAAATGAGCAAACATTTTCCAAAGTCATTAAAGTTTTCATTAAATCCAGTTTATTATGGAGCCAGAGTTGGAATTCAAGCATACTTAGGATTGTTAGTAGGTGGAACATTGGTAATCTACCTTAATACATTTAATGGAATAACATTCCCATACTTATATAAGAGAGTAAAAATTAGATTAAAATATATAATAGTAAAAAGTTGAATATCAAGCAGTACCAGATTTCTATTCAAAATAAGTATTGCTTTATTAAAGAACAGTGCCAAATACAGTGACACAATTGTGAGTTTATAATAATGAACAATATTAATAATAATAGTGATACCTAATATTCAATTTCCTGATTCATAATGGATTAACCCAAATCATAAGAAGAAATAATTTTATTTAAAAGATTATGGTATAAATCATACTCAAACAAATAACAAAAATCCTTTTTCTATTGCTTTTTTGTACTATTAACTCTAAAGTTGATGTTTTGACAATTTTTTTGCATAATGAAGTGGTGCTGGTAAATAAGTGATAGAACTCAAATCGAAATTTAAGAATATTAAATGATAGTATAATTAAGCTATTTCTTTTGTGTTGGTTGAACTAATGTATAATTATTATGCTTGTAAACATCCTTATTCTCCTCTTTATGAATGGAATGAAAATCTACCCTACTTTTCATTGATAGGGACTATACAACCAACTTAAGGGTTTTTGCAATAGTAAGATTCACTAAAATAAGATAATATATTTTACAAATTCCTCTCGAAATAAGTGAAGTATCTTTCTGCATTGGCATCCTTTACTTAAACCATAACAATTTCAGGTATTATAATTTATTAAGCTAATTCTTGATTTTATATTAATTAAATGACTCCTTATATTATTTATTCCATAATCTGTGTATAATCATCTTCTGCAAATATAATGATTTAATTTGCTAATATTTTATGTGTGGCATAATAAGTTGTTAAAAGAAGAGTAAGAATTTAATCTAAATCTCCAAAAGATGATATATATTTGTTGAAATATTTATTAATACTAAGACATGCAGAAAAGGAATTATCGCTTTTCCAAATTCCTAAGACAGCACTCTTTTTATTATTTATCTAACCATTAATTTCTTTAATAGACCAAGGTACACTACCAAGATTTGCAGTCATCATGGCTAATAATCTATTGATCTCTTGATCTTAGATTGGAAGGATAATAATTTAATTAGGAATGGCCTTAGACAATAAATTATTTCTTGCTTATGAAAAATCTGTATTTGAATCTCCAACAAAAAGTACATAAGCATCTTCAGTAACATATGTATCTATAATTTCATTCAAATTATTATTTATATCATATATTTAAGGTTGTGATATTTTATATTATCTAGATTTAATGAAGGAATCTAATTTATCTAGAAATGATTTAAAATTGTCTTTATTTTCAATTATTTCTCTAGTTACTAATATTAATAATTTATTAATAGTCAAAGAAGTTGTAAAAGTAGTTAGATTTTTAAGAAAAAAATCACTATAATAATATTCAAATTCACTTGATGTTCTAGATGCCACAATTTAAAATATTGATTTGGTTGAATTATTTAATACTAAATTTCCAGGTTCTAAATATTATTATTTGAATTCAACTTATTGATTTCTAATTATTAATTTATATTAATTTAAGAATTTAATAAATGATGAACTATTGTTAATAATTCTATTCCAATAATCTAATTATTAACAATAAATAGTAACATCTTATTCAATATACTCCATTTTCAATTCACAAAATTCTGCTATTAAGAATTATTTCTTAATATTTTATGTATTATATGTTTCTAAATATACATTTGATTTGCTTCTTAATTAATATTTTTATTTAAAGTAGTCTTCTAAATATAAACCTTTATATGTAAATTCTTAATCAAAAACAACTGATTTAATTTGAACAATCATTTTTTTTTCAGGGTACCTCAATAAAACATATTTATTCTTAAAATATGTAGATGGATCAATATTATTTAAAGTTTTAATAATTTGATAACAATTTTGTATTGTAAAATATGATTTACGAACATCCATTAATATTGATGGTTATTCTCTATCCATCAATTGAAATTTTAAGGATGGATATGATTTTAATTGATTTACATATTGTAATTCAAACATATTAATTATACCTATATCTGATAACTTTTAATATTCTAATAGATTCATGGCTTCCTTAATAATTGTCATTATGATTTCTCCTTATTCAGATCTATTAAATTTATATTCTGGTAATTCCAATTTGCTTGTACTAATAATCAATCCATCCTTAAAGCTAATGGTATTAGTAGTCTTATTGCCATAATAGATATAAATTTCATCCAAAAATTCAGTCTCATAAATATTTGACCCCACAACTATTGTACCACTCATTTTATTTATATATTTTCAATTACATTTAATAACTAATCAACTTTTGGTCTCTTCTCAAAATCTTATTGCCAACACCATCTGATTATATCATCCATCAAGGATTTAGATTCTATCTTAGGTCTTACAGCTTTATTTAGACATTCCTATATATTTTATAGTTATAATCCTTCAAATGGCACTTTCTTTTCAAACATCTCATACATTATCATACCAACACTATATATGTCTCCTTCTTATGATCCACTTACAATCTAACCTCTTTACATTATCAATTCTGGAGCAGTAAATCCTGTTTTATTTGTATAACTTTATAATAGTGATTAATATTTTTTGATTCCAAAAAGACCAAAATCAACTTAAAAAATATAAATATTATATATATACTTATTTTAACTCTTCCATTTGATTTAATCATTACATTTTCTGTTGTTAAACTTCCATGACATAGACCTTATTTATGAAGATAACTAATTCCACGTAATAATTAAATTAAAATCTCAATCTTTTCTTCTATTGAAGTCTAATATTATAGTAAATAATTGTGTAATGAATATTAATAAAATTTAATTAAATACACTACCTTATTATCAACTATGTTATATCCATGAATGTGATAAAGATATTAATGATTTAATTAATTTACTTATTCTATTTCTTATTTTAATTGTTCAATCAAATATGTTTACAATTATTTGAATTCAATTATTCTCATTCCATAATTTTTTTATTAGATTTGACAAACTAGAATGTAACCAAATCCATTAGGTTTTTATCTTTTTATTTATGGATTTACAACCTATTTTAATAATTCATTATAATCAAATTAAATCTATTTTCTTTCCATTACTGAGCTATCATTATTTAAAAATTATTAACGCATAGGATGTTCTGAAATAGTACTCATAGTAACATTCTTATTTCCCAAAAATATAGAAAATGTTTATTATCTTAAAGCCAAGATAAATGGAAATATATTTGCCAATAATAGATCAATTATAAGTAATGATATGTAAAGTAATAATTAATTTTGACTCAAATCAGATGAAAAGAATTTCTTTATCATTTCCTAATTTTCCATTAATAAAAAATTGCTTATTATTTAGATGACTCTTAAAATTGTCCAATAAAATATTAATTTCTATAATCTATTTGAAATATTTTCTTGTTTTGATGATTTAAATGGTGATCCTGAATATTTATATTATAAATATAATGATGTTATGATAAATTACACTGGTATGGATAAATTGATGACAATATTTATATAAAATAGTACCTATGCTTCAATATAATCAAAATTATATAACAATACAACTATTAATTATGCTATTCCATAAATTAAAAAAATGTCTTTCATTACATGAATTAACATATTGGGATTATATGGAAGTTCATCCTATTATCCAATATGTAAATGTGAATCATAATGCAAACAAACAACTGTCCAAAATAATGATTAATAAACTATCCAAAATAATCCATCAGGAATGTATATTGTATTTAACAGCTATTTTTCTATGCTCAAAATATAATCAGCAGTATTTTCTTTAAAAATCTATTTTACATTTGTATTTATACGTCATATAAATATAAAGCCATATTCAACATATAGGCTAAACAAGAAAATACAATTGAGAGATAAAAGATCTTTCCCAGGTATTTTGTTTTCTTTCCCATTTTGCAATATCTAATCACTCCAAAACAAAATATTGCTGTGTAAATCATACCTAAAACCAAAAAGGCTATCCCTAAAACGAATTCACTTTAGCTATTTTATGCATATCTCATTAATAATATTATTTTTATATTAATAATAATCTCGTGGAATTGGATTAGTTTAATCATTTTATGATAATAACTTAATATAATTTTATATAATATAATACATATTAATATTAATATACTACAATGTCAAAATTATAAAGATGTGCAACTGCAGGAGCCCTTGAAGCAAAAATGACTCACTATGCACCAGATGGAACTGGTAAATACTATTGAAACAATTTGTTAGGTAGAGATTCCTATGTAACATTATAAAATGGAGGAATTTGGAAAGAAATTTAAATTCAATGTGTTCATCCTGAATTGGGAACTTTTAGCAAATAAAAATAATGGAAACCTCCTGCCCCTATGATGGTCCCTAAATTTAGACATTATTAAAGTGATGGATCAGGAAGAGATAATTATGTAATGTAATTTTCATTTCTTATATTCTAGTGCAGATGAAGGAGGATTAGCTCCATCATCCAAAAAATTCCAAAGAAGAACCAACTTCTTCACATCTTTAAGAGATTATGAACCTTGTCCTCCAATACCCTAATAGGATTGCTTTAGATTAGCTTAAACTCCAAGTGCACAATCTTTTAAATAATACTTAAAAACTCAATAAATAGCAACTTAATAAAGTGATTTGATTAAAAGATTAAATATTCCCAAAATATCTGAAGATCCATATAAAAGAATAAGAAAGCTTTCAGCTCCATTTTATAGAAAATGATTAATTATTATAGGTTAATTATAAATTAATATAGACACATTATTAGAATAAAATAATAATATATAGTATTAGTATTAAATGATTTAAATCATTCTTTTTTTAATAAATAAGATATAATCACTATATTATTTAAATATAATATTCTTGTTTTTTAGATTGAATTTAATTCTGTAATTATTTATTATTATAATTTAATATTTTAAATTTTTTGTTTTTAACAAACAAATCCTTAAGTAATTCTAAGATAATCTTGATTTAATTACATTTAAAACAATAAATGGATATACTGATTAATTTTAATTATTTTCTTTAATAATAATCATATAAAATTTTGATAAGTATAAATATTTATTATAACCGTATTTCATTCTCCTAAACAATTAAAAATATGAATCTTCAATTAATGTATTTCGTACATTTAAGATTTTTATATTTAAATTTAACTATCACTTTTAAGTTTTAATGATTTATTTGATAAATTTTCGATTATCAATTCTTAATAAAAATTTATTTAGATTTTAACAATCTATATTTAATCATTTTTGAGTATAATTTCATAAAATTCTTAGAATTAGATATTAAGTTTATATAACCACCTTTTATTTTAATGAACTTCAATTATTAATTACAAATGTGTTAAATTCTGAAATTTATAAAGAACAATTGCAAAATTATATGTAATTTAGACATTTTTAATTCTAAATGACAATGAATTCTATTATGTCAAAATTTATTATAAATATTATATTATTTGTTTTTTTCTTAATAAATTTTATTATTTGTAGTCATTTCCAATTAAGATTCTTATAATATGTTACATTCTTGTAATATTTGTTAATAAATTGTATAATTTTAATAATAATAATATAATTAAATGGAGAGGATAGACAGCTTTGAAGGAAAGCTATTTTACAAAATTTATATGCTTTGTAAGAAAAATCAGATAAACGAAGAATAGAAAGGAAAATTAAAAGGTATTTATTAATACTGAACATATAAATAGACCTTGTGATTTTAAGAGATGAAAGAATTGAGATCGCAATGAATTAATATCTTGAAGATAAAGATGAGTTCCGACTTTTAGAAAATTTTCATAATTACTCTGGTGAAGAATATTCTCCAAAGAGTTTCAACAATTTTTCAGATGATGTATCAGTAGGAAGTCACAGCAAATTTAAGGGTAAAAGACCTGCTAAAATGGAATTACCAAAAAAAACATTCATGATCAATTTAAGAAAGTATGATGTCAAAAAATTATCCCAAAGAGATACAGATGTTACTACCTACTCTAAAGGGTTTCATTTAAGTACTGCTAGATCAAGTGATAACCGAAATGTGCTTGCTTTTAATGAACGATATACTTAATAGAACTGGAGTGAATGTGAATGATTATAATTTTAATATATTTATCATACACTAACTTTAAATGAAAAATAATATAAGCAAAGTTCTATCAAATTGATGTTCAAAGCCAATTAAGATTTTTTATTACTTAAGTTCATTTTAAGAGCATAATTTCAATTAAATGAATTTGGAAAATAAATTCATTTTATTAAATTTAGAATTAATGAATTTCAACTTTAGATCTAAATTGTTTATACATAATATAAACTAATATTAAAACAATTAGTAATGAATATGATTGGTGTTTAAAATATAATTTAATGTAATTCCTTCATATATTTTAAGAGATAATGATATTTCTATATATATATATATATATGATTCATAAGATTAACTGAATTCTTAATTATTAACATTATTAATCAATTATTTGACGATAATTTCAAATTATTATTTTTCTGATTTAATCATCAATATACTAAGATTATTAAAAATTGGTTTTATGTTATTAATTAATTATTATTATTCAAAAATTCCATAAACACTATTTTATGTATAAAAAAAATACATTATCATAACAGAATCTGGATAGATGGGTTTTTGCTTATTCATATGTTCTATCTTTAATATTTATTCAAATTAAGCATGTTTGAATAAAACTTTAAAATCTAAATATTTTCAAGAAGCTTAATAACATTAATTAAATTCAATTTATTTTTAAATAAGTAATTCAAATCAACCTCAAAAAATATTTCTAAAATTAAGCTTATATCCATCATAACTATGCATTTAAATTATCATTATTTTATTAATTAATCGTTGAGTCCGTAGGATAAGTTAGATTATTTTAGTCGCAATTCTGGTTCTATAAGATGACAATATCTTTGAACGTTATGAAACTCTAAATCACAAATATACATTTTATATATTCATCTTGATTAAGTAAGTAAATTCTTTTAATAGTATTTTTTTTTCTTTTATTTTGATTTTACATCAGGTTTAAAATTGAATCAAAAAAAAAATAAAACAAAATTCCCTATTTGATTCAAATTTTTAATAAAATTTGATTTTAAGGTAGGTATCTTCTTGAATAACAAAAAAAAAATTCATTAAATTCTTTTTTTATTTTAAAGAATATAAAGAAACGTTGATTCATTTCTAACTATTTGTTTTCAATTTAATTAACAAAGCATCTTTTTTTTTCTAATATAAAATGTATGGCATTAATAAATTTGTAGCCTAGTTTTCTTTGTAAAATAAATTTTGATTAAATGTGACACTTTAAACATTATAAATAATATATATTTAAGAACTATGTTAAAATAACTATTAAAACATTTAATGTTTATTCAAATTGATAGACTTAGAGCTTTATTAATTTAATTACAGTATTTAATTAATTTAATCTAAAATTATTGTAAGTAATTACGATTTAGCATACTATTTTACAACAACATCACTGTAAATAAGTAGATAATACATAATCAATTATTAAAGTAATATGTTTAATTTACAAAATTTGATAGTATAGTAATTATTCATTATGATATATTAAATTATATCAAATTTTTGTTAATATTCTTTTCCATATATATTTTATCAGTACTTAAAGAAGATTGTTTAATTAAATAAATTTGAAAGAATATTTAATTAAAATTTTGAATAATCTTTTTTTTTCAAACTTCATTCATTTTTTATTATTGATCATGAGATATGAATTAATTGGATATAAAGTAACTAATCAAGAGAAAAAATAAAAATAGGTTCTATTAAAAAAAAAATTAAAACAGAAACATTTGAAAATAACTAAAATATATAATTCATTATTTTTTGCCTTTAATCCATTAACCTTCTGTGACATGACCATTAGGATCAATTAATTTTCCTTTTCCATGTTGTTTTCCATTCTTCCATTCTCCAATGTATTTTTACCCATTCGACCATGTCATTTCACCTTAGCCTTCCTTTTTGTCATTTTTGAATTAACCTTAAAAATAAATTAAGGATAATACCTTGATATTGTTTCCCATCATCAATTAATATTCCTTATCCTTCCATTTTACCTTCAACCCATTATCCTTTGTAAAGTCTTCCTCCATACCATTAATATTCTCCATAACCATGAAAATTTTCATTTAAAAATTCTCCATCATAATATGATGAGTCATTCCATTTAAATATTCCTTTTCCAGTCTTTTTCCCAGCCTCAAAATTTCCTTCAAAATAATCTCCATTTTTCCACTATATTTTACCTTTTCCATGCTAGAATTAAAAGGAAAACATACAGGAAGACCATTTTTTAGTTCTCCATCGTATACTCCTCCATCAGGATAAACATATGGAGTATTAATACAACAACCCATAATTCAAATAAAATAATCAATCAAATTTGTACTATCAATTGATTTAATCTCATTTCCCTTTTTTCCAAGATTTGGCTTTCACTTGATTAGAAATTCTTAAATAATGATTCCTAAACCATTTAGTTCTCCTATTATTGAATTTTTTAGTTTCAAATCCTAACAATTTGTTGTCAGTTAAAAATTTAGAAAATAAAATGAAAGTATGAAATATATTATAGGACATACTTATTTTATTTTTGAAACATTTTACACAGGTAGAATAAATTTAAGATATAACAAAAATGTTAATAAAATCAACTTCATTATAAATTAAGTTATGAAAAAAATAGGAAATATAACATAGTTTATTTGATTGAATATTTTTTATATCTAATACTTAAATAAATAAAATATTATACATTATCACTTAGTATTTCATATGGGATTGTTTCTAATTGATTGAAAGTTATCATTAAAAATACTGATATCTTTTTGTCAAAATAACAACCATATTTAAAAATATTATATGAAAAAATTGTATTTTGTTTCTTTACATAAGTTAAGCATTATTCTCTTATAATTATTGTATCATTTTATTGAGAATTAATTAAATTAAAAAATATTTGGTAGTCTTTTTTAATATTTTTATAAATCTTTAATATAATCTATGTAGGTTATTTTAGTGAACTTTTAAATATAATATATATATATATAGTAGTCATATTGAATATAAATTTGTAATAATTATAGAAAAGGGGGTTATGAAATAAACTTAACTGACTCTAGTTAGAAACTTTAAGGTATGATATTTGATGTAAGATGATTGATAAATTTAACATTATTTAGGTATTTTAGATTAATAGATAAACATCTAACACTAAATTTGTAAATATGCCCCATTTTAATAATAATTATTATGGATAACAAATATATAGAAGAATTTGAGCATTTAGATTAAGATTAGAAAAGTTAAATGTTAAAGAACATGAAATAATTCATTTTTCAATTGCAGTTATAGATTTAAGATCTTGAGAAGAGTGCAATTGATATAATTATGGAAAAAGATGAAAAAATATAATAGTTAGAAGCTATAATTTAAGCAAATCATGGATCTAGACAATATAATAAAGATGATGAAATTATGCAACTTAAAAAGTAAAGAATCTATTTTAACATAGTCATATCAACGAATTAAATTAAAGGATTGATGTAATCTAGATGAAACATTTTGAGTAATTATAAGAATAGGAAAGAAAATGGAACACATACTTGTTAGATCAAATCCAATAAAGTAGTAATGATGGGCAACAAGAAAAAATAGAAATGTTAGAAACCTTGCATTATTTAGAAGAAAAAGTATATTCACTTGATAGAGAAGTATTAAATTCTCATATTCTAGTTGGAAATGAAAGAGAATTAATAGATGTTTGATAGGAACACAATCAATTAGTTAACAAATATTAATTAATAGTTATTAGATGAAAGTTAAGAACTAAACTAACAGTTAATCAAAATGTAGAGATAAATGGAATTAATGAAGGAACATTTTTAAAAGGAGAAAAATAGTATAGAAATTAAAATTAATGTATTCATTTCAATTTATAAAAGAAATAAAATATCCAAATAACTTAAATATCAAAATAGGCTTAATCATTAAAACTTCAAAATAATAAATTAACATAAAATAACAAAGAGCTACTTAATCAAATAAATGAATTGAAAGATTAATTGGAAACTTATAATGAATGTAAAGACAAAGTATTTTCTGAAAATTATTAATTATAATGTACAGCTCATTCAACTGATTAAAATTTAAGAGAAGATATCAATATAACAGCTTTTGAATTATTGGAAGAAAGTTATGAAGATAAAGATCTAACAACACATTTAAGGAAGGCTTTAGATGAAAAGTCTGAATTATGTATTTAATATGAAGAATGTCTTCGTTAATCAACTAAATAATTGAAAGAACAAAGAGCATAATTACAACTTTTATAAAATTAGCTCAAACTTATAAGAAAATAATAGTTTAATCAAAAGAACCTCAAAGAATATATTTAGATGTTAGAAAGTGATTATTTGGTTTCAAAATAATTATTATGTGAGAAGGTTGACAAATATTAAGAATAAGTTATATTCTTAAGTTAAGAAAATTATGATCTTAAACAAAAAATAAAATGTTTCTAATCTAGATTACATAAGAAACTTAACTGAAATATCTATATATATATATATATATATAATTTTTTATTATAAATCTTTAAATCATTTCTATTTTTAAAATACAATTAACAGTTATATCAAATAGTTTAAATATATTTACAATAATATTAGATATCACTAAGACAACAAAATTCTGAAACTCATTATTAAAAATTATGATATAATCATTAATTGCTAATAATTATTGAGATATTAAATAATAATTAAAAATGAAGGGATTCATGAATCCAATATTCCAACCTGTTGATAATGACATGCTAGTTGAAGAAAGAAGAACTTTTCAAATACCTATATCAGATTTTAAATAGAACAAAGAATTACCAAAAGAATATGAGAGAATTTTTTCATCCATCACAGACTCTTCCTAACAACTTAATGATAGCATATTATTGCCATTCGATAATACAAAATATGAATAAAACCTTTAACTTTAGAATAACAATTGTCATTAGATTAATCATCATACTTTATCATAAAATTAGCGACCAATCGTTAAATTTGATAAGAATCGCTTATAATAAATTCTGTAAACTCTTGCAAAACAGCATCAAATTTAATCCAAACCTAAAAATGAGTAAATATTAAATCAAAATAATTAATCAAAGAATACTAAGAATTCCAATTAGACTAATCAAATTTCAATCAACAAAATGAGAAATATTATCAAAAACGATTTAACTCCAAAAAATCAACCTATTATCAAATAAAATGAAAATGATGCCAAATCTCAAAAGCAAAGATCTTCTACAAATTATACTCCAAGAGTAGAGACATCTCTCATAACTGCATGTCATCATAGTTTCAAAAATTTAGATGCAAATCTTAACTAGAAATAAGATAATCCAAATATTTTTTAACTTTTACAAAAAAGAACAAAATCCTAATATCATCCTAAACAAATGATAAAATACTAAATTGATGAAATAAATGGAAAAATCTTACAACTGAAAAATCTCATCTTTAAATCAATTAAATATGATCATTAGTAAGAATCTATACAAATGTCAATATAAAAAATTATATAATAAAATGAAGATAGTAATCTCTTACAAAAAGAGATTGTTAATCTTAAAAGTTTTACAAATACAAAATCATTTAAGGAATCAAAACACAATATTTTTTTTAATGTTTAAAAATTAATATCATTGGCTAAAGAGAAGTAAAAAAAGTTATAAATAATAATGATTTTCAATAAAGATGGATCTTCAAATGATAGCATATAAAGTCCAAAAACAAATTGTATATTGTCAAGATAAACAACTTCAGACAATATAACAGAAGAGGTTTAAGATGATAAAAAAAAATTTTATTAATTAGTTGTAAATAGAAAATTAGAATTACCGTTTAATCATCCAAATAAAGATATATTATTAAGCGAATTATATGAAAAATCATTGAAATTGGGCATTAAGAAATGTGAATGGTAACAATTTATTGTTAATGAAGTGAAATTTTGAGTTCATTTTTTGATTCATCAAAATTTCATCATTTCTTTTGTTTCGTATAACAAAAATAAATAACCAACATTTATGTAGTTATAAAATATTTTTTTAGATTTTAATTAAATTTTATTTTATTTTTTATTAATTGAGATCAAGTTTTTTTGAAAATAATCATAATTTCATTGATTTTATTTTGAGTTCTAGTATCATTAAATTTAGATGATGAAAGTTAAATAAGAAGAATAAACTGATTTCATAGATCTTTGTTGTGGTTATCAGAAAAACAACGAAAAATATTTACACTTTGTGATGATATATTTTAATACTAAGAGGAGATATTTTTAGAATAGTAAAAGGAAATCAAAAAATATTAAATCAATAATAAATTATTGCAGTTTTTTTTTAAGAATTATTGATAAAAATTATACTTCTTATATTTACAATTCTTAACTTAAATATAATATTTTCTATTTTGTAATTAAATAACAAATTCAATTATTTATCCATGGTACTTTAATCAATTAGATTAAATAGAGATATCAAAAAAAAATAATTTTGAAAATGTTAAATTATTACAAAATTTATGAGCTGAATTTTACTTAATTTATATTATTATTAAAGTAAATATTATAATATGAGAGATGATTTTCTTATGATTCAACTCTTAAACTTCATAAAATGTTTAGAAATTTTAAATGAAACAAAAAATCAAACATTTTTTCAATCAAATGAACTTGGGGATTAGTTCTCTAGTTTTATTTATCTTTGAGTATAGAGGCAATATTCTTCAATATTTAATATATTAATTTTTATGTAATAACATTGTAATATGATTCTCAACGAACGAGGAGCTCTATGGTTAGGAGACTATGAGTCTGCACTCAACTAAGTATTGCAAATATTTATCTTTAAGGAGTTCCTTAAAAGCAAAGGGATACGGACAGTCATAACAGTAGCAGCAGGATTGAACTTAAAATTTGAAGGAATTGTTCATCACAAAATAGAAATATTAGATATAGAATTAACCAATATATCTTAATATTTTTAAATTGCCAACGATTGGATAGAGAAAGGATTTAATATAGGTGGAGTATTAAGTAGCACCAATCTATTATATGTAGCGAAGTTCATTGCATGGCAGGTGTCTCCCGATCTGCAGCTATAGTAATTGCCTATTTAATAGAGAAGAAAAAAATGACATATTATTAGGCCTTTACTTTTGTTAAATCTAAACGACCCCAAATTAATCCTAACAAAGGGTTTACAAATTAATTAATGTCATATGCTACCAGAACTTCTTACCCTCCAATCCAAAAATCGTCAAGAGCCAATCATTTTCAATAGACTTATTATGATTAGTTTGAAAGTAATTATTATGCCCCAGTTAATCGTAAAAATTCAGCTGGGCTTATTTAATAAAATACAAATTTCTATAAATCTATTACTAAGTCGATGTCATAAAGTAAAAGTAAAAATAAATGAAATTCTATGAATATAAATCTAAACATATTTAATCAACTACAAATTCTTATTTAATTTATAAATAAATTTCTAGAAAACCAATTATAAATTAATTTTCTTCCTTTAATGTTTTATAATTATATTTTAATGATTTATTGTATTTAATTAGATTTAGTTAATGATTCCATCTAGAAAAATAATTATATTTTTATGTATATGTAATTTATCTTTTCAATTATTTTATGATTTAAAATAATACATAAGAAATAGATTATACAGCATACCAAAAAAATTAATATTAAAACATAAGATAAGAATTATAATTTTATAAAGATTGCTATTGTTGTAGTTACATTAGATTTTTAATAAATAAGTTCAGAAATACTATTTACATGATTTAAATATGTGTTTAAATAAATCTTTTTTCAAATAATTCTAATTATTACAAAGAATAGTTATTATTTATTTTCTATAATAAATATTTATTTAGAACTACTAAAAAAAATGATAATTATCAAATTATAATGGAGATTAATTTAAAAATAAAAAGTTGAATCTAGTGTTTTTAGTCATAGTTAATCAAATTACTCTGAATTAGTTCTCACTAATCCAATTTAAAAATCTGTCAAATCATCAGATCTCTTTTATTCATTTACTAATTCTTGAGATGTTCCACCCTAATTTATGTATCCATTATCAAGATTAGTCATTCTTACTACATCTTAAGGAACATAGTGAACATGATTCTCCCAATAATTCCAACTATTTTTTAAAGAACTTTATTCTCTTTCCTCTTAGATTGGTACCATTAATTGATTCTAATATCTTTATTTTTATCTTTAAATAGTTATCTAAGAAGTTTATAATATATTTTGATTATTTCTTGTTTCAATGATATCACAATCATCAAAACTTTTATTTGATTTTTTTTATTGTGTTGTATGTAACCATGGATGCAAAACAAATCCTAATGATTATAATAAATCTTATACCTTCTGCAGATAATCTTTTATTTGGATCCTTTTCTAATAATCTTTTAAGCAAATCTTAAATTAATGGATTAAGTTGACTTAGAAGTGTAGAGTTTAATTTTGAATCAGTAATCATTTCTATTGTATCTAAGATTGTTTCTGATTGAAAAGGCAATTATCCAAATAANTTTAATCAACTACAAATTCTTATTTAATTTATAAATAAATTTCTAGAAAACCAATTATAAATTAATTTTCTTCCTTTAATGTTTTATAATTATATTTTAATGATTTATTGTATTTAATTAGATTTAGTTAATGATTCCATCTAGAAAAATAATTATATTTTTATGTATATGTAATTTATCTTTTCAATTATTTTATGATTTAAAATAATACATAAGAAATAGATTATACAGCATACCAAAAAAATTAATATTAAAACATAAGATAAGAATTATAATTTTATAAAGATTGCTATTGTTGTAGTTACATTAGATTTTTAATAAATAAGTTCAGAAATACTATTTACATGATTTAAATATGTGTTTAAATAAATCTTTTTTCAAATAATTCTAATTATTACAAAGAATAGTTATTATTTATTTTCTATAATAAATATTTATTTAGAACTACTAAAAAAAATGATAATTATCAAATTATAATGGAGATTAATTTAAAAATAAAAAGTTGAATCTAGTGTTTTTAGTCATAGTTAATCAAATTACTCTGAATTAGTTCTCACTAATCCAATTTAAAAATCTGTCAAATCATCAGATCTCTTTTATTCATTTACTAATTCTTGAGATGTTCCACCCTAATTTATGTATCCATTATCAAGATTAGTCATTCTTACTACATCTTAAGGAACATAGTGAACATGATTCTCCCAATAATTCCAACTATTTTTTAAAGAACTTTATTCTCTTTCCTCTTAGATTGGTACCATTAATTGATTCTAATATCTTTATTTTTATCTTTAAATAGTTATCTAAGAAGTTTATAATATATTTTGATTATTTCTTGTTTCAATGATATCACAATCATCAAAACTTTTATTTGATTTTTTTTATTGTGTTGTATGTAACCATGGATGCAAAACAAATCCTAATGATTATAATAAATCTTATACCTTCTGCAGATAATCTTTTATTTGGATCCTTTTCTAATAATCTTTTAAGCAAATCTTAAATTAATGGATTAAGTTGACTTAGAAGTGTAGAGTTTAATTTTGAATCAGTAATCATTTCTATTGTATCTAAGATTGTTTCTGATTGAAAAGGCAATTATCCAAATAATAATTGATATAATATTATACCAGCTGACCAAATATCAACTATAATATAAGTTTTATAATAATACTTTTCTCATCATATCCACCTCCCATAAATATTTCTGGTGCTTAATAAAATAATGAACCAGTCCTAGTCCACATGTCTATTTTTTTTGTTATTTTTCCTTTTACTAAAAATCTTTTAGAAACTCCAAAATCTATTAGTTTGATTATTAATTAATCTCCAATTAGAATATTATCAGGTTTCAAATCTCTATGACAAACACCTCTCTAATGTAAAGATAATAATGATTAAGCCAAATTTAATGTGATTTATTAAATATCTTCTTCACAGAATGATCCTAATCTTTATTCTAAACTAGGAAATGGACAATACTCCATAACAAGATGATGTTCTTCTTTTTTTGAATTTATAAACAAATCAAGTGCTTTTACCACACAATTTAAATCATTAAGGCCACGATTTAATTGGAATGTTTCTCTAATTGTGTTAATTACTTCCGTATCACCAGTTCTGAATACTTTCACAGCATATGCAATTCTGTCTTAAGCCTCATTATTAATATTAGGATCCCTTTTATAGTATTTCTTTACAATCCCATGGGCTCCTTCACCTAGCAATAAGTTATTGTTTTACCTATTTATTCATTCCCATATTCATAAACATCACTAAAATGTCTAAATTATTAATTGATAGCTCTCGGTTAATTTTTTGGAATAGAAGGAGATTAATTAAATCTGCCTTAATTTGAACTAGCATTTCTTTTCTTATCATTAAATAGAGCCTTTTTTAATGAGGCCCTTATAGCCATTTAATTCTGTCTATTCATTGAGAATATATAATAAATTTATTTTTCTTAATTAGTTTACAACAAAAATATATTCATTAATGGTGGAAATAAATTATTTCTTATTAAACAATGTTATTTCAACATATCAATAAGAATAGTACATACAGTTTTATATTCTTTAAATATTTAAATTACACTTTTTGTTCATTAATATTTACAAATTCTCTAAAATTATTGATTTACTTAAGTTTAAAGAAGTACTAAATTTTTCATTAATTGATTAAGCCATGTTTATGGATTTATAAATTATTTAATGATATAATTAGATTTATTAGTTTATAGAATGTCATTAGAATAGCTCTATTATCTAGATATTTAGATAGATTATAGTTTTATTGTTCAAGTAATTCTTTTATAGTCTTTTTTTTTTGCATTTGCTTTTTTTAATAAGTATCTATTGGAATTCATTTTAAATATATTTTTAAACATAATAATAATGAATTAGCAAAAGCAACCATTAGATCCAGAAAATGCTGTTTTGAATATTTCTTTAAAAAAATCATCAGGTCAATTTATATTCTTATCAAAAATCTTCTTGAATAAATTTGGAAAAGTTGATTTGCATGGTTTAGGAGAAGCAACAAAGACTGTAGCTGCAGTTGCTGAGACTCTTTAAAGAAAGGTAAATTTAGTTTGATAATAGCATTATGTAACAATAAAGAAAATTGAGACTTAAACATATACACCAGATTAAGGTGGAAAGAAAATAAAATTGATTGCATAATTGGAAGTAACAGAAGAAGGAAAAATAATGATTGAGAATGAATTGACCAAGAAAAAGGAGGAATAATAATAATCAGATTGGTGATTATGAAAAATATATTTTAATAGAAAGTGAAAAGAGTGTAATATTATTCGAATAAATGTGGTTTTCTAATATTAATTTTAAAATATCAAAAGTCTTTTTCCCATCCTTGATCTCCTTAATTATTACCATCCATTTATCTAACAGATTGCTCTTACTTTAGAATATATCATATTAGTTACTTTAATTTCATCCTCAATCATTCTACCATTTTGTTCAAGTGATTTTATTTCGATTTCTGGTAGTAATTTATCTGCTGGTGGTAAATAAGGTGTTTTAATCTCTTTTTCCAATAGTTTTTCCTAATATATATATCATATCATAATTTACCCAATCAAAATTTTCAAACCAAGGATTTCCTTTAAGACTTGCATAAGAACCTCCTAATCTGACTTCAGGAACTCTGGATAACAATCTAAAATAAATATTAATTAATTTTTTACTAATCCATAAGTTTCTTAGCCTTTTTATCTTTTAAATAATTAGGATATGTAATATCTTTCTTAATGATTTCTTCATATATTTCATAAGGATCTTCTGCTTCTTCTCCAAAAGGTACCATACCACACATGAATTCATAAAGACATATACCAATAGACCATAAATCAACCAAACAATTATATCCTTTACCACAGATGATTTCTGGTGCCATATCTAATATAATAATTATGTTATAAAAATACAATGAGGAGTTCCTATAATTGTATATGTACGAATAATTCCTTATTTTCCTTTAATAATTTTGGCAGTTCCTAGATCTATCAATTTTAAAAATCCTTTGTCATCAACCATGAAATTTTCAGGTTTAATATCTCTATAAATGATATTTTGATGATGAAGATATTCTGTAATTAGAATCATAGAGGCAACATAAAATTGAGAATCATATGTTGATAAGAGACCTAAAGATAATATTAAGAATTATTACCGATATCTCTAATCACATCAAATAATTCCATTCCTCGAACATATTCAAGTAGGAAATATACATCTAATGTATCTTTAAAGGTTTTCATAAATGAGATGATAAATGGAAAATTGACAATTTCTAATACTTACTTCTCTTATTACAAATATCTAATATTATAAATTAAAAGTACTTTTCAAGAGTTTATTCATTAATTTAATTTTTGTTAAATGCTTTTAAGACATATAATTATTGATTATATTTAGCTTTAACTAAGTAAACTGGACCAAATTGACCATAAGCAATTGTTTTTATATGAATTAATTCTGATTTTTTAATATTTTGAGCCTCTTTCTTTTTAGTTTGATCTGATTTTTATAATTTTTTTTCAAGTATTTTCTCATTCTTCTTAATAACTTCTTCTAATTCACCTCCTATACAATCTATAAAATTATCAGCAGTAATTTCTGCAATTACACCATCTGTTTCCATAACTATATCATCATCTAAACTAAATAATTGTTAATATATTATACATTTTAGCCTTATTTGTTTATAAGAAATACTCTTCTCCCCAAGCTTAAGCTTTAGTTGCAACTGTTATTCCAGATTTACTCTTTTTCAAACTACCTTCAATAATAACAATAATTTTTTGATTGGCTTATGTTCCTTTTTTAAGAATCACATCACCTGCCTTACATGAAGATATTTTCATCACATCTAAAACTTTATCAATTTAAGCTTTTGTTAATTTGCTTAATAAGGCATTTTTCTCAAAGGCCCATTTTTATAAATTTCTAAATGTAACTACATGAACCTAATCTCCTAAAATTTTTGTTAAAGAATCTCTTCCTAATGCCAAACATTTAACATCATCTTCAGCTCTTACAGTCATTTATCTGACTGTATTATAATATAAGGCTTATTCACCAAAGGAGTCTCCTTTATATAATTTTCTAACTTCTTTGTTTCCTTTAAGAACAGAAACAGTTCCCTAAAAATAATTAAAAATCAATATACTTCTTTGATAATATAAAATGAGGATCCAGGATCACCTTCATTTACAATAATTTAATTTTTATAAAATTTCTGTACAATTAAAACTGCAGCAATTGCATCTTTCTACTCATTTGTTAAATTATCTAAGTTTATTATTATTAAATTACGGAAAAATCTAACTACTTCCATAAACTTTCTGTTTTCCTCGTATTCCTTAGTTATCATTTCTTCAACAGCCCTTCTGAAAGTATTTCTATCGATTCCCCATAGATTGCAATTTTCGAAGCATTTTACTGATGCAGAACGAGGAGCATTATACAATAGAGCTAATTCACCAAATCCATCACCTGTTTTTAATTCTCTTTTAGCCTTAAAATTTTTGAATCAGAAAATTTACTTTTTCATTAACTATAACTTCTAAACTTCCTCTCTATAATATAAAAAAGCATGTTGCATGATCTTATTATTTGAAGATATAAGTTTATGCAGCAGCTTCACAATAGAACATCTTGTTTACTATATTCTCACTATAAAAACATCAAAATAAATTTACAGTTCTGCTTCACTTAGATTGTAAAATACAAAATGATTTTTTAAGCATGTCAAAATGAAGGTAGTATCATTTAATGTTTTTTTCATATCAATTCTTTTAACATTTTCGTGGATTACTTCACCACCTTCATTAATATTGTGCTTGAAATTATTTAACTTATCCTTAAACTTAATATATTAATTACTGCTTCATCTCCTGAACGTTAATCTTCATTATCGTCACCGTGAATTTAATTCTCAGAATTATTTTAAGACCTTGGATCCATATTAAATAAATTATTATATTAATAACCATTTTTTCTATTCTTATATACTCACACTTTATTGTAAATTTTAAATTCAAAGAATTCTTATTCATTCTTTTTGATTTAAAATCTATATTGTTAATATAGAAAGAATTGTTTTAAATTAATATCAAAACATATCCATAATATTATTATTGTCCATTAATTTTTTCTACTTTTAATCAGTTTTGTCTAAACTACAATAATTTATTGATTTATTATGAAATTTTGCTTAATCTATATTAATAATTTGATCATTAAAAATTTTCTTGTTTTTTACATATAATGTAATAGTATCATCATTATAGAATTATAAATATATTTAAACCTTTCAATCTACATTTTGATGTAAATTAAATACATAAAATATTCTTTTCGTTTATATTGTAAAATGGACAAAGATTGCATTCTTTTCTAAATGATTTGCAATAATAGTATGTAAAAGAGTTTGATATATATATTTAATATCTTTTTAAATATGTTAGTCAAAAAATATTAAAGTTTTCAATTAAAAATAAATCTTTAATTTTAGGAATTATCATAAGAGATTTGTAATGCCTAATTTCATTTTAAAGTTCATATTGATACATAGATATTTAGATAATTAAAAATTAATTAGTTTTAATATATTTAACACATATTTTTTATTGATAATATTTAGAATATAATTAAAAATTAAGACAAATAAATAATCAAATATTACTTTAATCTTTCATTTGTCCAACCCTTCAAATAGAGCTTATAAAGTATAAATCATAATCATCTCTTCTAAATATTTCAATAATTTTTGTTTAACCTTTCCTAAGAGTTTTTTAATAAAAATTTCAATATCGAGTTAAGCTAAATTCTAAATATTATCATTTGAAATAGCTATTTAAAAGCATATAAGATAAAATGCTAAATTAATTATTACAAAAATAATGCAATTATTAAAGAACTTATAGAATGTCACTAATATAAGTTTTATTTTCAATTAATTGGCAAAAAAAGAGTAGATTAATTATAGTTCCAATACTTTATAATATTTCAAAATTCGATCACATTGCAAAATTAGTTTACTATATAATTTATCTACTCATAGCATCTTAAATTTCTTGAACTGTCTAAACATACTTAAAACTATACCCTATAATTTATGAACTTATATCTAAAGTTGTAATTACTAATTTTATCTATATTATGTAGAAGTCAGATAATTTGAATTTTGAAATAACTTAGTTCTATAATAATTGAATTATAAAACTAATAAAAAATACAATGGCAACATTATTTTAATGTGATGGTGCAAACTGCATCGAAGCTTTTCTAGAAGTGGCCATTTCAACTACAGCTTCAATCATGGCTATAAATGGATTCAGAATAATATTTAGAGATCGTAATAAATTGTTATCGAAATTGAATAAAATTATTTATGGCATATCTATGAGTTAATTAATATTGCTTAGCGCCTATTTTATATTTTGGGGTAAATTATCAATAAAACTTTAGGATCTGATTTTGTAATTTCAAGTATTAGATGTCTAAGAATTTTGAATGAAATTTTATTATGTTCTTTGTTAGCAGAAATTGGATTTGAAAAAGAATTTTTAGATAAATTAGAAGTCTTTTTAAAGGTCTTAAGTGGATTTGTATTTATAGAATGGTTTTGGACTGCTATTATATCAAATGAAGAATATGAGTAATTTATTAGATAAATATTAAGTTATTATTGCTTGAAGATGGATTTGGTTTATTTATCTGGAACTACAGTCATTTTAACTTTATTGGCTAGTGGTTTTGGATTTTATGCCTTGGATTAATTATAAATATCTAAGCAAGAATTAAAGCCTACTGATTAAAATAAAATGGAAGAGTAAGCTTTAGAAATTAAAATATTTTTGGGTTGTGATTTGTTATCTGGCTTAATTTAATTTGGGTGGGATTATTGGGCTAATATGAGTGCATATACAATTGCTGATTGTAAATCATATTATGAAGCCTCATCTATTACTAGTGTAAGAATTTAATCTTAATAATTAGATATTTGTAATATTTATAATGAAAGTATTAACGTTGATGATATCTCCAATAGCTATTTATTACATCCTTTATTATAAACAAAGGCTATAATTCAATTATAGGGCTGCTAATGTTTTGGATATTAACGTCTTAATAGATAGAAGAAGTGAATTAGTTGTTGAATTAACAAATGCTTGATATTATTTAGTTATATATATATATATTCAGTTATTTATAAGGCTTTCACAAATCTGACATCTAATTAATCCTTTCACACCATGATTTCGAATACAAAAGTAATTACACCCAGGCTTTTTACAACTGAAAATTTGATTAGGTAAGAAACTGTTTTTTATAGATTTCAATTATTCCTTAAACATTTTATCTATTAACTAAAAGGGTACAAATTTTCTTAGTATTGAAGTTTTAATTTTTTATTAACAATTTAGGCATCTTAAGGTTTTGCAATTATTACTAATTTATATCTTAATGTAATCTCCTACACATTTTTAATGATAGCAATGAAAGCAATCCAATTATATTAAGTCTTTCTCAACCATAACTTAGCATTTATCACACATTTGTTACATATCAAATGAAGATGATTAATGTGTTATTTCTGAACTTTCTTATGTTATCAAATTTATTGTAAGTTTATGATGGTTTTTAATTTCATTTAGATAATTCTTAGTATTGCTTTCTATAAAATTCATATAATCATCAAAATTAATTGGTTTATCTTATATAGTAAATATGTTATTTTCTGAACAATCTTTTATAACCTTTATAATCTTTTATTTAGCTAATTCGACTTCTTTAATAAATCCATTAAATTTGCTTTATAGAATATCTATTAATATTTCCTACCTACTTGGTGCCAATATATTCTTTATTGGAGAAATGTGATGTGTTTATATTTATGGATACCCATTATTAGATTTGAAATTATTGTAATCATATGCATTAGAGCATGTTGGAATCATATATATGTAAATATAAAAATTATTTATTTTTTAAGTTTAATAATTATTATGATAAATGATATTATACATATTGTTAATTGTCATCTTTGTAAATCACAATAAATATTTATAATTATGAATTTAATTTAATAGAACATTTTCCTAAAATAATTTTATTTAATGATTTATACTATTCCTTATTATAATTTATAAATTAAAATATTTTTGTTAGTAAGTTCTATTATGATTCTACTTAGAAAACTGACGAAAGATTAGCATAAATGATTGAGAAAAGTTAAGTAATTACTATTAAACAAGTTAGCTTCGATGGGAAATAAAATAGATAAAATTAAGATCAATCAAAAATTACAAGAAAAATAAATAATATAAGTTTTAACTTTTAAATAAAAATTTAACATAATATAAATAGAATTTATATGAATTTGAAACATCAAATATTAGCATAAATTTCTTTTCTCAAATCTTCACTAAAATCATTTATTTCACTTTCCTATATCTCTTAATCAATTATAGATATATAGTAGAAATATATGTAAAAAAATAGTTTACAAAAAATTACAGATTTAACTTATAATATCATTAACTCATTAATGAGTATAGATGAATAAAGAACAATCATATGTACTAATTCATAATTCTAATGTTTAAAAAGCAAATCCTATGAGAGTAACATGAGAATAGAGTAGATATCTGATGAAGCTTTTGTTATTTTGAATGAATAAAACTTCAATTCTTTATTACAAGAAAATTATCTTTCAATTTTTAATTTGCGACTAATCTAAATAATAATATAACCACAACCAGTATATTATTTAGCTATTTGTATCAACAGTTTAAATTAAGCAAAAGAAATTAATAATTTATTATATTATTCTTCTTTTTTTGATAAATCAATTAAAAATCTTTTATTCTTTGTAATAAATAATCTGAAAAAGATAATTAGAATTAATCTGGAAGAGTATAATTTAAAGTTTATTACCTATAAAGATGAAATTTATTAGTTTATTGAGATTTCTAATTTTTATAGATAATTATTTAATTATATATTTAAAGGTCTGTAAAATAGTATAATAATCTATAGATAGCTCTTTGCTCTCATTTTGTAAAATATTAAATATTTGTTTTATTATTTTACTTCTCATTTAAAAATATACAAAACATTTTCTAAATTATTTATTTGTTTAATTATTCTTAATGCCTCCTAAGCCAAAGCCAAAGAAAGCACCCTAAGAACCAGAAGATGAATTTACTAAGATGACTGCTTAAGAGCTTACATAGAATTTAAATATATTTAGAGATAAGTTGACTGAATTGAAGTAAAAGAGAAATTATATCCAAATGGATCGGGATATGGTTCAAAATTTTTTCTCAAATTGCTTATCAGAAATTTAAGAGCTAAATATTAAAATCGTTAATAAAGAAACTGAAGCTGAATAATTGGAGGAAACTCATAGAATCCAATTAAAAAGCTATTTATAAAAAGTATAACTATCAATTAAGATAGGTTAAACATCTTGAGTATGAATAAGAAAAAGCAAATGATGAAATAGAAAAAGATGGAAAGGAAGCACATAATTTAGAAAATGATCATTTTTCTAAGAGAAGTGATGAATAAAAAAGATAAAAAACACATTTAAAAAAATTATAGGAAGAATATGAAAATTCATATATTCATGCAATTGAAAAGGAAGAAAAGAATAATAAGAAAACTCTTGATAAATCAAAATAAGTTTTTGATGAGACTTTAAAAAATATGGAAGAGAAATATAAAATGAGACTTTAAAAATTAAAAGAGGAATTAGAACTTAGACTTAAAGTAGAAATCCATGAACTAGAAGAAAGAAAAAATCTTCATATTAATGAATTGATTAATAATCATGAAACAGCATTTGCTGAACTTAAATAATATTATAATACTATCACTAGAGAGAATTTAGAACTTATCAAAAATTAAAAAGAAGAAATAGCTAGCATTAATGCTAAATTATAAAAAAATAGCAAAATCATTGCTGATATGAAGGCTGCAAATAATAATATTAGAATCCCCTTGAAATAAGCAACAGAAGAAAGAGATATTTTAAAAAATGCTCTAAAATAATTTTCAAAGGTAATATTGACAAATATTATTTTAGCATAAAATGTCTTTGTAAAATTTACAATCAAAAAATACTACTTTAACAGAGAAATATGCAGAATTAAAGCATAATAGTAATGACTTAAATTTTAAGTATGATAAATTATTAAGGGAAAAATAAGAATTAGAAGAAAAATTTGAAAGAATAGCTATGGAAGTTAAAAAGCATACAGATTTGTAAAATAATGTATTAAGTTAACAATTATAAAATATGTAAGATGGATTAGAAGAGAAGGTATCTATTATGTAAAAAATATTTTTAGGAAGTTTAATTAAAGACTATTGTAGAGAGAACCAATATGGATCCATAAATGTATCAATAATTAACTATTAAAATCAAGGAATCTATTGAGTATTCAATATTATTATTATTTTTAGAGCTAAAAATTAATTAATCAAGAATCTTAGATATTCGATTCATCATGCTACTAAAGCATATAATGATTCAATAAGAGTATATGAGGCAAAATTAGTTGAATTTGGTATTCCACCTGAGGAACTTGGTTTCTAGCCCTTGGCAACAATCACAAGCTCTATGCCAGCTGGATTAGTAAGTTAATGATCTTATAATTATACAATAATTTCATTATTATCTAAATTATTATAATTATTTTTTCTTGTTATTTTTAATATTTATATCATCTTAAGATTATTTAATAATAATATACAATTTATTATATCATTCTAAATATAAATATGGAATTTAAATGATATTCCAATCAATTAAATTTTTATAATATTTTAAATGTCAAATTTTATGATAATTCATTCTTAACAATTAATATGAATGCATTTTACCAAAGAATTTGCCTTTTCATTGTTTTTAACACATTGGTTATACTAAAATTATTATAAAATTATTACAGCATCAAGGCCCTCATAGATTGCTTTTTATTTACAACCTATCAATTTGTTTACACAATCTTCATTGCAATCTTTAAGATATTATGCACATTCATCTTTTAAACACTCTTAATACTCAGCCTTTTTATTTCTTTCTTATTCATCGTCTTATCCATTGCCAAAGTTCTAATTTTTTTCTTCTTTTTTTTTTTTTTCTTATTCTTCTTTTTTTTTTTATTCTTCTTCCTTGGACTTTGCATCTATAGCTTTTTTAGCTTCCTCCGCTTTTTTAGCTTCTTCTGCCTTTTTAGCCTCTTCTGCTTTCTTAGCCTCTTCAGCCTTTTTAGCTTCTTCAGCTTTCTTGGCTTCTTCAGCCTTTTTTTATTCTTCTGGTGTCAATAAAGAGGTTTTATAAGATAATTTTTCATTTTATTCCTTCTGTTGAATGATATAAAATATTGTTTTACATGAATTTGATTTTTTTAAACTTTGCTTAGAATTTCAAGTCTCTTTGAGGTTGCTAATGCTATCAACAAGATAATAATAAAGTATGTTCTCATTGTCGTCAAAATATTTAAATATGACTGAAAAAAATTAATAACTGAAATATAAGTTTAGTTAAATCATAAATTAAATTCGGAGGTTTAGTGTTATTTTTAAATAATTCTAATAATAATTGTAAAATATAGGAATAATAAAAGAGATTGAGAATTAAAGGTTTTAGCATATATTATTTCATATAATTGTAAAAATTTGATTAAATATAAAAATATAATTATATAGTATTAATGTCACTTAATAACTTCTTTAAGTAAAAGTAGTAACTGTAAAAAGAAAAAGAGGAATAAGATAAGTATAATAAAATAATAAATGAAGATAGTAAATGAAAGAGTAATCAGATTAAAAACGCAATATATAATCTGTTTAATTGAAAGCTAGAGCTTAATAAAGAATAGAGACATTTTAAGAAACAATGATGTCTAAATAATATGTAGAGAGTCTTAAGAAAGGGTCATATCCATTATTACCAACTAGCAAGCATTCATTTCGAGATAGAGAAAAAGACAAGGAGATGGAAAAGATGGGAGGAATCTATCTGAAAACGTATTTTATTACTTAAAAATATGATAGATTCTAAATAGCTAAAAATAGAGCTCAAACTGCATAATAGGAATTTAGATCTGCTCATTTAGCCACTGGTGAATTTGATCCAAACCTTCCAACTAAAAATCATGAGAAATGGTTGAAACCAAAAGATTTATCAAAGCAAAGTGAACCAATGAGATTTGGTTTAAGTTAGAGAACTGAAGTTGAAAGAGTAAATTAAGAAATAAAAAAGGTTAGTGAACAATTAGATGTTTAAGTAAATATTATATATAAATAATTTATAAGAATAAAGATTTAAAAATGTTAATTAGACCAAGTTGGAAAGATGAACAAAAAGATAAATGGTTGGATAATCATACTTTTAATATTTATCCATGTTTATATGATGGTCATAGGAGTGATCCTCCTTGGGAGCAACATCCTACTAATCTCAATAATCAAAATAACTAATATATTGATGGTTATGAAGTAGTTGGAGATCTTTCAAGATAGAGATTTAAAGAAAAAGAAGTATTTTACTATTAATTATAACATAGCATAAAAGAAGTGATTTTATTTCTACTGTTAAAGAAGATCAAATTGGAACTACTATGCATATATCTAGATCTCTAAGAACTATGAAATAAGATAAAATTTTAAATATGTAATAAAATTATGATGAATATTCAACCAATAAATAAATTGAACATTATAAAACTACACTTTTATAAACTAAAAGTATTGATCATATTACACCACATCAACATAGTAACAAGTAAATAAAATAATTATATTTTAGTTATAAAGGTCATTCATTACACAATTTGAGACCATAATAGCCAAACAAACTTTTTAGACAATCCATAAATTATTAAAATTAAAAAGTTATAACTAAATAACCTCCCCATTAACCTGTCATAGTATAAAACCAATTTCCTTCTTAAGATGATTAACCAACTTAATAAATGTTAACTGCAGATTTATTTATACCTAAATAGAAATTAACTTAAATTTAAGAGGTTTCTTAAGTTTAAATTTAAAGTCATCATTCAAATAATCCTTTTAGTCGTGAATCTTTAGCTTCATAAGGAGGAACCAGATCCAGATTCATGGATTAATATAAATAAAAAAAAACAGATTCTGGATAAATGAAATTAGGTTATCCTTATCATTTAGAGGATGATGAAACTACTGCTAAAATTATGGTTAAATATTTTCAAGAAGAACAAAAATGATTTATTTTTATAATTCATAGTAATATATTACTCATCAAATTGTAATTAATTTCTTCCACTTATTATATTATTTCATAAGTTAATTTTTAAATATCCTTATTTTTAGATTTTGTTAATAATATTAAATTTTAGAGTTCTAAAAATTCAGGACATTTATTTCTTTATATTTTTATTAGATTATTTAAAGAAATTAAAGTAAATAGTATTGAGCTTGAATTAAGTGAAAAATCATTTAGCAAATCAATCAATTTTAGATGTATTTTACTAAAAATTAATAGTTAAATTTAATTTTCATTTGAATTTTCAATTAATATTTTAATACATCTTATCGAGGCTTCTCTTATTTTTCTTGGTTAACAATCTTCTTAAAGTCTTATGATTTCCATTATTATAACAGTATCATTATAAAAAGGCCACAAAATATTATAATTCTTTTCACATTATTAATGAAAAATTATACTACATAAATTTAATATACATGGTATTTGTTCATTAAGAGAAGATTTAATAATGTGCTTACTGAAGTAAATTACAGATATTATCAATTTCTCATAAAAACTATCAGGTTCATTAATACTAAAATATGAAAATATTCTAGTAACAATTTCTATTAATTCTGTTCTCTTCATACAATAATCTAATAGATTTAAAATCATATTCAAATCTTGAATTACAAAATTATGGTTAAAAACTTAAACAATTGAGCAATATGCTTCTATTTAAACATCTATAAAATCAGAAGTCTCTTAAATTCCATAGTTTAGAAGTTTTCTTACTATATTAATTAAATATTCATATTCAAAAATATTTTCATCACTTATATTTTGAAGGTAATTCTTTAAACATTTTGAAATTAATAGAATTTTCATATTATCTTTTATAGAAATACAAATATCTAGAAATGCATCAATTGTTTATATTAGATTTTAATCATATATTTAATGACTGTTAGAATTTGACCATAAATTCATCAACAAATTAAGAGTTTCAATCACTTCTATCCTATTTAAAATAAAACTTGATAATATTTGAATTATATTACAGTCAGAACAGCTATATTTTAACAAATTGATGGAAATCTTCTCTGAAAATTGGGTTAGATTAACTAAAAGTTTTAATATTTCTTTTGTTAAATCATTCACATTATATACTATATGATTTGTTAAAATTGGCATTAAATTATTAGCATTACTTTCAATCAATAAAATTTGTTCAATTGTTAACTTTTTTTAAGTAAAGTATTATAAATAACCATTTAATTCAACTAAATTTCTTAAAGTAATAATTTTAGCTTTATCCATTGCATCTATCAACTATTAAAATGAATATTCTTGTTCTTTTTATTGAGAGAGAATTCTTTTTTATTGAAAAATTTCTTAATGCTTTTATTGTCTAATATTAATTCTGAAAATTTCTCTCTTTTAATTAAGCATTATTTTATATAATAATAAATTAATATATTAGTCATGTATATAACCATTCCCAATTAATAGTTAAATAAAAGAATTATCACAACTTAAAATCAATTGATTCATGAAAATTACATTTTATATTGTTATAATATAATTCTAACAAAAATTTAAAAACTTCTTGAATTAAAGAGTTACATTATAATAAAATTATAATTATTATCATTGTTTTTGAATAGAGAGAGAGAGTATATAAATAAATTTTAGTTATTAATTTAATTCAAAGTAGAAGAATATATTTATATTATATTAAATTATCACTTCATATAATTAATAAATAATGAATAATTTGTTTATTGTAGATTTTCATTAAAGTAATAGTTGAGTAGGATTTAATATCTTAATATTTAATATTTATTTAATTAAATTAAAAATAATGGAAATAAAAATAATATATTTCCATCTAGTTAATCTATTAAAATTATAGTAATTGAGAAATTTACTTAAATTAAATATTATAATGAGTATGTATTAGTTCAATCATCAAAATAAATTAGTTAATTGAAAAATGAAAAAGGATATTTTTTATAAAGAAATAAAAAATTTGATTATTAATTTTGATTTATTATTATGATTGTTGTGCTAACTATAATAGTGATCTACAGATTAAAATATTTAATAAAATGAAAACTAGGAATTCTGATAAACAAAAGTAAAGAGAAGACTTATCTGTCACTTGTTAAGAGGTATTTACAACAAAATTCTCTTAAATATGTTCTTCCTTTATATTATTTATTTATTCTCAATATAATAGAATGTATCTATAAGTGAATACCCATTTCCTAGTGCATTTTAAACTCCAATAAAAAGAAGAGGACCAATACATAAGAAGCCTAAATAAGTATTAATGATAATAACTAAAAGACAACGATTAATTTGAAAAAACACAAATCTTAAAGGTAATTTATCTGCTATGATGATTAAGATTTAAATATTCCTAATGAATATCAATAAATCCTATAAAAACATGTAAGTACTTTAAAATAAATTAAGAAATCTGATGATGATAGAGAATCTGATGAAGAATAAATAAAATATGCAATTAACTACTTGTATAAAGATTTATTATTATGTTTGGAAAAAGAGAAAAAATGAATTATTTAATTTTATAATGCTCACAAAAACTTCTTATTATATTTCAAAAATCACTTTCTTAGGTTTAATTATAAGTTTACATTCTAAATAATGTTAATATATTGAACATTTCAATATCAATAATTGAAAATTTATACTTTAAATAAATAAAGAATAAAAATAAAAAAAATGAAAATAATAGTATAAAAAGTATTAATAATAATAATAAATCTTTAAAAATTGAGAATTTCTAAGAAGAATTAAATATTTTTAAGGAATTCACTTAATTATTTTCTTTTAAATTGGATTTTAAAATAATCAAAATTTAATAATAATATATTTTCTCTATATATTTCAGGTTCGAATTTTTTTTAGAATGATAAAATTAATTTGTATTGATGAATAGTATAATTGACTAATATTAACACTAATAAACATTGCATTTAATATAATATTTTTAACAGATCAAGTATCACCTTCTTCTATCTCCATTAATTCAGAACTACTTTGTTAGGTATTAATTTAAACTATTCCTTGAATTTCATATTTAGGAGCATGTCTATTGATAGTTTCAACTATATTATCTACCTAAGATATATTGTATTCACTACTTATGATTTTATAGCTCCTAAAATCTGATTATCAAAATATATTTAAAATGAGTTATTAAATGGAGGTTATTCTTATTCACCCTTCAATTTTTCTTTAATTAAATTCCAACTATTTTGTAACACTTCTAAATTATTAAGTGTCTTTTATGTAAAATCACTTAATAGATTATAACTTTCTTAGTCATCTCCATCTCTTTATTAAAGGTATTCATAATATGTCTCAATTAATGATTCCATATTAATTGAAACTGATTCAATATACATTTGCATTGTAGAAATATCTTGATAAATTGTTTCTTAGATTGTTTATTCACTCATAATATGAAAATATATTATAATTAATTAAAATATGCTCATAATTATAGTCCATGTAACTACTTTCTTAGTTCATATTATACAGCCTACATTGAAATACCCGATATTGGATTTTATTATTTAATAATGATCGTATTTGATTGTGGCTGCTATTTTTATTATCTAGGAATTCTTGCAGATAAATGAGGTTTTATTTTTGGTTTAAATGAGCACTCTTTATTGATAATCTTTTCTTTTTCTTCTAAATAAGCTTTACTGGTTTCTTATTATTTTTATAATTTATTTTTTTGCCATTATTCATTCCTTTCTAAAAATGATGTTTGCTTCAAATAATTGGGATATTTCTTATTAAAAGATAATAATACATTAATCTATGGTTTGAATGTAAGTTCTTTATTCTCCTTTTCCTCAAGTGTAGGAGTCATTGATTACCTTATTGGTTTAGCAATTACTTAAGTTTGACTTTTATTGATTAAATCACCAACACTTACTTTTTACATATGAAATGAATTATTTTTCATTCTATCAAGCATTTTAGTGAGGTTGATATCAATGCTTTTTGATCTAATAGGTGATTCATCGTTCATTTTTTTTAACCGAATAGTTTAATAATTAATAATGATCAATATTTTTGATAAACAAAAAATAATCATAAACCCTTTGTATATAAATACAAAATTCAAATATATACTTAAATGATTATTTATTGGTATATCAAGATAATATCATAATTATTTTTGATATAATCATTTTAAGATAATATTATTTATTAAGAAATAAGAGATTACTTTTTTAAATGTTCACCTAATACCAAAATCTATTTATAATTTTATTTTATATTTATATTCTAAAAGGGAATTAAAGAATTAAAGAGATCTTTAAAATATTTAATTATCTATTTTTAATTTTATTCTGAATTTACTAAAGAGTAAAAGTATAAAAATTAATCTAATTTAATCCTTAAAATTTAATATATCAAAGAAATTTAGATTCAAATAATATCTATTAGATTTAGTAATACAAAATATTTCAATAATTTAATTTATTTCTCTTATAAAGAATAAAAATTATTATTATAAATTGAATTATAATCATTTTGGGATTGATGATTCATGAAATATTATAATGGGAAATGAATGTGTGAATAATAATTCATATGAACTCAAAATGATGTAATCGCTTTTAATTTGTCAAATTGAATTAAATTTACTGAGAACTTACATATTATTAATATACTAATAAGTATGTATTTTTTAATTATAGATAATTACTTATTTATTGTTAAGGAAGTTCTAATAGCTTCTATTTGAAGTTGATTAAATAATATTTATATTATTATGCAAGCCAAAGGTGACACTACTATTGATATGGAAATGATGATGGAAAGCACAGAACATTTACATAATTTAAAGAGTGATTCACATAAGGATTAAATAACTGATTAGAGTGGAGAGAACTAAAGCTTGAATCAAAAAATCAGTTAGATTGACTTGGAGTTCTAGAAGCTTTTATGTTAGTTAATCGAGTCTAAATTAAGTCAGAATACAATTTCATAAGTACGTGCTTCTATTTATTTAAAGGTTCATGACTTGTTAAAAAGATTATCTAGTTCTCTAATTTTAGAGATTCCTAAAGGGCCTTAGATACTTAACAGTCTTTACTAAATCATATTAGTAAGAAAATCAACAATCAAAAGAAATTTTCCATTCAGTCCATTGTCTAGTGTATTGTCAAGAATCAAAAAGTTGATCAAGAAAGTTAAATAGTAGATATTAAAGAGGTTGAATTTGTTTCAAAAATCAAAAGATCATCAAATAAACCACCTTTCTTCATTTCATTTGTACAAATCCTAATGTAAGAGAACAGATGATCAAACAGAGTCATTGACCAGGCAGCTATCATTTGAATAATACAAGGAACCTATCTATAAACAAATCACAATTATATAGGGATAAGGATTAATCAAAATATGATTATAAATAAATCTCAAAGGTTCTAAGCAGATAATTTTTCTATTTCCTTCTAAAATCTTTCTTATACAAATTTATTTTTAAAATGTATTTATTTATTTCTCATTGAAATTTGAATGTTGATATGTTCATTTCTTCTTTAGATCTGAGAATACATAATTTTTCGAGAGGAAGATTATTCAGTTTAGAATAGCCTGGTTTTTCTAATTAAAAGATCTTAAATAAAACATACTTAATAGTTTCCAAATTTTAGTTATGTAAATTGTTAGCTTCATCTAAGAGGTTTAATATTTTGTTATTAACTGATTTATGAAATGAAGTTTATAAAGATTAGATCTTATTAATGTCTTGATCTTGAGTGTCTTATTTAGAATTTAATCGTCTTTCAGTAGCTAATAAGAATTTTTAGGAATTTATTCTTGAACTACACTTAGTAGTACAAGTTGAAATAGGGAGAACCTTTTAAACTTCAGTAAATTCATCATTAATAGGATGAACATGTTTATTAAAATAGATTTCGAAATCCTTGATTAATTAATCTCTTCCTTTCGTTTTTTGTTTACTAAGAACTTCTGAGAGTTAAGACAATCTAGTCATTTGATAGATTTGATTATAGTATTTATCTGACCATAGTTAATTATTGTACATAAACCCTTGGTTCTTCTTCTATTGATTCATATAATCATTTTAAAGTCTGTTACTTTTAATCTATTGTAAAACTTAGCCATAATCAGCCTTTTCAGCAATAGATTTTCTCAACCCTCCAATCTTCTTCAGTTACAGATAATAAAGATCTGAATGTGCTTTTTTTACATAAGTTTAGAAAGTCTTATGTCTTTGTAAGAATGCTTGATCTGAGACTATGTTGGGTACAAGGAGAATATGCTTGAATTTATTTTGTTCTTTTGACATTAATTTATTATTAATAAGGTTAGTTAAGAAATCTTACTGATAGCATTTCTTATACTTTTTAGATGTGATATTAGTTTCAAAGTAATTGTGAATAATGATGGATGAAGAATAGAGAATTTAGAGATCAATTGCGCCAAATAAATTAATAAACCTATATATAAATTTTTAACGAACATATGCAATAACGCAGACCTAAGCTGAAATCTTTGGATAATAAAGAGAATCATCATACTTCTGAAACACCAAAACAGACTCGTAAACTGTTTAGGAAAACAACACCAAAATTATTGTAGCCATTACAAATGGATTAACACATAAGTTCAAGAGAACCTTTGACTACAAAAGTAGATGGACCACATAAAATCAGATTAAGAACATATGTTAATACTATTGAAAATTTGATGAATGATAATTTGTTAAAATTAATACCTCCAACATGTGATGGGACTACTTACTCAATTGGATAATCAATAGGTAAGGGAAGCTATGCTACAGTAAGACTTGGAACTAATAAATAAGGGTTTAAAGTAGCAATAAAAGTATATGAAAAGTTATTCTTAAAAGGCGAGCGACTTAATAATCTCGTAAAAGAGATCAGTGCATTGAAAGCACTTAATCATGAATAGATTGTTAAATTATTGGATGTTTATCATTGTGGAAGTACAATAAATTTAGTATTGGAGTATTGTGGAAATGAGAGTCTCTTTACTTTGGTTAAATAACATAGAGCATTATCAAAGGATTATGCATTCAATATCATTCATCAATTATTAAAGATATTAGTATATATTCATGAGAAGAATATATGTCATAGAGACATCAAACTTGAGAATATTCTTATAAACAATAAAAAAATTAAACTAATTGATTTTGGATTTAGTACAATATACAATTGTATTACTTGTCATTGTGGTACACCTAGCTATATGTCACCTGAAGTAGTGACAAAATAGAAATATGATGGAAGAACAACTGATATATGGGCATTAGGAGTTCTTTTTGTTGGTTTGTTATAAGGTAGCTTTCCATATAAGGGTTCAACAGAGAAAGAACTCTTCTCTAAAATCAGAAATAATGACTACACTATTAATAGTTAGGATAAGGATGTTAGAGTATTTTTAGGTTAGATATTTGTTTTGGATCCTCATCATAGAGCTACTGCAAAAGAGGTAAATATTTATTACTTTTATTCTTAGTTACTATAATGCGATGTATTTCGATCTATGTGACTTTATTTATATAATTATTATTTATAAATTTTTATTTTTCGAAATGGTAACTTCTCACATTATTCAAATAGTAACCAATCAATGATATCAATGTTGATGAAGTACTTAAGGGATTATCAGCAGTAGAAGGAGCTAATGGTTTTGTGATATTCAATTAGGATTGTATATTAACTTAAAATCATCTATTTTAGGTATTCCATTGAAAAGATCAGAAAAAAACATTACTTACGAAAAAGCTGTTCACATGTCAGCCTTGGTTGCTGATTTATGGAATGTTACTAAAAAATGCATCTAAAGAGAATTAAGAAGTTAAGATGTATTAAAATATATTAATTTTATAAGAACGATCTTGAAATCATTAGAATTAGAACTAAGGCACAATCAGAATACATTATTTCTTAATGTATTTACATATATATCAATTAGAGGGTGATTATACTATGATTGGAATACAATTATGTGGCAAAGCTATTGAAGAAGCTAAATTAGCTGCTGCTGCTGAAGCATAGGCTGCAGCTGAAGCAGACAAAGCTAAAAAAGGAGATAAAGAATAAAGTTGATTTATTATTATTAAATATTAATATTACACTAATAATAATTAACTTTGAATTTAAGGTTAATTTTTCTAATAAAATAATAATTACAATTATACAGTATAAATTAATGTTATTTATTTTATGAATTATAAACAACTCATCTATTGGGAAAAATAAGGCTATGATTAATTATGTGGTGTGCATTGCATAAACTCTCTATTATAAGGACCCTATTTTAATGAAGTTGATTTAGCAACTATTGCTTAAGAATTAGACAGATAGGAGATTGAATTATTAGGAAAGACAGGTCATCGTTACAAATCATAAAATGTAGCAGAAGATGGTAATTTCTCAATCTAGGTTTTGGCTGAAGCCTTAAAAAAATTAGGAGATTTATCAATTGAATCTGTTGATTCAAAACTCAACTAAAATTAAGACTTGAGGTATTTTATTTTTTTATATAAATTAAGTTAAGAAAGTGGATTTATATGTAATTCCTCAGCTCATTGGTTTGCAATAAGAAAGATTGAGAATATTTGGTACAATTTAAATTCAACGAATAAAAGAGGACCAGAAATAATTAGTGACTTTTATCTATCTGCATTTTTATTATCAGTAAAAGAGAATGGATATTAAATATTTGTTGTTAAAGGTGTTTATCCTCCACCATAATTAGATGTATTTATTATTTAATCTATCTTTATAGAATATCAATTAGAATGATCGTTAAAAAGTGCTTACTGCCTAATACATTAAATAAGTTCATGATAGAAGAGTCAAAAAGAAGAATTATAAATTGAATATAGGAGGATCAGATGAAGTTGAAATGGAAAAAGCATTAAAAGAAAGTAAAGGAGAAAAATATGTATTTTTAATTTTTCATATTTTTTTAGGAATCAACAGATGAAGAATTTGAAGAAGAGATTCAATAACCTCAAAAAAAATAATCCACTCCTAAATTTCAAGGATAAGGAATTTAATTTGAATTTTAATAATCAATTGTAAATTATCCAAATTTTAACATTGATCCACTAGATGCTGAATATAGATCTATTATACTTATGACAATTGAATAAGTAATAATATTATTAATATATTGCTAGAAATTTAGTATTTAATTAGAAGAAGGTTTAGTTATTCTATTTTAGTTGCCTGATGGAAAAAGTAAGTAATATACTTTTAGTTATGATGCAACAGTTGAAGTATTAATAAAATCTATTAAAATTAGGATCTTTATGATTTTATTTTTTATGAAAGTAGATAAACACCTATGAAATTCACTTTAGTTTGTCCAATATAAAAGTTATAACTTTTGGATGTTTCATAATAGCTTCTAGATATTGGAATAGATACAATGACTTAAATTATTGTAAGAAAAGAATGAAATTTAAATTATCAAACTTCATCACATTATACAAACAAATATTTATTTAGAAGTCTTGTGTGTTTTTAATATAAGCTATAAATTTTTTAATTGAAATATAATTATAATCAATAATTTATAATGCTTACTGATTCCTCATTATTTTACAGTTTCAACAAGCAAACTGCTATAAAAGTCTAATTAGTATTTTTGGATATAAAAATTGGTACAGATAAACCAAAACGAGTCATAATTAAATTGTTTTATGATGAAATGCCAAAAACTTGTGAAAATTTTAGAGCATTATGCACAGGAGAAAAATCTAATCCATGTATAATTTCAAATAATTAGAAAAGATGTGAAATTAAATTTTAGAGATGTTCCTTTTCATAAGATTTATAGCAATTTCATGGCACTTGGTGGAGATATCTTGAATAAAGATGGCACAGGTTAATGCAGTATATATGGACCAACCTTTAAAGCTGAACCTAAAAGGTTTAAACATGATTAGAGAGGGTTAATTTCAATGTTTAATGATGGAAATGGCAATATAGGGTCTTAATTCTTTTTTACTTTTACAGATTGTTCATGGGTTGATGGATTGCATACAGTTTTTGGAAAGATAGTTGAAGATTATAGTATATTAGATGAGTTAGAAAAAGGTTTCAATAAATTTATATTATTTAGTTTCATCTACTAATGGAGCACCAAAGAAATTAGTACGTATAGTTGATTCAGGTGTAATAATGTGAAAAAATAGCGAATTAATTTTTTCATTTAATTTTTTTGCCTTCTTACCATTCTCCTTCAACAATCTTCCCATTTTTTAATAAATTATTAATCCTCTTCCATGTTATTTATAATAAAACCATACATCCAACATATTTCATTCCATTCTTCCAAAGCAAAGCTCCATATCCATGTTGTTTAAAGTTAAGTAAATTAATATTTTGATGATCATTACATTCTCTTTATTGAATTCAAATTCATTATTTTAAATATCTAATATTTTCTAATGTACCTTCTTGGTAAAATCCATCATATACTTTTCCATCTGGCCATTTTTTAAATACCTTTGCCATTCATCTATTTTTTAAGCCATTGCCCTTCAAAACCTCTTCTATTTGCCCAAATAAATTTTCAAACACAATTCATTTTATTATCTTAAAACTTGCCCTCATAACTTTGACCATTTGGTTTCGAATATTTACCTACACCTTCCTTTTAATCATTTTTTAATTCTCCTTCATACTTATTTCCATCAGTCCTGTTTCAAATCTTCTTACATATTATTAGCCTTACTCTCAATCTCCCAATAAAATTCCCCTTTCTATTTGCCTGATCAATTTACCATTCTTCATCATCTGAGAATTATATTCAATATGTAAAGTATAAAATATTTTGTCCAAATAAATATTTGATTAACTTCTTCTATTTTGACTGTACATATAATTCTATCATCATGATAAATATCATTAAATTCATTATTTTTCCATTATCCAATGTATTTTTTTCCATCTTTTCAAATTTATTCACTTAATCCCTCTCCTATCTTATTTTTATAAATATTTTGTTATCCATTCTATATAATATTTAGAACCATCAAAAAATTCACATGAACATTTACTATTTGCAAATGATTACTAATTGATGTTTTTATTATTATTATCATTTATTTTTTCTAATTAATATTTTTGATGTTATTATTATTAATTATTATAATTCCTTTTCGATCCTGTACACTTTTAAGTAGGTATCTCGTTTAAACAATATATATATATATATTAAATTATAATAATTCATATTATATTATCATATATATGCTCAACCAATAACTTCTACAAAAGTCAAAATTGTAATTACCTAATGTGGTTTGTACTACATAAGTTGTAATAACAGCTATAACAAACAATTTTTGATTTGTTGTAACATGTATATTTTTAAGGAAAAGGGGGAGCTTTGGTTTAATTGGATTGACTTTATGGGCAATTAAGTCTTTGATTTTGAAGTAAATTGGCTTATTGAAAGGAATAGAGTATTTAGGATTAATGATTGAAATTAATGGTGGATTGTTTTAATCTGAATTCTCCATAATTAAGGTTAATAATAAAAAATGTTTTTCAGAACTATTAATTGTTAGCATTTTTAATTATTAATTTTTAACGTATATGAGTATTTAATTGAGAGTGGAAGGAGCTTCAAAAGATTTAAGAATTATGTATCCAGAACCAGAAGAGATTCAACTAAACTTCTGTACTTTAATAGATTTAGAATTTACAAGTTTTACAAACAAAGAGGAAGAGATTGTTTNCACCTTCCTTTTAATCATTTTTTAATTCTCCTTCATACTTATTTCCATCAGTCCTGTTTCAAATCTTCTTACATATTATTAGCCTTACTCTCAATCTCCCAATAAAATTCCCCTTTCTATTTGCCTGATCAATTTACCATTCTTCATCATCTGAGAATTATATTCAATATGTAAAGTATAAAATATTTTGTCCAAATAAATATTTGATTAACTTCTTCTATTTTGACTGTACATATAATTCTATCATCATGATAAATATCATTAAATTCATTATTTTTCCATTATCCAATGTATTTTTTTCCATCTTTTCAAATTTATTCACTTAATCCCTCTCCTATCTTATTTTTATAAATATTTTGTTATCCATTCTATATAATATTTAGAACCATCAAAAAATTCACATGAACATTTACTATTTGCAAATGATTACTAATTGATGTTTTTATTATTATTATCATTTATTTTTTCTAATTAATATTTTTGATGTTATTATTATTAATTATTATAATTCCTTTTCGATCCTGTACACTTTTAAGTAGGTATCTCGTTTAAACAATATATATATATATATTAAATTATAATAATTCATATTATATTATCATATATATGCTCAACCAATAACTTCTACAAAAGTCAAAATTGTAATTACCTAATGTGGTTTGTACTACATAAGTTGTAATAACAGCTATAACAAACAATTTTTGATTTGTTGTAACATGTATATTTTTAAGGAAAAGGGGGAGCTTTGGTTTAATTGGATTGACTTTATGGGCAATTAAGTCTTTGATTTTGAAGTAAATTGGCTTATTGAAAGGAATAGAGTATTTAGGATTAATGATTGAAATTAATGGTGGATTGTTTTAATCTGAATTCTCCATAATTAAGGTTAATAATAAAAAATGTTTTTCAGAACTATTAATTGTTAGCATTTTTAATTATTAATTTTTAACGTATATGAGTATTTAATTGAGAGTGGAAGGAGCTTCAAAAGATTTAAGAATTATGTATCCAGAACCAGAAGAGATTCAACTAAACTTCTGTACTTTAATAGATTTAGAATTTACAAGTTTTACAAACAAAGAGGAAGAGATTGTTTAATTCTAGCTTAATGAAGTGGTTGCACTTAAAATTTAAACCTAAGAAGTTATACTCTAATTAGATCCAATAAAGAAAAGATTTATGCTCTAATGTTTAGTATATCCAGGTGAAAATATGGTTTGGGTATCATGCATGAATAATTATGTTGTCACAGAGAAATCTTTAGATTATGTTTTAATGGGTAAAAAACCATAATTAGAAACAATAACAGAAGAGGATGATATAGGTAGTCCAATTAAAAGAAGATCTGGAAAGGAAAATAAACCAATTGGATAAAAATAAATTTATTCTAAAAACATATCTCCATTGAAAACAAAAAGTCCAAAAAAAAAGGATTAGACTACAAGTACAAGTAAATTATGAAATATAGAAAGGACAAAAAAGAGTACTCTTCGTTAGTCTTAATCTATGGTTTAAACTCCAAAATCTCCATTAAAAGGAGACTATGTTGATGCCTTACTTGCTTAGTTGATTTAATAGAATAGTAGAAAGAGTAAATCTAGAAAGAGAAGACCATCAACATCATATCCTTTGAGACCTAAGATAGATAGTGAAGGAATGATTGATAGATAATGGTTAGAAGAGGAAATGATAAATGAAGATTTGTGAAATATTTAGTTATATATTTAAATACTTTTTACATCAACATTTGTAATTTATATTATAATTTTTGAATCAATAAATTGTATCAGTGATTATGATTATGATTATTAAAATTTCAATCAATTTTATGAAATCTAATTCATTATCATCGTACAAAATTCCAAATTCCTTATCTCCACCTAATTTCTCTAAATAATTGATTTTCTAACAAAAATAACTATGTCTATCAAAAGTTCGAAAATAAATGCAAAATGTTAATGATCCTTTCAACTCTACTTAAATATCAAAAGCTCTTCGTAATTTAGAAACTCAACAATAAAGAAAGAAGTTATTAGATTCTATTATTAAGTTGAGGGAGTCAAAGAAAATAGAGGATGAGAAATTAAAACAATTTTAAATGTAGAAATTATGGGAAAAGGCAAATCATACAAATAGCAAAAAACTTAATACAGATTATTTTTATCATAGGGATTTAGATGATTTTGAATCTATTAAATAACAAAGATTTAGATTTGAATCAGAACGAATTGAGAACTTTTATATGAGAAATGAAGGAAATCATCATAATTTACATAGAATTAGTAGTTTAAATTGTTTGACAACTGAATTTGTAAATTAAAGAAAAATAGTTTAATAAACAACAAGAAGGACTAGAAAACATTTAACTGCATTTTAAAATAAACCAAGAGATCTAAGTAGAAATACTCCAATTATTAATGAGACTTGAATTGATTATTATGTTTACTATAGAGTATTTTAATACAATTATAATTACATAATACAATTAAAAAAATTGATATATAAATAGAATGAATAAAGTCTTGAAGAAAATCCTTAGATAATATTTATTAGTTGGAAATCAAGTAGAGGGTAAATATCTAATTCCCAGTCCTCCTTCTAGAGTGGCATCACCTTTCATCTTATATTTGAATGAGTAATAAAAACAATTAAAATCAGAATTACAATAAAAAGTTGAATAAAGAGATATTATTAAATTGCTTAATCAACATTATAAGCTTAAGACTTAAGAAGAAAAATAAAAATATTTTGATTAATATAGAATATCTCTATTGAAATATATGTAAGAAAAGAGAATTTATGATTATACTTTTAAATATAATCAAAATAATGGAATTAAGAGATTAGAGACAGCTTATGTAACAATGAAAAGAAGTGAAAAAAGGAATTTAAATAATGAATAAATGAGTATTGAATAAATAAGAGAATAATTTGGTAAATAGTAATTTGAATTGAGTTAAGTAAAATTAATAGATGCTACTCCAGAAGAATTAGAAATTGCTAATCAAGTTTTCAATCTAATCACTTTACATTAAATTTAAATAAAAATAAATTGTCAATAATATTAAATACCTGATTTATTCAATTAACCATAATTTAGAAAGAAATGTAAAGAATTTACATAAAGTTTTTTGAGATCATAAAAATAAGAATTAACATTCTAATAATATTTGATTTAATTCTAAGAAATGAAAGAGGATTAATTGATCTAATATAATAATGAGTTATAAGAATTAAGTAAAAAATTAAATGATGATCCATCAAATATTGAATTAGCTATTATTTTAAATTTAGATAAACCAAAAAAGAAAGAAGAGAAATCTAGAAAAAGAAGTGTAAATGTGGATTCTTAAAATAAGTTCTTAAATGTTTTAACTGAATACTTTAAAGATGACCCATGATTAATATTAAAATATAATATATTAGATACATATTAATAATAATAATGGGTATTTGTGCAGGAAAGTCTTAATAAAAAGAAAATCTAATGACAGATATAGAATCCATACCTATCTAAACTTAAGGTACTTTAGAGTTTAATGTGAAAATATCAGGTATTAAAGTTAAGATGGATAATCTGGTATTTTTAATCTAGTGATTATAGTACTATAGCCAGCTGGCAAAATATCAATGAAAATAGGTGATTATGGCTAATTTGAAACAGAATGCTCTAAAGAACTTTATGGAAAATTATATGTAAAATAAAGATTTCATCCAATAAATTTAGTTTAAACAAACTCATGCATTTTAAATGTCTATAACAGAAGAACAATTGAAGAAGCAATATCTAAATGTGACATTGTTGACACCAAATAATGAGAATATTGCATCTATTTAAATTAATTTGTTTTTAATAGCAACTGGACCTTAACATATGGATTATGAATATACTGGCCTAATAAATAAGAAACAATAATAAGGTAAAATAAGCTTTGATTTTAAAATTGCTTAAATAATTAAAGTAAGCATTGTACCTTAATTGATGGAATTTAATATGAATGAACCGTTAATACACTCAGAGTATTATTATTCTCTCAAAATGGTTACTTCAGTCTTGTGTTTTTAAAGTGAATACTCAGATGCATTCTTGAATCCTGCCTATTAAAAGAATTTGCAATCGATTAATAATAGTGCGTAATCAAAATAATAAGTTATTAAATAAATTGTATACAAATAATGTGGAGTTGAAATGACAGTTGAAGTTCCTCTTATAGAAATATCATCCTCTAGTATTTAAGTCTGTTTATGGTATAACGAATAGGCCAATATAACTATAAATGCAACATCAGCAATGAGTAAACCTCATTATACTCTTGTAGCTGAAACGTATTTCAATTTAAATTAAATCTTTACTTAAGCACTAAATAGTGAATAAGTAAATTATTATAATATTAATCTTTTAGATTTGTGAGAATAATTTAAAAGTTTATAAGATTTTATATTAATAAGCAAATAGAAGGTTGTGGAATCATGGAGTATTAGAAGGCAATTTGAATTGTAATCTATAAGTTATTATTCCTACATATTTAAATTAATAAATTGTTGGTGTTAGAACAGATAAAGGTATATAATAAGGAAGTAGTGTTGTAAATTCAGGAAAGATGCCAGTTAAAGAAATTTAATAATTAAGTTAAGCAGGTCAATAATTATTAGATGTTCAATATAAAATATAAAATTGTTCATCTAAAGATGTAATATTATATAAACTATTAATTTAGCTATTTTTAAAATCAGAATTGAAGAATTCTCAAGCTCTCTATCTTAGAACTATTTAAAATATATTAAAATAGACTGATAAATAGTCAATCATATGTTTTGAATACAAATCTTAATAGGATCTATTCAATGCTCAGAAATTATTAATTGAAATAGCTTTAAAATTATTAGAATCTGCAGATTTATAAGAGGAAACAATAAGAGAGGAATATTATATATTACTTAAATTAATTTTAAATAGAGGAGAATTAAGTTTAAATTAAGTAGGATTTTCAGAGGAAACAGAAAAAACTAGTGAAAAATTGCTTAAATTTAAAACCGAAATAGGTCTCAATTATTAATCATTTTTATATAAATGTCTTGGTATTGTATTATAAAAATTGAAATAAAAATCATTGGCTGATAATGAAAGATCATTTGTTGAACATTTTTTTGCAAGTGCTTATTTTAAAATTCCTGAATTTAGAACTAAAATAATTGAGAGTGTTTAAAGATCTGATGATCCATAATTACCTGAATGGAGATCACTTACTAAATAAACTGATGAAATAACCAACAAAGAATTTAATGATTTATTTGATTGGAATAGACACTTTTATGAATATCTTACTAAATAACCTAAATATAATGCTAATATCAATAAACTTATGGAAATTATTAATTAAGAAGAATGGCAAAAGAGACTTGGTAAAAGAGGAATAGCATTCTTCTTTTTTCTTAAAGAATGGTGTGATTTAATTGATATATCAGTTGTAGTCAAACAGAATGTTCCATATCAATAATTACCAGGATATAATGTTTTAATTAAAGCCATTCTCTTAGAAATGAAAGCCAAAGAACTTAAAAATTATCCAGATATTATGAAAGCTGCCATGTGTTCACTCTTAAATAATTCAAGTCTACTCAACATTGTTATAGTTATTCTCTTTAACAAAACAAATCTCTTTGATTCTGATACTCTATTGAATTGCTTAGAAATCCTCAATTCTTGTTTATAATATCTCTGTAATCATAAATTATCAATGCCAACCTCTTTAGATTAATAGTTCTTTTTAAAAGGTATTAGAATGATTCTATTATAATGTGAACATGCTTTCAGTGTTGCAAAATGTCTATGGCTTATATATAATAACTATGTATTATTTCCATGTATAATATAAATTAAATAATAGTGGACATAAGGAAAGATATAACAGATTTGCTATTTGAGAATGTAGCAACTAAGTTTTTTATGCATTGGTCTTTCAATATTAGAATGATTTTCCATCACATTTTACTTTATAGAATATAGCATCTTCATAAATCTAATAAAAATTTAAATGAAGAGTATAAATTCATAACTTATTATTTAGGGATTTAATATAAAAATATTAACAATAAGTGAAGCCAAAAAAACAACATAGTTTTTTCGATTAAAAGAATTCATCTAAGGCTATTATTGTAATTATTTTAGTATAATATATATATAGTCTGATGTAATTTATATGAAGTTTTTTCGATTTATGTAATAAATAGAAGAGGGTAAACAATTATCTACAAATTATTAATAAAATTAAATGATAGAGGAAACACATTTTCATAAATAAATGAAAACTAAATTAATAAAAAAGAGAATTTAAGATAAAAAAAAAGGTTCATCTGATTAAAATAGTAGCAGTGATGCATAATCATATAGAATTATAGATGAAGATGAATAAGATATTGCAATTCCATTATTTACAGGTACTAGTAATGAATTGAAACCTTAAATGAAATTACCAGAAAAAAGATTTGCTGTTACTCAGAATTAATTAAAATATTTAATTAAAGCTTGTTCTGAATTTGATGAATTAAGATATAAATATTAAAAATGGAAATAATCAGTTATCCCAGTTAATTTTAATTCTTTATCAGAAGATGGTAAATTAAATATAATAATAATTAGAAAAAATTAATTTAAATGAAACTTTTAAAGTCCCAGAAGTTAAATTAGCTGTTCCATTAGATGAAAAAGAAGGAAACATCAAAAATACTGATGAATGGTGAAATATGATTTTTCCTTTAAATTTATAGAGAACTATATCAAATAATCATAGTTATTATATTAATATTAATTAATATATATATATAAATTAAAATGTCACAAAAAATTAAAGTAGACGTAAATCAAGATGAAATATAAGTAGGTGGAGAAATGATACTTTGTTTAGCAGATTAATAATTGTTGAATGGTGATTAATTAAATGAAATGGATGATATTCTTGAAAATGATGAAATTAAAGTTTAAGATTAGATTAAAAAAAATGAAAAATTAAAAGAATAAATAAAAAAATCACATTATAGTTAAAAATACGATGGTGAAGAAAAAAAGGAAATCTTAGAGAAGTATGATGAAATTAAAATAGAAAAAGAAGGTTTCTATATTGCTACTGATGGATAGATTGTAGAATAACCAAAATAGAATGATTTATTAGCAATTAAAAGTAAACTAAATAAAAATTAGCAGATTTCATTAAATGTTATAGATACTGTAGCAAGTGATTATAAACCTAATATTCCAACTACATTAATTAAAAAGAAATTTCAAAAACCATAATAATCAAATCCTTTTGCTGAAGAACGAATATCAAAGATAGATAAGTCTTTATTAGAGGAAGATGATTATGAATTATTACAAAGATCAATTTTAAATTAATAAAGATAGAAAATGAATTAATAAATATTTAAATAAGAAGATAATATTAAAGAACTTATGGATTAAAATAAATAAAAGGAGGAAGAATTGTAGAAATCTAAATAAAATGAATTTATGATTCCTTAAGTAAAAATATAAGGAAGTGAAGTACAAGAAATTAAAGTTATTGAATAATCAACAGATTTCTTAAGTAATGTTAAGACAGATAAAGAAATGGAAGAGATTAATTTAAGAATTAACACTGGATATTCAATCAGAGATACTAAAAATGGAACTACTTCAGTTGTAAATGTTAGATTACCTACAGAAAGAATAGTTGTATAAAATAGATAATAATCAAAAATGGAATTGGAAAATATAAGGGAGGAAACTTAAAAAAATGATATATTTGTAGAAAAAGAGGAAAAGTAAGAAGAGTAATTAGAGAAAGACAATGATGGTATTAAAAAGGATGAGGATGGGATAGAATTTCTGGAAGAAGAATAACATGGTCATGGATTAACTGCTACTTTAGAATTACTTAGAAAGAGGGGAGAATTGAATCCATCAAAATATGATTATGTTGGGAGAAATAAAGATCAAAGGGTTTTTAAAGATCAAGAGCAGAAGGATGGTGAAATAAATTTAGTTTATAGAGATCATTCTGGAAAATTAATGACACCTAAAGAAGCATTTAGATATTAATGTTGGATATTTCATGGAGATGGTCCAAGTAAGAATAAAATTGAGAAGAAGAAGAGAAGTGAATTAGTAAGATAAAAACAAAAAATGAGGGCTTAATCAGAAGGACCTTTGATGTAGGCTTTGAAAGAAGAGTAAAAGAAGAAGGGAGTTGCACATATGGTGATAGGGAAAAAGAAATATTGAAATTGGTATTAAAGATTATTATATTTTAATTAACTATTAAAGATGTATTTTTTAATAGTATAATGAATAATTATGAAAACAATATAAAACCATAAATTCTGATGATAAGAAAATTTAAATCTTTTTTTTAGATAAAAATTAAATGAAGGTATAAACATAAACTAAATTAAGATCTACGTTGATGCATTCAGTGGAGAAGAAATCGTTTCAGACAGTTTCAATATGGAAGAGAAATTTGAAGGTGCTATTGGTGAAGTATAATCATAAGATATTGTTAAAGGAGCAATCAATGTTGATGTTGGTAAATTAAATAAATAATAATTTTAGGTGCTGGTGGTCATTTTGGTGGCAAGAATGAAGATGAAGAAGAAGGAGGTGTTGAAGATTAAGCCTAAAAAGTGAATAATATTATTGATGCTTTTAAATACGCTGAAACACAATTTACCAAAGCTGATTATGTCACTTATTTCAAGGCTTATGCCAAGAAAGTTAAGGCATACTTAGAAGCCAATAAACCAGATAGAGTTGCTTCATTCTAAAAGGGAGCAGGTGAATTCATCAAATGGGTTTCCACTAACTTCAATGATCTCTAATTGTAATTAATGCAAATAATATATTTTAGCTACTGTCCTGAGTCATACGATATGGAAAATCACATCGTTCTTGGTTATTATAAAGAAGGTTAAGCATCTCCAACCTTTGTTTACATTTTAGATGGATTAAAAGAAGTCAAGATGTGATGTATATATACATTAATACATATCATTAACAGAAATTCATCATTAAATATTGCGTTTTATTACATATTAAATAATAATAAGTAAAATAATTATAGATTTCACCTTTTAGCTAAAATCATTCTATCACAATTAAAACATTTGAATTTGTTATTACCAATTGCACATAAATGACATCTAAATAATTGATGCTTTCCTATTTATTTTTAACACAAATGACATGTTTTTTCTTGAAATCCTTTGCCACATCCATAACATGCTTTTGCAGGATACTCTATTGTTGTAATTTATCTGGTTCTGCAAATAAAACAATTATGTGGATTTATGGGTGGTTTTTTATCTCTGTAATTATCCCTTTCTGTATCTTACTACATTAAACATCGATCACAAATAAAACATTTTATCCCTGCTCTTGTTTGTTCTTTAACTAGAATTAATTTTATAGAAAATATATACTTTTTATCATTGAAGACAAATTATCAATTGAATGAACTAATTTAAATAAATCTTATAATTAAACTACACCTCTTTCAGTAATATTGGTCTTCATTAAATTTAAATACTTTAAAGATTTATATTGTTCTGCCTGATAAAATTCGTATATTGCTCCACAAAAACTATCTGTAATGTCTTCATTTTTTGCTATTGATAATTTTTCTATATTAATCATGATTGGACTCTTAATGAACTTTAGAAGGATTACTTTAAATTTAAAATATCAAAATTACCCTCTGGAAATGGTTATCCATCTAAATTCAAATTCTTTAATGAACTCATATATTTTGCTTCACTTAAAATTCTAATAGCCTCTCCAGTCATATAAGATTTGGTGAAAGTACCAATATTTAATTCCACCATATTAATAGTGTTAGGAGAATTACAAAGATGGATCATACTTTCATTAGTCAATGGACAACTATTTATTATAAAGACCATCAAAGATTTACAAAATTCTGAATAAGCGAAAGCTTTAATGCTTTCATCTGTAAGTGGCTAATGAGATACATCTAAATATTCTAAAAATGCACTATTGGAAGAATTAAAGTATTCAATCAATCCTTTATCAGTTATTTTAGTAAATGACAAATTCAAATATCTAAGACGTACATTTTAACTAAAAGAAATACATTATAATCCTCTATCTGTAATATTTAATCCCTAAAGAGATAACTTATTAAGATGATTCACAAAATTTCTATATTTATTTGAATCAGAGAACTGTGTTTAAGAATCACTAGTATGAGTCATAGCAGCAGTACTATTAAAATTTTAACCTGTCATTCCTCTAGTAGATTCTAAATGCTTTTTAGTTCTTCTTAAACTTTGAGTAGCATATAAAGTATATTAATCAACAGGTTTTGTAAATGGTTATGTTAAGAACATAATTCCATTGTCAGAAACAGCACTGTCATCAAGGAATAAAGTTTCAAGTTTAATTAAATATTATGACTCTCCAATCAATCTAAGAAAAGTATCTGTCACATTATAAGAATTTTTAGATAAATCCAATTCAGTTATATTACTACAATTCTTTGATGAACAAATTGTAGACATCCCTTATTCAGTAATATTACTTTATTATAAATCCAATTTTTGTAAATCTTACATACTGATTTTCTTGCATTCAAATTCTAATGTGTTATCATCAAATATCTTCATTCCTGATTTCTCCTTTTTTGTGAATTCTACATGGTCTTATTTGTCTTCTTCCTTAAATTAATAAGTTTCTTCCACATAGGGCATTCTTATGTGATTTGTAGCTTTGTAATAATGTTTATAGCCTGACAGAATATTACCACTAATTGGTATTCCATACCCTCCTTTTTGTGGATTATAATCCATTATATAATAATTTAAAAAATCAATATTAAGTTTAAAAAATTAAGTGAAACTGTTAAAATAATGTTCAATTGATTCTAATGATAATATGCAATACATATATATATATATATTTTACAAAATAATCTCAATTAAATAAGAATAACGAGTATCAATTTATTGTTTTTTATGATTCATCAGGCAATCCTATTGAGTAAATAGATGAAGCTTTAAAACTATTCAAGTACTCTTTATTTGTTCTATTAAGCATAACTGAATCAACCTCTGTTAAGATTCTTGGTAACTTCAAAGATTTTATAATAGTTTAAGATGAAATAGAGCATTCTGGTATTGAATATTTAGGTCTTGCAGCTGCAGGAAAAACCTAATTATAAATTATTATTACTTTATTGATAATACTTATCTAAGAACCTTTGCTCGCCTCAATATGAAATAGAGCTTTATCTAATGATAATGGTTCACTATTCTAAACATTTTATTTAATAATGTCAATATTCCTTCTGAAATTATAATGTGCTTTATTGATATGACCATGTCCTTATAGCATTTCATATCCTGTATGTTCAACAGGATTTCCTATTCTTTCAACTGAATTTTTAATTCTAGTCTTAGTCTATGCTGCATCTATAAATGGAACATCTCTATGTTCAATTAATAAAGGTATTTTTTTAAGTTCTTTAATGATATCTAAGGATTATGTTCTTTAATTTAGTTTCTTGGCATCAAACTTTTATAGTTTTTGAATAGCTTATCCTCTCTAAAAATACTGTAAGAATCTCTATTTATCTAATACAAAATAAACAACTTTTTAGCTTATACTCATAGCTCTATATTATCTTTTAGTTCCAGCTAAAACCTAAAGGATAATTAATAAAACTTACTTCTTCATGTCCAAAGATTTAACCTGCAGTAATTACTGAAGTTCGAACTCTTTCAATTTTTCTTTCAGTTTTAGTAAAGAACTTTTAAAGTGTAAGATTTGGAGTGATTGATTATTAAGTAACATCAACAGAACGGGATAATTCTATTTCTCCTTATTTCAGTAAATATATATTACTAAAATATATAAAATAGAAATATTACTTTGCATCTTCATCTTCCTTATAAATCACTTAAAATAACTTTCTTTCTTCCAATTTGAAATGATAATATAATTGATTTAACATCTATTCATTCCAATCAGAAAATATGGCTACTTTACTTAAAAATCCAATATTCAATTTTTATTATGTCTCATAAAAAACAGACAATAATTTATTAAATTAATCCCTAGTAACTGTAGCAAAATGAGTATCTTCTGCTGCAACAATAGTTGCTGTTCTAGGCACTTATTTAGTTAATGCTATTTCACCAAAACTTTCCCCTGAATTAATTATACCTACTTTTGTTAATGTTGGAAATTAAGTATCTAAATATTCTTAATCTGTCATTGTAGCAAAAATGTCATCTAATGTTACTTATGTTACAAATGCTTAATGTTTTGATTTCTTAGTTTTTTTTCTTGTGCTTTTTTTCATATTCTCCATCATTTCCTTATTTTTTTCATTTTTTAATTACTCTTCTTATTTTTAATCTTCCTCTGTAGGACCAGATCCTTCTTACAATCCCTTCTTTTAAACTAGAACCCAAACACTACCCTTGAGAATTATATAAAACTTTTTTCCAATATCACCTATGTTAAATATTATTTGTCTTTTTTTCTACAATTCATAACCCAATTATTTATATAATCCTTATACCATTTCAGCTCCCATTGACTATTCTAATTCTGAAAAAAACTTGAATCTAAAGAATGACAATCTAATTTTATCTACATCTAATTGTGTTCTTTAATTAGGATCTTTTTAAAGTAAAGTCACAATGTTCTATAAAATTAAATAATATTTATAACTTACTTTAAGATCTTCATCATCTTCAAAATCTGTATCAGATTTCTTTAGAACTTCTTAAACTATATTTTTTATAGTCAATCTATGAGTCGATAAATTGCCTTTGACTTTCTCAACTGCAGCTTTCATAATTTGTATTTATAAATATATGTTTAATATAAATTACAAATTAATTCTTTATCAATTTGAAAAGATCAATAAATATAATATTTCAGATTCTGAAATATTTAAGAATAATTTGTAATTATCTTTTATCAATAATTAAAATAGATAAGTTTTCACAATCTTACCCATTTGGCTATAATAAATAGTAAAGCGTCAATCATGATAGGCTTAGACAAGCAGTCATGGAATGGCAGCTTTTTGATGTTTGCTTTAAAATCTTCCCCTTAGAATCCAATTAATCCAATAATTATTGTATCTTTCTGAAATTCTTATAGGACTGCTTTGATTTTAGTACAATCAGCAGCTAATTATTCATTGACATATTCAACTCCAATAAAAACTATATGATAGCCTTTACAACAAGTTTTAAATTAAGAGAATTGCTTTCTCAATAATTCAACTATATGGATTCTTTACATAGTATAGACATAAGGTATTTTCAAATTACTCAATTAATGAGAAATTGCATATAAATCAAAGTCATTTTATTCACAAATCAAAATTTTTGGACACTTTAAAATAAATTATTTAAATTTACTTAACATTTATAAATAAATTATTGATTTTTAACTCTTTCCATTTTTTCAAAACAATCTAATAATTCATTTGGACCCAAATTAATAGAAGAAACCCTCATTGATGAATAAACAGAAGATCTACCCCCAAAAGTTAATAGTGAATCTCTTTAATTTGATGATAGTTATTATTAAATTTATTAATTTAATCTAGTCTATATCATACTAACTGATATTTTTCTGGCTCTAGGTTCTTTATCTTATAAAATAGTATCAAAAAATTATTATGGTTATTATTACTTTTCAATTTTCTCAATTTTATCATTAAGATAAAGACTTGATTTACTAGAATAAATTTCAACTTCAAATTAATCATGATCATTAAATTCATTTTTGGAATCATGAGAAGAACTTTTAGAGTCATCTTATTCTGAAATTTATGAAACAGAATATGATTTTTTTGGTTATTATAAATCTGAATTATCTGATTAACCAAATTATGGTAAAATAGATTCTCTCATATCTAAAGTAGTTTCAATTTATGATTCTCTTTTAATTTTTTCTAATTTTTATTATATTTATAATCTACTAATTTCTGTAAGTCTTTATGATTAATGTCTTCTATATAAATTATTTTAACCAAAAACTTATTAAAATTATTATTTATTTGCAATTAGAGCAGATTATCTTTTTTAAGATAATTATTAACTAAAATTAGGATTTTCATTTTTAATTAATAGAACAAAATAAAATTAAGTGCCATCATCTGTTTTAATCATATTAAATTCAAATGGCATAATTGCTATTGCTAATGATATATAAAATGCAGTTATGATGGAAAAACAAAATTATTTTGATGTAGCAACTAAATCAATCACTTAAGGATTAAGTAAAGTCTATTATTTAAGATATTTTAATGTCAATTCAATAGATTCTAAGATACTTTCATTTACATTTTAAGCCATAACTTTAATTAGAATTTCAATATGATCTGCTAACAAAGGTGATTTTTGGCATCCTATTTCAATAAATCCATTAATGGTTAATTAAATTGACTTAACTGTCAGTTATATAAAATATTACCTAATAAATTTAGTATTATTTATCTTAAACGATTTGGATCTGTTTTTAAGAATATTGGTACATTTTGTTTAATATTCACTTAAATACTTAAACCTCTAAACAATGCTTAAGATTTAATGATATTTAAACAATCAGAAATAAATTCTTTTGTGTGTATATCCATTAAATTTTTTTCTAATTTATTATTTTTATGTAAAGTAACATAATCTTAAATGTCACTAGCAGTGCTAATTAATAATTTACAACCAGCCAGAGCAGGATCTATATATTTAGTTTACAACTCTTGATTAACTTCTTTCTTTTTTAGAATTAATAATATTATATCATACTTGGACTAATTCTAACATAGATAAAGTGCAATTTAAAGGTTCTTTTATTTTTTGAGATATGGTTTGAATTAATTCATCTCCATTTTTGATATATTGTTATAATTATAAAATAAATGGTTCTTCTGTAAGATCTTATATATATATTGCAATTTGTGGTTTGTTGGCAATAATAACTGGATTAAGAATTACTTATGTATACAATTTATCTTAATTAAATTAATTTATTATACCTTTTTTTAAGTAAATTTTTAATGAGAAATCTAAAGTCTATTTAATTAAAGCAAATTTAATATGAGAAAATGCTAATAAGTGTTCAATTAATGTTTTCATTTGCATCTTTCTATAAAATAATTAGACTTCTTTTTTCTCTATATTTGGTATATTTTCAAAATAAATATTCTAAGTCCAATAATAAGAATATATGCATACTCTAATGTTTATGTAAATGCAACAAAATGACTAATATCTTTGCTTCTATGAAAACTAGGTAAAATTGTATAATTTTAATTATCTTGCATCATGCCAAAATCATATAGTTCTAATTAAATTAATTCACTATTAAGTTATTCATCAATTAAAACAATATGAGACATAAATGAATTAATAATACTAACTGGTTATTTTGTAGTTTCTAGTATATAAATACCACATTAAAATCCCATTAATAAGACTTCAAATACTTCTTCTTAATGTGATATTACTTTTTAATTATCTAACTCTTACACAACCACTTCTTAGATATTTATTTTTTTATTCTAAGTATCTGTATTTTCTCTTTAAGTAATTGTTAAACCTACTCGTTATGATAATAAAGGAGATTGATTTCGTGATATTTAATCTATGTTTATTTTAGGTATTGAATATAAGTGATAGATATAAAATAGTTAAATGAAAATATGAACTAAAATGATTTTGGTTGAACCTATAATTTCAATATGGTTTTTGAATTAAGGTTGTCTATCTAAATTTATTTTAATTACCTTAATAATGTGTAAAATAATGAAAATATAATTGCAATAGTTTTAACAATCTATGATTCTATTGCAATAACAAAAAAGATCATCAACCCATATACTTCTAAACTATAACTTCTCTAATCCATTTGATTTCCATATACAAAATCATAATCAGTTTCAGTCCACAATATCATCATTAAGATAAATTTCAGCAATGTAAGAATGTTAATATAAAAAGGTTTCTCTTTTTATAATTTGCTCATTACAATATGAAAAGCTATTATTAAAAAGACTTAAATCTATAAGATTTAAATGTTAATGCATTACAATTATTCTATAAATGAAAACTAATTTCTCTCCTTGAATTTCATAATTTAAAGCATTCGAAATTGTCATTATAATATCTATACATTGATACATTGAAATCATTGTCATTATAGATTACCATAATGTAAAATTGGAGTAAGTTTAGTTCGATATCGTAAAATAATTAGATAGCATAAAGATGTAATTTTAAATATTTATTAAATTATTAAAGAAACATACATAATCATTATTTAAGACAATAAATTTGTTTGCTAAACTAATGTTTAGGAAATCCAATTTAAAGATTTATGAATAAATTGAATTTGACTATTTTTATTTATGTTAATCTATATTTAGTATTTGGATAGATTATATTAATATTAAGTTTTTATTGGAACTGAAAATTTAAAGAAAATTCAAGAACTGATTAATGATTATATAAAATACTATTGTTAAAATTAAAAATAAAACTCATTAAATATAGACTTCTAAGTAAATATTAATAGTTTATTTGTTTTCTACTAATAAATTATAATTTTCAATATTTAAATCATTAAAACAATAAAGCAAATAAAAATCATACATTTATTTTCATTTATTATAATTAATTAATTAATTATAGTTCAATTATAATATATTTATCAATTAATAAATGCAAGTTTTTGACAATTTAGCTTTATAAGAAGTATAATCTATTAGTATAGATGGCTCTCCTGATAGATTGAAAGAAATAATCAGAATGATTCTATAAGAATTGAATTAAATGGGATACAGCGATGTCTGTAATATACTTGAAGAGGAATCTCAAACTAAATTAGACACCACTTAAATGAATGAATTAAAGGAATCCTTTTTAAATGGAGACTATGAAAAACTCTTACAATAATTAGAATTTTCAGAAACGATCAATAGAGTATTCTTTATATTTAAAATAGAAATTATAATATGAAATATAAAAATAATTATACTTAGAGTTAGTTCAATAAAAGAATTATGAATAAGCAGTCAATTTATTAAGATAATTATCAGAATATAATGAAAAAGAATCATAAGTTTTAGCTAAGTATATATATGATAAATTAATTAGAATGATATTTCTATAAGAAGATGCTTCTTAATTATATATTGAATTAGCTATACCTATAGATTAAGGAGAACAAAGATTATAACTTTATTAGAAAACCTTAAATTTAGTAAATTTTGGAGACTTTTCATTAAAAACACAATTTGATAAAGTGATTGATTAAGCTTTAGAGTATTAAATTAAATAATGCCCATATCACAATGATTCTAATGAGAATAAGAATTATTCATTATTATTAGATCATAATTGCTAATGTTATTAAATACCTAAAAATAATTCAATTATTTTTTAAGATTTTGATGATGAAGTATGGATTGGTAAGTTCTCTAATTCAGGTATATGGATTGGTTGTGCAACAAGAAAAAATTCGATTTATATAATATCAAAGGAATCATAATAAAAAATAAGCAAAGCCCATTAAATGGATATAAATTCACTTGTTTTTACATCAGATGATAAATTGTAAAACTGAATAAATTTAAATGATTAGGTTGTTTTCAGCATCAAATGATAAAAAAATTAATGGTTATGATGTTTAAACTGCATAATTAAAAGTAACAATAAATTAACATACTAATGAAGTTCTATGTTTGGCTTATTTTAAAAAGTATTTTATAAATCATATTATTATCAGTCAATTATTTAGTGGTGGAGTAGATGGATGGATTGGTATATGGTAAGATAATGGTAAATTAATAAATTAAGTTAAAAGTAAAGTAATAAAGAATATTTTAATAACTGATTAATATATGTTACTTCATAATGCAGCAGTATTTTCAATAACAGTAATTGAAAATGATTTTAAATTTAATAAAATAATAACTAATTTAGAAGAATAAGAATTAATTGTTTCATCAGCTATTAGCTAAAATTAATAATTCTTAGTTTTGAATATATCAAAAGAAAAACCAAAATTACATTTATGGAGTCTTAAAACCTTTTAAAAATTACATGTATTTTTTGGATTTTAAGTTAAAGGGATAGAAATGAAATGTTGTTTTGGTAGTAAAAATGATAATTATGTTTGTGTTGGTAGTTAAGATGGTAAAGTACATTTTTTTAATAAAAATAATCAATTATAATAAAATATAATTGATGGACATGATTAAGCTATAAATTATGTTGATTGGCATAGTTAGACAGCTTAATTATTAACAGCTAGTGATGATAAAAGTGTTAAGATATGGATATAAGATTAAGTAACATAATAATAAATAATAAATGTTTCTAATGAATATGATTAACCATCAAATTCTTAATATGGTGAGATTGAAGAAGAATAAGATGATCATGAAGATGAAGAAGAATATTAATAATAATCAGAAGGAGATTAATCATTTTGAATTATAAAATTAAATATCATTATTATAATTAAGATATAAACTTTAAAAATCAATTAATTTTAAAATGGAAATCAAAATTTTTAATATCTAAGTTCCTAAAATAATTCTAAAATAGAACATGCGATATCATTATCAATATCATAATCATTATGTGTCATTCTCTCTTTTATAAAAATTTGAGATTTGGTTTGTATACTCCTTGGCAAACTAAACTAAAGTTTTTAGATAATTTACTTAGTATACAAATAATTTGAATGATATGGTTTTATTAATGTATCATGTAATCCATGAATAAAAACAATAGGACATTTTACTTGTTATGATCTTTCATAATTTTTAAAGATATCTGGTAGGCAGAAAAAAAAAACAATAATAATACCAAATCCACAACATAAATCTTATATTATAGTTTTGATAGACTTATAGCAAGACATAACAATTAAACCTTTAACATTTCTAACACTTGCTACATAAAATGCAGGACCTGTTCCTATTGATCTAATTTTTATCATATTTGAATACCTTCCAAAAACATAAATTTGATTATCTAGTAATTTTTATGTTTTCTTTATATGATCATATAATGTTAATGCATCCTCTTCAATCAAATTACTACTCATATTCTTTTACATTTCATAAACTCCATATCCTGGATATTCTATAACAAAGATATTTGTATTTATTGTTTTCATTAAATGTTCCATAAATTGAGAGGCTGCCTACCTATATTCATACAAAAAATAGTTGTTTACATGTCTTCCGCATTTCCATGAAAATAAATTAAATAATTATTTGTTTCTGAATATTTGTTCTTTAAGTAGACATATGGTATAGCTCTGACTCTTTCTAAATTATATGAGTTTAACAATTAGTCACTCTTTAAATTAACTTAAATTAAACTTATTTATCATAATACCTAATGAATTATATACATTTGCATATTTAAGCTTATCTCCAAAAAATTTTTCAGTATACATTGGAGAAGGACTTGGAAAAATTAATCTGTAAATCTTTTTGAAACAATGAAGATAAACTAACAGGCCCAGATAAAGTAAAATTACTAAGGAAAAGAAACAAATTGCTACTGTATCACTTGGATTCATTTCTTATTATATTTAATAATAATGATAAGATAAAAAGGATATAAAAATATCACTATAAAAGTGTTATTTCAAGTGGAAATTTTGTTTTGTATATATGAAATAAATTCTCCTTCTTATTTTGAACATAATTCCAATAGTTATGTACGTTCTATATTGAGAACCTCAACTTTGCATTTCTATTGAGATATTAAAGCTATAATTATAATATATATTTTATACATTCTTGCTATTCTAATCTCAATTATAGAATGTCATTAATTTATTATTTTGGTATTTAAATGATATGATGATACAATTATTTTAATGGATACATTTGAATATTAAAATCTAGCTTAAGAGATTAAACATTTTATTTAAGAGCTAGATTTTCTATTTTTAATTGCTAAACTAATTGTATGACATTACTAAATTTAGTTAATTATTAATATTGTTCTTTTATCCTCTAAAAATCTAAACAATTTTAATACTTTTAATGAATTATCTTGTTTTTATTACAATCTCTAATTTTCTAAAACTAAAAAATTAACTTGTTCTTTTAAATCTGTTATTTATTATTACAATTATTGAACATAAAATTTGTCATATTAAATAATAGATGATGGAATTTTTGTAATTTTATTGGAATTACTCTTATTTTGACTAAAATGAGAAAGTATAGCTTCATAATTATATTGATTAATATTTTATCGTTTAGTATTAGACTTCGATGAGGTTGCTAAGTAATTAATATACAATATACAAGAAGGAATATAATAAGGTCTTGACTCTGTCATTTATTTACTTATTTATCTAAGTTTTATAAATTTTATTTCTAAATCAAATTATTTCTATAAAATGATATTATATGTATATCAATAAATCAGAATGTTTACATGAAAGATTTAAGTTTTTGTTTTTATCTTTTTCTGAAATACTCAGATTATAAATGTGTTTCAGAAATTATAATTTATTATTAAGAAAGCCTTTACAATCTAATTTATAAAAGATTTCTAAAATAAAAACTGCTTAGTTCTTACTTTTTTTATTTATATTAATTTTAAGATTGCATCACAAATTGATAATTTTTATAGAATAAATGAATTAATTATAATTTTCTTAAGCATAATCACCAAGAGAGAGTAATTTTGATTTTGAAGATTTGCCTTAACTTTAGGAATAACAAATTAATGAAAGTAAATTAACTGCCTCAATATTTACAGATGTATATTACTTATTTAGACTCTAGATAAAAATATTCGGGACTATTTATTTAATATTGTTAATACTATTTAATTCTTACATAGTGTTTGATTTAACTTATAAGATATCCCTATTGTATGTTACAATTTTACATTTTCTTTAGGTAGTACGATTAGCAATTAATAATTATAAGTATCACAGTTTATTTATATAAGTAATATCTTGAATGATCATAATTGTTGTCTTGAATTATTTTGGGGAATCTTATCAATATCTTATTATGTAATAATACAAATTATCTTAGGGTTGTTTTTTTTATTTTATAGATCACTTTAATTTTCCAATACAATATCCTACAATAATGTATTTTGTATTTACTTTATCATGGATTGCCTTTCTATTACATGCTTATAGGTAAAACAAACAAGAAACAAATATCATTTCACTTGTAAATGAATAATAGCATATATTATAGTTTACTGTATTTTGTAAATTACTTTTGACTGCCTAATTAATGTTAATAAATTTTCGTTAAATTAATTGGCTTTAATGGGATTGGATATACATATTTTCTATTCTTTGGGCATTCCTAATGTTTGCAATAATTCTTCAATTTATTTTTATCATTGATTTTATAATGAAAGTAATCACTACAATATAAGAAACAAATATATTGAAAAAATAAGCATTAAATTAATAAAGTAGCTTAGTTAAATAAATAAATAGTTATATGTTCATTTTGGATTAATCTTTTAATTCTTTCTATTTCTGGATTATTAACATTTACTATTGTGAGTTATTCTATATTATTAAGCACAGGAAAAAAACCCTTTAATTTTATACCAATAATAATATGTATTGTTTATAGTCTAGTTATTACTGCTTATACATGTTATTTTAAAAGAACTTTAAAGTAATTATTATGATATTAACATTAGTTAATTCTTAATGACATTTTAAAGAGAGGAAGAGAATTAAAATGATAATAATTAATTTAGTTCTCCTAGTTCAAAGAGGAGAAGTATTTTTACTAGAGACAAAAATAAAATTAACATCAAATTACCATAATTCTTAGTATTAAAGTTAGTAATATAAGATAAAATTGTCATAAACATATTTTCAACCTTAATTGATTGGATAACAATATTAGTCTTAAAAATAGATATAATCATTATCTGAGATTAAATAAGAAAAGAGAAATAAGACAGATATAGAGTAACCTAAATAAAGCAATTAGAATTCCTTAACTGAATTGAAAGTTGAAAAAGATTAAAATTGTTTTAATTGTTATTAGAATGAAAGTTGTGCTGTTTATATGCCATGTGGTCATGGTGGTTTATGCATTAAATGTGCAACTGAGTGGTTTGCAGAAAAATAAGAATGTTTAATTTGTCGAAAAGTACTTTATTACATAACATATTTAGCCAGTTGAATAAGTAGTTAAAGTCATTGAATCAAACTCAAATACATTTTAAATTGTTGATGTAATTGCCTTTTGAAAAATTCTTTGTGTTTTTGTGATATATAATCTATAATTCATCCTTTATTAAATAATATACTCCAATTTAAATTGTTTCTTAATATTAACTAAATTTATGATATATTACTTTTATATTAGAAGCTCAATAATTATAATCATATTTGGATCTTAATTAGTAATAATTATTTGAACTGATTTTTACACTGAAATTTGTAATTACCTTTATTATTCCAAATCATTCATATATAAAAAATAATATAAATATTTTTTAAAATTAACTATTATTAACGAAGAAAAGTGTTTTATTATTAACACTAATTCAAATTATTAATCATGATCGATATTATATAGTATTACGCAATAAATATGATGATTTTATGAATAATAGTGTATTTATCTTAAGGATGAAAATCTAAGATTAATGAATGCTTAATATTATAATTTATATCTAAATTTTAATGCCAATTTAAAAAAGAGACTATTAAAAAGTTTAGAAGAGTAAAAGAGAAGCATTGATATTCTTAGTTTTTCAAAAGGGTTACAAAATCAAAGAAGTAATTTATTTCTTTATTTTAGGCATCCAATAATCTTGAAATTAAATATGCAGTAGCTAAGACAATTGTAATTGCTTATAGGAAAAAATTTATTTTAGTAAAGAGAGAGATATAGTCAACCAAAAATTGTTAATTTAAACTTAGGGAAAATCAAACATCAGTTCATTAAATAATAACTAAAATTGGAGGAGAATGTGTTAATGAAAATTAAAACCTAGTTTGATAACTTAATTTTTATTTTTCCTCAAGAGAAGGCAATTGTATTTTCAAAATTAAATAAAAAAACACTTCGCTGAATTATTCAAAGAAATACTTTTTTTATAAACTTTAAAATTCACTAAATTATACCTATATTTAGAATATATTATATCTATGTTTCTTTTTATAATGAGAATCATAATTTTTATATTGTTTTTGAATATTATAGCTACATCTATAAATAAATAGAAAAAAATTGAGGAAAATAACACAAAATAAATCTTGAAAATTTTTATTAAAAAAATTAAATGTATAATCTATATAATATAGAGATTTAAAAGGATGCAATTAAATATATTTCTTTTTCTTTAATTCTATAAAAAAATCGTTTAAAATAAAAAGAACGAGAATAATCAATATTTTAATTCACCAAAAATATAATGTAGTTCCTAGTTTTATCCATTAGGAAACTTTAATATCCCTATCCCATGTCTCACACCATGAAACCATGATCCAACATAGATTTTACCATCATTAAATTTATAGGTTCCTTCTCCATGACATGTATCCTTATAAAATCTAAGAGTTTATAATTTTAATTCTTTACTATCCAATATGATGATCTCCATTATTATTAATGAATGTGCCTTATCCATGTTTTTAACCATTTCTCATATATCCTATATATTAAGAACCATCACTCCAAGTGTAAGTTCCTTTACCAATAATTTCATTTGATTCAAATTATCCTTCATAATATGAACCATCTTTAAAAAGTAATTTTCCTTCTCCATTTCTTAAACAATTTAAAAAATATCCTTCATAATATTAACCATGAGGCAATATTTATTTTCCATAACCATCCAAAGTTTAACCATTCCAAAATCCTTCTAAAATACTACCATCCGAATAAGTCATTTTACCTATTCCATTTTGCTTATCACAAATCCAATGTCCTTCATAAATATCACCATTTCCATAGACTTATCTACCATATCCATGTCTCTTGTCATTCTACCAATAACCATCATAAATAGAACCATCGAAAGAAAATAATTTTCCTTATCCAGATCTTTCTTCTCTAAATGTTTCACCGACATATATTTAACCATTTTTTTAAATAAAAGTTAGATTATATCTACTAATCAGTTATTTTTCACTAATTCTTGGTAAAGACAAAGTACTATCAGATGCTTTCAAAGGAGATTCATCTGTTTTATCCGTTGAAATCTATTTAATATTTTCACTATAAATTCTATAAAATTAAACAAGAATATACAATTAATGATTAGATTTAAAGGCTTCTATTATATCTGTATCCTATAATTAATCTAACCATCTTTTCCTCTTTCCTTCAAACCATTCTCCAAATTTATAGTCTCCATTTAATGTATACATAATTCCTATTCCATGTTATTTTCCTTATATCCAATTTCCTATATATTTCTTGCCATCTTGCCAACAAAACATACCAAACCCTTATTTCAAATCTTAATCATAAGATCCTTCATAAATTCTTCCATCAGGCCAAGTAGTTTTTCCATTTCCTTACATTTTATTTTTATACCATCCTCCAACATATGTTCTACCATCAGACCAACGATATTCCCCATAACCTTAAATTTCATCATTAACAAATTCTCCTTCATAAATTGAATTATCATTAAATTTCAATATTCCTTTACCATCTTTTAATCCTTTTGAAAATTCTCCAATATAATTAGCTGTCTCTTTCCATTATTCTATCCCAAAATAATGTTTGAAATTATGTAGCCAATATCCCCTATAAATTGCCCCCTCAAAATATTAATACTCTCCATAACCTGTTGCTTCATCATTTTTCCAATGCCCAATATACACATCCCCATTAATAAAATACTTAATACCATATCCATTATATTTTCCTTTCTTCCATTACCCTTCATACTTTTGACCTTGTTATATTTTATAAATTCATACCACACTAATCAACTTAAACTCCCCAACCATCTTATATATTGTCAATTAATTAACCTCTATATGAAGATCCTAAATGGTATTTTAAATTAGTACCATTATCAAAGATGATAGTATCTGTTTCTTTATATTTTTTATATATTTCTTGTTCAATCTTTTGTGTCATCATTTATGAGTCAAATGTTGGCAGAATAATTTACATCCCTGTTGTCATCAACTAATTTTATTCCCAATATCCTTCATAAATTTAGTCATCAATGGTTATGTACTTTCCATAACCATCCATCTAATTATTATTCCAATTTCCTTCAAATATATCCCCTAAATGAATGATAAAATTATACCATTAGGAAATATTGCTTTTCCATAGCCATTCTTTACTTAATTATTGAATAATTATCCTTGATACAGCATATCTAGGTATATGATCTATGTATTTACTATTTTCAAGGAATTTGTAGGAATACTCATTTTTGTTTATTTCTGTAAAATGGGTGAAGCTTTTGGTATCATTTAAAATTAGAGCCATAATTTTATATTAATATTATGAGGGTAGAAAAATCTATTTTACAATTTTTATAATCAATCTTAATAACTTGCAAGTTTTAGGTCAAATAATAGTTAATTTATTCTAATACAAGTTATAATGAAAAATCAATTAAATAATAAACATTATTTTCTTACTCATCAAAATAATGATAATGTGATAAATTAATTATATAATAAATTAATTAAAATGATGTCTAAATGCAAGTCCTGTTAGGATGAAGGATTTTTGACTTGTCCTTTATGTTAAAAAATAACTTATTGTTCCAAAAAATGCAGAGATTATGATTGGTAATTGTATAAATCCTAATAAAGAGGGCTATTTCTCATAAATTTGATTGTAAATCATAGCTTCCTAAAAGAAGTGTTTCTGAATTTGAAATTGTTAATTAAGGGTCATTAGGGAGAGGAAGTTTTGGATGTGTAAAATTAGCTCGTGATAGATAAACTGGTTTGCTATATGCAATGAAGATTGTAATTATTAAAGTAATGTAGATTGAAAAATAAGGTGTTTCAATTGAAAATTTAAAGAGAGAAATAAGAATATAGAAAAAGCTTTAACATCCTCATGTTATTTAATTATTTGAATTTTTTGAAGATGATTAAAATGTTTATTTGATCTTAGAATATGCAGGTATTTTAATCATTTTTAATATAGAAAATGGATCCTTATTTGGTTATTTAAGGAAAAGGAAAATTTTAAATGAAAATGAATCCTTTGTTTATTTTTTTTAAACTTGTTTGGGAATAGATTATCTACATAAGAAATAAATCATACATCGAGATTTAAAACCAGAAAATTTATTACTTGATAAAGATGGTAATATCAAAATTTGTGATTTTGGATGGTCAGCTGAAATAATGATTACACAAACTAGAAATACGTTTTGTGGTACCATTGATTATATGACTCCTGAAATGTTAGAAGATAAACCTCATGATTAAACATTAGATATGTGGTGTTTAGGTGTATTATTATATGAATTGATACATGGAACAGCTCCATTTAAAGGTCGAAATGATTTTGAGAAATGTTAAAACATTTTAAAATAAGAAAATTTTGAAATACTTGCTAGTGATTAGGTAATCTTGCTTTTACTATTAATATTAGGCTAAAGACCTTATTTTAGGATTAATGAAAAGAGACTCTAAATAAAGACTTACAATGGATTAAGTATTTTCTCATCCTTGGATGTTGAAGATGGCTAAAGAATATAATGTGGAAATAAAAGAATATATATTTGAAGAGAAAAAGAATTTAGATGAATTAAGTAGCAGTTTAAGACTTGATACAAAATTTTCAAATAGAAATACTACAACAACAAGATTGTCAGGATCAAATTTTAAGAAAGAATGCAATTCTATAGCTTTCTCTATGTATTCTGAAGATATGCAACCTCCAATTTAAAATAGAATTACAAGAAGAACAGATCATTCTGGAAAAAAAGAAGGAGGATTCTTTGAAACTCTATTTTAGAATTTTGGTTGCACTAGACGTAATTGATTTATAGATTATTTTTTTGAAAATTGATATATTTTTCACTTTATTTACTTTAAATATTATAATTTTATATATTTAATATTGGATTTATTGGAATATTCGTTATGATAGATTAAGAAAGAATATCCCTTGATTAAATTTATGGATGTAATTTCAAAAGGGTACCATTACTTTATGAAGAAATGGAAGGAACTAATCCATTTTAAATAAATGAGGCTGATGAAGATTTAGATTCAGATAAATAAATACTTGAATAACCTAAGCAAATATCACCAACTTTAAAAAAAGCTTAATTGAAACCATTAATAAAGACAAGGCAGAGATAATAGACTTTTCATAAATCACCTATAAATATGAGTTAATTTGAGAAGCATATTGGATTTCGAAATTCTTTTTATATGAATAATAACAAAATCAATTAAGCTTCAAGATAAAGAGTTAAATAAGTGAAAAATCAAGAAATTGGAATGTTTACTAAATATGCTTAAAGGTTTTAGCTTCAAAAGTTATAAATTTGGAATTGAATTAAATCTAGATTAATAATTTGAATCGACATCTAATTTTGCTATTTATTTATTTAATATTAATTTCTAAATTTCATATCAAATAAAAATATTAATAATTTTGATTGTGAATACTTCTCAAATTTATACTATATTTATTATGAGAAATTATTACAAATATATAATGATCAATTTATTGAAGAATCTTATAAAATAAAATATAAAAAATAATGAATGATGAAATATTTATCAAATAGCCAATATATGATGAGAAAAATGATTACTCAGAAAAGTATAAGCATATTTTTAATTAGATAATCCTAATTTGGATAAAATGATGAATCATTAGAACATCTAGTCAATTCCTTAATCTAAAATTAATAACATGATGACCATTATCAATTTAAATCATAAATTGTTAAAAGAAACATTAATGATTAAAGGTATTTAATGAACTGTATATGCTATTCCAATTTAGATTCACATTTCAAGAGGATAAACTAATCTTAGAATTAGTATAGTAAGTGGGACCTAACTTTAATAAAATAGTCAAATCCTTTCCTGGAAAAACAATGAATATGATAAAAAATAGATATTATAAAAGATTGCGCTACATAAAAGAGGACCTTCAAAATGGTTAAGAATAAAGAAAGAAACAATCTAAACATAAAAAATTTAATTGAAATTTATCATTATAGACTAAACTAGCCACTTTAATGTTGCTATTTAATTACTTCAATAATAATTTTATATTCTTATATTTCTTATATGCTTTAAGTATCAAATGAAAAATTTTTTAATATATAAAATTTTTAAGATACGCTTCATTTCCTAAAGATTAATGCTGAAACCAACTTAAAATAAATTTTAACTTGAAATTTATTAAATTGTTTTAGAAATACTAATATTAATCAGAAAAGTAAATTTTAAAGACTATGAAGTATTTTCATAAGAATTTCTGAGCAAAAAGTAAAATTAAACATGAAAAGTGCTTATAAAAATAAAATGAAATCATTAATGTAAAACAAATAAATTATATATATATTAAAAAAATGAAAAAAAAGAATTAAATTTATTTAACATATTTATATTCTATAAATCTTAATAATATTGAGGATCAATTAAAAATCTTTTATAAATTAACAAAATTGTTTTTTATCCATATGAATTAGAATTTGATAAATTATATGAAACGTGTTAGGTTAATTTAAAAATATTTACACTTTAATTAAAGATAACAATAAGAAAATATATTTTGATAAAGAATTCGACATTAAAATTAATTAATTAACAATATTTGCAAAATAAATATCAGAAAAGTAAATTTTACATTTTATTTTCAACAGAAATTATAGTTGCATCAATATTAAGTTTAATTTAATATTTTTTTGCCTAATTAAATATCTAAAGTTACTATTATTAGCAATAAGGTTTCAAAAACAATTAGATGTAATTCTAATGATAAGATTAGTGAGGTTGATTACTTTTGAAATTTTTTTTCATTGGAATAATAATTATTCTAGATTTATGATTGTCTAAGAGAGATAACTCATAACTCATTTTAATAAAATTTAGTGAGAGACCTATTTTTTGTGTATTTCAAAGATTAAATAGTATATACTAAGTGTAGAAGTTTAGCCAAAAACTATATGAACATAAATGTAGACAAAAAATATTAATTAATTAATAGAATATTAGTCATAGCTTTAAAAATGGGTTCTAAACTTCTTAGATATAATAAAATAATAAAAATATAATTATTAATAGAAAAAGTATTTAGATATTAAAAAAAAATATTTAGTATATATTATTAATTAAATGGCTTATATGGAAATTTAATTTATAATAATTCATCTATGAAATTATTCTGTTTTTATATTGTTGCTTACATCCAAGCTTTCAATTTACACTTTGCATCTGATCCAAAAGCTCTTTGTCTAGATGGATCGCCAGCAGTATTATTTTAATAGATATATAATTAGTCCTATTATAAAGCTGAAGGATATGGGACTGGGGCAAAATAATATATTCTGCATTTCTAAGGAGGAGCGTATTTATATATTAATAAATATTTTAGAAGGATAGATGGATCAACTTAAGATTAATTGATTCAATCAGCATATTTAAGGTTCATTTTGAAAATATTAATAGATCTAAAACATAGTTGGGAAGCTCCAAAGATTTGAATAAATAGATGTTGTTTAATGGAATGTTTTCTAGATCATAAAATAAAAATCCATATTATTATAATTGGAACTTAATTCACTTTAATTATTGTGATGGATCTTGTAATAATTTATAATATATTTCAAGTACACTAAGGATATAAATCTGATCCTATTGAATATTTAGGAACATAATTGTATTTTAGAGGTGACGTAATTGTGAAGTCATTTATTTCAGACTTGTTTCAAGAACTCTCTACAGCTGATACAGTAATTGTATCTGGTTGTTCTGCTGGTGGAAATGCAGCTTATTTTTGGATTGAATATATCAGAGCATTATTACCATAAAATGTAACAGTTTATGGAGTTCCAGATTCAGGAATGGCATTAAACTTATTAGCTATAGATGGAACAGATTATCCAACTGAATCACTTATTTAATTAATTGATTTAGTAAATATTGAAGTTACACATCCAAATAAATAATGTGTTGAGAAGTACTCAAAAGAAAGTTGGAAATGCTATTATGCTTAATATTTATTTGAATTTATTAAAACCCCTTTATTTATTATCTAATCTATGTACGATTATTTTAGTCTGACTGTAAGATTTAAAATAGATTGTGCAAAAAACTATACATTAACTAATTGTTCTAAAGAAGAATTAGATTTTGCATAAAACTTATACAAATAAAATTATGAAATCCTAAGTTAAAGAAAAAAGGATTATCCTGAAACAGGTGCATTTGCTCCAAGTTGTTTAGAGCATTGCTTTTTATTAAGAGATTATTATGATTCTTCTGATTGGGAAGTTCCTGGAGATTCAGGAAATACTATCTAGGTAGCTCTAAATAATTGGTTAAATTCTAAAACAAATCCAGAAGATAATTTTTATGTTGATAAGGTAGAATGGCCAGATAATAAAAAATGTTCCAATAGTGATTACAATAATTATTCCCCTCTATATGTTTTGAGTATTCTATTGATATCACATATTATTTGAATAATTTTATTATTTAATTCATTGATAAAATTATAATTGAACTTATGACTTAAATCTTATTTAGAATAAAGAATGTGAAAAATATATAAATTAAATTAAATAAGAATTTATAATTATAGATGAGATGAATGAATTTAGACATTTAAATATATAATATTGTAATTGGGATATCATAATTTCTAAAGTTATCTCCATTTATTTGTTATGCGATCTAATATTTTTCTATAATCATCTCTTGATTATTTTTCTACTAAAAGCATTTGAAAGTCGAGATCTGTTGTTTTAACAATATTTTTATGTGTTATTTATTAATCTAACAATAATTCTATAGCAATTAAACTATCTTAACTAATAAAATTATTAATTATAATACAATATTCCTTCAGATGTCTTTTTTTTAAGATCATCCAATATATCTCCAATCAATTTAATGATTTTTGTTGTAAAACTATCTTCTAATTTATTTCTATCAGAATCTGATAATTCAACTTCATATTGGATTTCTTTAAAAAATTGTTCTTTACAATTTGAAAAGAATATTTTATAATATTCTTATTCATTTTTAATGAAATTTAAGATATTCCACTTAGTTCCTTTCATTAAAATATCTTCTCCAGAATCACAAGTTTCTTCAATCAATTATATCAATAAATTGCTATATGCTAGAACAAGTCTTGATAGAATTACAATGCATTCTTCTAATGATTAATCTCTTCTAAATAGCTACTTCAATTAATCTAATTTTTAATACAATTCTAAATTAACAAAATGACGAAATGCTATATTTTATTTCATTTGTTACAAAAACAACAATTACTTAACTAATTAATCCCCTGTCATTTTCTATTATTATTTCTGCATCCAACTTAAATTTTAATCATTATACAGCTTTTATAAAGTTGGATTATTTGAAACTAATCCCTTTTCCATACTTTCAAACATCTAAAATACTTAATCCCATGAAATTCTTTCAGTTTCTTCTACAATCAAAGCTTTTGTCAAAAAGTCTCTAGTAAAATCAGTGATTGTTTGATTCCCTTTAAAAACTAATGGTTTAATTAAAATATTTTTTAGCAAATCCTATTCATCTCTTCCCTTCCAAGGAACATCATGAAAAACCATTTCATAAAATATAACACCAATAGACCAAATATCACATTTTGTTGAATATTTTTTCCTTTACAATATTTAAGGTGCCATATATAAAGGAGAGCCAACACATGATCTTAATAATTAGGATGTATAATTATCAACATACTTAGCAAATCCAAAGTCTAAATTTTAATAGAACAATTACCTGCTATTTTAACAATACCTTCATGATTTAATATATTAGCTGGTTTAAGATCTCTATGAATAACTCCTTATTTCACTAATTCTTTAAATCCATTTATTATTTATAACATGATACCTTGAGCCTATCAAAAATAGATAAGTTTTTCTTACTTCTTTTTCAGTTAACCTTCTTTTTTGAAGAAATTCCTTCAAATCTCCATCTTTACAAAATTCAGTAACTATATAAAGAGATCTTTATGTAGTAATCAAATCTATAAATCTGACTATGTTTGGATGATTAAACTTTTTTAAAATCTCTATTTCACTAACAATCTAATTTCTCAAATATGTATCTCTCTCAAATAACACCAAATCCATTTTCTTGATTCCAACAATTTCATTAGTCTTTATATCCATTCCCTAATAAACCTTTCCATAAGCTCCTTCACCTAAGCAATGTCTTTCATTATATTAATATTGACCAATCTATTTAACTGTACGATTTTAGGAGCTCATCAATATCAATATAATATTAATTTCAATTATATTTTGAAAATATTGAAAAAAATAAAGATGGAAAACTTTATGAGTATGAATTTTATATATATTAATGATTTTTGAATTGAAATCAACTTATTCCCTAAATGATTTGATTGCAGAATTCCTATTTGCTTTTATTTTATTAGAATTTTGTCGTTTTCAATTATATTTAAGAAAATTAAGAATATTTTATGCTAAACTAAGTTTTTGTTGGTTATGTAACCCTTATAAAAGATGGGTTTCTTAAGTTTCTTGTTTTATTATTAATAATTTTCATTTTATACTTTGATTTTATACTTAATATGCAATTTGAAGTAGCACTTGAAAAATGTGGAAACAATGGTTGGTATTAAATAAGATTATTCTTAATTTCATCACTTCTAACTTTTATCTTATCTGCTACAATTATGAGTGCAACATATAATTATATTGTTCCATAATTATATTGTAATGGTTAAGTAATGTTAAATTTTATTCTTAAGCCTTGCACTGAGGATTAAAAAACTTGTTCAGAGAAAAACTATTAAATAGATCCTGATTTTAAATACAAGAATATAGTTACAGAGTTCAATTTATTTTGTGAAAATAAAAAGTATATTATGATTGCAAGCACAATTAACTTTTTAGGAGCAGTGATTGGAGGTTCAATCCTTAGCTAGGTTTCAGTAATTTAAATGATGTATAAATTATTAGGATTATTGGGGAAGATATAAGACTCTATTATTATCTCTAATTTTTACAAATATTGGATTTATTGGAATCTATTTAAGTGCAACCATTGTAGAACTAATTATATTTACTTTCATATTTGGATTCTTTTAAGTTGGAGTCTATATCATGATCCCAGTCTTAATTAATGAAATCAGCGGATATGACATCAAATAAATATATTCAACTGGAACTTTAATCTTTTGGTGTTTAGGGGAGATTCTAATGGCTATTTCATTTTTTGCTATAACAAATTGGAGAACCATTCAATTAATTGTTATTGTTATTCCAGGCTTTATTTCACTAATTTTAACATGTATTTCGATTCAAGAAAGTCCAAGATATCTGTATTAAATTAAAGATTATGATAAAGTAAAATAATTTTAAAGTATTAATAGGCACTTAATGTTTTTCGTTATATTGCTAGGGTAAATGGAAATGAATTTGATGAACAAGTATTAGAACATTCTTAAATGAATAGTGTTAGAACTAACTATTCAATATTTGATTTGTTCAAATTAAGATAATTTGCATCCTCTTCAGTTGGATTTATCTTAATTTCTTATGCTTTGCATTTAATATATTATGGTGGTTAGTTTGTGTTATAAGATATTTCTATTGGAAACATGATATATAAAATAGGAATTCTTCTAGGAATAAGTGAATTAATTGGTTATTCTATGATCACTTATATGATACCAAAATTATAAAGAAAATATAATCAAATATTTTTCTTTTCAATCTAAATTCTAGGATGTTTATCATTTTTATTTTATGGAATTTCTTAATATAAACTTGAATGCTAAAGTTGTTTTGAAGAAATAGTTGTGATTTTACTAGTAATATTATATTATTATTTAGTGTTGCTTGATAAGATTTTTTAATAGTTTTGGATTTGGTCTTTTACGATAGCATACACTTGAAATTTATCCAACTTCAATAAGAGGTACAGGTTCTGGATTTCTATTTACTCTTGGAATCTTAGGATCATTTTCATCATCATATATGATTGCTTTGGCTAATTATTTTGAATTCAATTAAGTAGCCTTTTTAGGTATATGTTCAATTTCTGGAATAATTGGAGCCATTTTAACTAAAGAGACATATCAAAAAAAGTTGATTGATGATGTAGATGAATCAATAAGGGAAACATATTTGGATGATGGAATGCTTAAATCAAATTGATATTTCTTTAGTGTTTATATCATTACATCATTACATAAGTAAATAGATAAAAATAAAAATAAGAAAGTTATTAAGTATAAACTAATTCAATCTTTATCTTCAATAATATCAATTTATTATTAAAAACTTTTTAGATTTTAAATATTCTATGTGTATCTATATAATTATAGATGCTTTCTAAAATTTAAATAAAATAATAACCTATTATATTCTCTAACATCATGCCATTCTTTCATACCAGATAAATATTTATATAAGTGTTTTAGTTCATCATCTGATTTATTATCAAAGAATGGAATTATAGGTATCCCATTGTCAATTTACTAAGAAAAATTGAAAGCGGAATTGTCAATTAAAGCTACTCTTTCTAAATTTCTGTTAAGTATTCTTAAATCTTTTACAAGAATTCCACCAGATGTTAAAATACAAGATTCTCTATATAGTCTATGTGCAAATATATTATTATTTGGATCCAAGTAATCAATTATATTTTTTGCATATATCTGATCAGAGGCTGTAAAAACTATTAATTCAAAATCTTATGATAATTTTTTTAATATTTCAACGGCATTTGGTCGAATATTAATTTTAGCAAAAACTTATTATGATTTATTTAAATCGATGGTTAGGATTACATCATATGATTTTTAATCTCTTTAATTACAATGTATTAATGTTTCATCTAAGTCGAACACTAAGGTTATAGAATCTAATAAAAATATTTATACAAATACCTTTATATTTATTTTATTAAGATAATTTAACTCCCTTTTTATTTATATCTGTATAATTTGCAGGTTTTAACTTGATACCAATACTTAATTCTTAACATAATTGTTTAAAATGATTTCGATATACTCTATTTAAATGATCATTTTTATTTTATTATAATATTGCTTACTTAACTTTTTGGATATAGTATATTTCTTCTTCATTTCTTGTTGTTTATTCTTACTAAATATATGAATCTTAAGTAAATTAAAAAGTACCACTCTTAGGTGTAATTGGTTTTGAATTAACAATTTATCTACTCATTAAATTATCATAGTACCTATCCACAATTCCATTATTTCTAATTATATTGGATGTTTATCTAAAATGTTATGAATGTGTTTTATTATCTGATTTTGTTGATAAATTTTATGCTACTTTATAAGAATGCTTAGGTTAAACATTAAAAAAAGTTGTGTCAAAATTTATTGTTTTAGACTTAGGGTTATCTTATAAATTTTGAGTTTCCTGAGATTATTATTATGTTTAAATAGAATTTATCTGTTAGTTTTTAGAAATATATTAATGAAACTTTTTAATTGCTTAACTTAATTCATTTTAAGTAAGCAAAGTTCTTTATTTTTAACTATTATTTTTATCAAGTTATTATTATAAGAATTGTTATGTGAATTATGTATTCTAAGGATTATGTGCTATCATTTACTCTAATTTTTGATTCTTTAATTTATCTCCAGTTTTCTGAAGTAGGTAAATCATCTCATTTTATTACATAAAATTAAAAATGAGTAAAATTAAAGTGATGAGCGTAACAGGTAATCCAGATTTATTACACTTCAAAAATTTACAATTGACAGAAAGAAAAAAGACTTATGAGATCTAAGAAATGCATGAAGTAAACATATTTATAATAAATTTAGTCTGAATATGATCATCAAGTGAAACTGCTAAAAAGGGATGCTTCATTGAGAATTTAAATTAAGAGATTACAACCACTTTGTAATTAGGAACCTTTTACTATGGATGATTCATTTATGTCTAAAACAGTTAAAAGGTTAATAAAATAGAGATAAAATAGACCCTTGTTATTAATTTAGAATGGAACACCTACTGTACATGCAAGTCGCAGAATTAAATTTACTCAGACTATGATTAGTTAAGCTTATGAATCCTAATTAAGATTTTTTAATTCTAGAAAGAATAGTATATATATATGATTAATCAATTTTAGCTTATGTATAAATGATGTTATCAATTGATGATTAATTATATCCAATTATCATTGAATTATTTAATGAGTTTGCACCTAAAGCTTGTGAGAATTTCACCAAATTCTGTGAAGGTGTTAATGTTGAAGGAAAGTTTTATTCTTATAAAAAAAGTAAATTCACTAAATACAAGCCTAATGGTATTAATTTAATTTAAATTTTAGGGTTTATTCAAGGAGGTTAGTTTGATAAAAAAGTATCTATTTATGGAGGATATTTTGAAGATGAATCTTATGCATTGAAACATGATTGTGAAGGTATTATTGGATTTGCAAATGATGGATTTTAACATACAAATCATTCATAATTTTATATTACATTAGCACCTATGCCTTTTTTTGATTATAAAAGAGTAGCTTTTGGTAAAATCATAAGAGGAATGAAATAAATATTAAAGGTATTGAAATAAGAATAACATTTTGATATTGTTATCTATGATTGTGGTCGTTATGATCATTAATAATAAATTAAATTAAAATTAGAAAAATTTACTGATGACTTTTATTCTAATCTACCAGAGAATGCATAATCATTTAATAAGTTTATTGAAGCAGAATAATTAAAACATAATGAAGCATCAGGTGATTTCACTTAATTAGTTAAATATCTTGTTGAATAAATGAGAATAATATCAAAATTTGTATATTCATTAACAAATCTTAAGAAAGCAATTCAATAATTAAATGAATCCTTTCTTAAAACATAATATTGTCAAATTCTATATATATTAGATAATTAATAAACTTTATAAGCAGATAATTAATAATCTAAATATATTGTTGCATTTAGAGCTGTTGATGGTACAGATTCATGTAGAGCATCAGCATTCATTATTTTTAAGAAATAAACTACTATGTTTAAATAAGTTACATTAAATGATTTTAAATAATAAGCAGAATAAATTGTTTCAATGGGTTATTGTGTATATGGTTAAACAACTTAACTTGTATTTGGAACTGGATATAATTTAAGTATGTTTACTTTATAGAATAATGAATTTAAATTATAATAATAAGAGTAATATATGATTTAATATTTATATAGGTTATAAATACCAAAGAAAGAAACATTCTATTCTACTAATATAAAAGATGATTTTTTACAAAATAAAATTATTGCAAATCTATCAACCAAAGTTCTAAGATATACAGATAGTATTTTTACAACACTTCATCGAGTTGTACGTCTTGGAGGTTTGGCTATGTATAAGGAGGTATCAATTTTTGAAGCCATTATCTGTGCATTTACTCTAGCCAGATCATGGGGATGGTCATTTTGTGATGGAACAAGTTAATATTATATTTATTATTTTAGCTACTTTTAATTAAATTAGAATAAGAGACATAAATTAACTAACATATCTATATATTGGTTAATAGAAATGGATTTAAAAAATAGAGAATCATTTCCTATCAATAGTTTGATTATTTTATTGTGTTAATACAATCAATATAATTGCAGAGAGAGAGAAAAGATTTATAAAATATTTTAATTAGAATTTATATAAATCACTAAAACATGTTATTTAATGTTGTTATCTAATCTATCAATTATATTCATTACATTAAAACACTTAATATTATTATATAATTTTTATAATTTTTGAACTCATTAATTATTAAACAATAAATCTTTAAAGTGCGCTATTTATTACATATATTTAAATTTAAAATTCATGGATTATATTTCAGATGAAGCTATGTAAAATTAACCAAAAAAGCCTTAAAATGCTTATATGTTATATAGAGCAGAGGTTTATGAAGAAGTTAAAAAGAAAAATTAAGATAAAAGCATGACTGAGTTAACTTAAGTTATTTCATAAATGTGGAATGATTTAGATAAAAAAAAAAAAGAGGTAATAGTAAATTTCGATTAAGAAATATGAAAATGAAAAAGAGAAAGCTTAAAATTAATATAAAAAAGATTATGAGGCATGGTTGAAGAAATATAAATTAGATGAAGACAAAGTTAAAAATTGTTTAAAGGAATTAAAATAAGAAAAGAAAAAACATAAAAAAGGATCAAAAAAAGTAACAAAAGCAGCTAAAGATGATGAAGAAAGTGAAGATGAAGATGAATAAAGAATTTAACAATTAAAAAATAAAAATTAAAAAAAAGATTAGAAAGAATAAAAAGAATAAAAAGAAAAAAAAGAAACTAAGGAAAAAGAAAAGGAAAAAGAAAAATAAAATCAGAAAGAAAAAGATTAAAAAGGAAATAAGAAAAAATGATTAAATTTTTATATTCATCAATAATTCATCATTTTTAATCTAATTATTCACTTCAATTCTTAGAATCACTTTTACAATATTCTCCTAAATTTTCAGAAAAATTATAATAATTAAGATACTATTATCCTAAAAATCTAAAGAACTATCTATTATTAGTTTAAACTAAATTATATATCTAAGATTTTATAAAAAAATTAAATGATCTTCATAATTATTTATTATTTATCATAATAATTTACCATTTTAGATTAATATTTAAATTATAATTTTTAATCAAAGAAATAGCATTTTTCTGTTTAATATATATAAAAATAAACAAAATTTCATATATATATATTATTTCTTATGATAAATACAAATTACAAGATTAAGGATACGAAAACTAAAAAGAAATATAGAATTTGCAGTAAATTTAATATTGTTAGAGTTCAATTAATTTCAATTATACAATATTTTATATACAAAAACCTTATAAAATTGCATAATATTTCTTGTATTTTTATTATTTTATTATATTAAATTAAAAATTGGGATAGGAAATGATATATTTTTAATGATTAAAAAGTCAAATTTGAAGATATAAGACGAATTAAAAATGAAATGGCAAATAATAAAATAGAAAAAGGAATCATTTTAGGCTAACCAATTATAATATTATAAGAACAAGAGTTAAAAATGATGTTAATTTGAAAGATTACCATTATTTGTTAAATTTATTATAGGATGATTACTAATGTATACATTAATTTAATAAAAATTCTTAATGGATTAATTTATTTTTTTATGTTATCTATATAAAATTCAATAAATAATTTATTAGTTAATTTATGCAATTCATAGGTAATTATTAATTAAATTTGGTTAGATAAATCATAAGACTATGATTCAAATGATCGATTAAATTAAAGGAAATTAATTAGTGTTTTAGGGGAAACAAATAAAGAGGCAAGAGATTATTTATATTTTGTGAAATAAAGAGAAGAAGAAGAACAATAATAAATGGCTAAAACTGAAGTTTTTTAAATATTCATCAAAACAATGATGGAAGTATCAAATCCGACCTCTACTTTTAGAATAATATGGGAATCAATTAGCATGTTATTTATTTTTGTATAAATGATATATATACCAATGGCATTATCATTTTCAATTGACAGTTAAATAGGTATGGAAATTGTGAATAATATAATGGATGTCTTTTTTGTTATAGATATAATTCTTAATTTTCGATTAGCATATTATGAAAAGTAATAAAAAATCTTATATTATAAGTGGAAAATTAGAGTGTCGTATAAAACATATAGCATTAAATTATTTAAAATTATGGTTTTGGATAGATGTGATAGCAGTTCTTCCTTTTGATCTATTGATAGGTAGTGATAGTAATTAATCTACACAGATATTAAAATTTGTTAGATTGTTTAAATTTGTTAAAATTGTACGTCTTTTAAGAGTATTAAAATTAGGAAGAATTTTAATAAAAATAGAAGGTAGATAAATAATAATAATAGATTATAGAGACATTTTCTATTGAATAAACACTTTAAGCAATTATTTAATTCTTCAAAATAGCTGCGATGATACTTTGTATAGCACATTGGATAGCTTGTATTTGGAATATTATAGAATTTGTGGATGAATAAGTAGAACTAACATGGATGACACAATACGGAATTTATGGGGCACCTTGGGAAGTCAAATATATAACTGCATTCTATTTTAGCATAACTACAATGATAACATTAGGATATGGAGATATAAGTCCAAATACAAATTTAGAAATGATTTTTGGAATTATTGTAATGGTACTTTCCTCAGGAGTTTTTGGTTATAGTATGTCAAGTTTGAAATTTATTATTCAAGGAGAAGATTAGAATATTGTAGAAATAAAGGAATAAAATTAAAAAATCATTAAGTAAATACTTCAATAATTTAGTCAGATATATTAAATAGAAAAGTATACCAAAAAATTTATAAATGAGAGTTAAAAACTATTTAGAATGGTTAGAAGGATCTGCTTAAGTAGCTAAAAATTCTTAAATGATAATATTAAATAATTTATCATTAAATCTACATACTGAAATATTAACTTTATTACATGGTAGAATTTTATAATAAGTAAATTTAATCAGCAAAGAATTCTCTTATTAATTGACAAACAAATTAATTTATGTATTGAAAGAACATCTCTTAGGTCCAGAAGAGTATGTCTTTAAAGAAAATTAAGTGGACAGTAATTTATTATATTTCATCTAAAATGGTCAAGTATAGATTTGTCTTACTAGAAGAGAGTTTTAATTAAAATTATTGGGAAAAGGAGATTATTTTGGGGAAATTAGTTTTTTCAGTAAAAGTCCAAGAACAGCAAGTGCTAAAACACTTGATTTTGTTAATTTAATGAGTTTAAATAGAAAAGATTTGTTGGAATAAGCACATGATTTAGATTCTGATTTAGAAAAGCTATTCTATATTAAAAATTGTGTAGATGTTGAAAATTCATTAAAGCCATTAAGATTAAGATGTTACATATGTGATAGACCACATCATATAGCAAGAAATTGTACAATAATGCATTACAGGGTTAGAAGATTGAAAGTTATAGAAGATTATTTGAAATAAAAAAACAATAGAGTTAAAGAATTTAAGAGAAGACCTAAAAGATGTTTGATGTCTTCATCTTAAATTATTTATTCTAAATCTGATGCTTTATTTAGATATAGATTTTAATAATAAAAATAAATAGTAAAAACTACAAAACATATCGAAATTCTAGATGAATCAGTTATTGATTCTTCAAAATTATCTACTTAAATTGATCATAATAATTTTTGTCTTGATAAACATAGGGATTATTCAGAATTCTATAGTGAATTCAACCCATCAAATATAATTTCATAAATAAATAAATAATCTGAATAAAGATTATTAGAAATGAGAGAAGAAAAAGAAGAAATAGCCAATCGATTTAGATAAATTTGGCTGAATAGTAGAAAATAAAAACTATTATAGATTGCTCCACCAAGATAATCAAAATTATCATATGATATTCAGAAGATTTTTTCATCTGATGTATAACATATTATTTTTTCTGAGGATTCTTATAGTTCTTAATCATCTTTTAATTTATTAAAGTAAAAAAGTGTAAGAGGAAAACGACTTTTAGATATACAAACGCAAAAATAATTATTGTATGTATTTTGAAATCTATTTAAACTTAGAATTAAAAGATCAACATCGCGTTCCTAGTTAGAAAAATTTCTATAAAAAAAATAAACCTCAATGGACTTTACTCCAAAAAAAATTTAAAGGTAGGTATCAACAAATGTAAAAAGTAACCATACTACTCCTTTAGAAATTAAATAATTTTAGAATACTAACCTTAAACTCTTAATAATTAATAAATATTTAGTCTTCAAATGAATATAATTTATGTTTAACTGTATCATTTTTATTACAGATAACTTATTTCAATTTACAGTATAAAGTGAAAATTAGAAGGATTATTAAGATTTCAAATAATTATTAGATAATCCTTTATTCACAATCTGATTTTATTTCTTTAAGAAATGTTTTAAATTACTCATATAATTTATTGTAATATGTATCTTTGTTTATAACTTAATTATCAATCAACTTATTAAATTTTTAATATCTTTACTCTAGAACTTAAGTTAGAAATTGTTGGTTTGGTGATAAATTTATTTTATTTAAACTCATAATAATAAAACCATTTATTCTATAAATACTTATTTATTATTATATAAATTAAATATAAAAACAGAATATATAAGAGGATGATAATCTAATTAAATTTAAGATTGAAGGACTAAAAATTATTATTGAAGATCTAATCATATATTTAACAATTATAAATTTTTAATTCATAAAATACCAAAAATTCCATTTATAAGGATAAGAGAAAATTGTGATTTAATAATTAATTTATAATTTTAAATTAAAATAACAAACTAATTTAGAATGGCAATAAATATATGTTATTAAGTTTTTGATCAAAAATTCATTAAAGTTCTTATTCATTTTAAATTTTACTTATTAGAACATTAGAGAATTCTTAAAAATAAAAAGTTAAATTTAAATTAATTATACTTAATTCAGCGATCTATTTAACAAATGATAACTTATTATATATGGTGGAATCTAAAAATATATATGTTTAATTTTTTAACCTATTAAATAATTTTAAAGTTTGCTTATAACAATAATTGTTTAAAACATAAATGAAAAAATAAAAAATAATTAATAATGTTTCAACAATATATTTGAAAAGATATTTTAACATAAGTAGATATTATTTAAAATAAGAGTTTATATATCAACCATTTGGTGATTCATCAGCATTTAACCACTTAATTCTTTTTCCATTTTCCCAAATACCTTCTTTTTTTTCTCCATTTGGGAGTGTAATCATACCTTTTCCATGTTATTTTCCATTAATCCAATATCCTTCATATTTTCTACCATTTTCCCATTAAAATATACCAAATCCATGTTTCTTATCATCTTTATAATCACCTTCATATTTTTTGCCATCAGCCCATTAGGTTATACCTTTACCATTCATTTTACTATTATTCCATTGTCCTTTATATGATTTACCATCTTTCCAGTAATATTCTCCATATCCAGTTATATCATTTTCAACAAAATCCCCTTTATAATAACTGCCATCAGCAAAAGTCAAAGTTCCTTGTCCATGCTTTTTACCATTTTCATATCTACCCTAAAATATATCGAGAATAAAAAGTTTACTTCATATTTGGCTCCATCAGGCCATACTTCAACTCCTTATCCATGTTATAGATCATTTTTCCATTCTCCTTCATATCGAGCTCCTCCTTGAATGTATTAATAAATAATACCACTATGTATATAAACACCTCTACCATTAGCCATATCATCTATCCACTATCCTTCATAAATATCACCATCCACATGAACTGAATAAGAATTACAAAAGAATTACCTAACTTTCCAAATCCATTTGCTTTATCTTCCACCCATTCTCCTTCATAAAAACTTCTATCTGGCCATACATATTTTCCTGAACCATCTCTCATAGCATTTTTCCATTCTCCATCATAAACACCCCCATTTTTCATTTCGATAGCTCCTAACTTAGTTCTTATTGTTTTATTTTTCGTAGATTAAACTTATGCAATATATTGATCTTCCGGTTTGTTATCATCTACACTTCTCAATATATATTACCATTTTCTCTTTTCATAAGTTTAGGAGAAGAACTATCTTCATTAGAATTGTTTCTAGCTCCTGCCATTTGAGCAACATCTTCATCCTTTAATTGATTGCTAATCTTCTCTTTACCCTATTAGTTTATTTGCTTATTATACATCAGGATCTTAATTTTAAGCAGTATCAGGTTTAGGTGTTAATTTTGATTAAGCTTATTGTTTTGAATTTGTATTGAGTTCATTTTCTTCAATTACTTTAGTTTAACATTAGCATGTACAAGAATTGCCCATTTTGAAATGAGTAAAATTTAATATTAAACTAGAAAATAATAATAATTAACTTTCAATTTAATATTCTTATTGGATTATTTACTTTTGAAATTAGGAAAGAAAAGCAATATATCTATTAATTCATTGGTTTTAAAATATTGAGTTAATTTTAGTGCTTAATAATTATTTTAATTAAATAAAATATGAAATGCTTTTGCAAAAATAAACCTAAAGACTTAATAATATCAATTAAAGATGATAATGTTATCTTTTAAACTTGTAATTATTGAATATTTCATGGATAGGCAATAACACTTAAAATGTTATCCATAAATTTCAAGGTTTTTATGATTTTAGCGATAGTAGTGATAATGATAATTAAATAATTCGATTAATGTCTTAGATATCAAATAAGAACTTTGATAAGAATTCTATCAAATAAATCATTGAGATAAATACTAATTGTTCAAATGTATTTATGGTTCTCAAGTTAGCATTCTAAAATTTATATTAATAATGAAACCAATATTTAACTTGTGAGTTCATCATAGTCCACATCAACAAGTAGTCCAACATTAAGGGAACCTAAAAAAAAGAAAAAGTAAAAACCAAAAAACAAAGAAATTAAGCCAAAATCTGAAGTTGATAAACCACAATAAATTTCTGATTCAAAAAATTAAAGTAAAGTTTGTTCTTTAGGGAATGAGGATATAAGAATATTTGAAGAAAAGATAAAATAATATACATCTGAAATAGATGATTCCTAAAAAATAGTCTTAAATCTTCCATTAGAATGGATTAAAAAATTTGGAGTTCAAAAAAAAAAGAAATGATAAATATGATGATGTTCTAATCTATAATTTTAATAATTATAACCCTTATTTTTATGTTACAAAATATAAGGGAATAGAAATCTATATATATATATATTTTTTGTAAGGAGTTTATTATATATAACAATTCATAAGAATGATAGCTATTAATTTTGCATAATGCATAAACATGTTATTAAATTAAGGGATTATTATTAAATACATTATCTTATAAATAATGAAAATTGTTCAAATATTTATATGAATTAAATTTTCATTAGACAATATTTATTAACAAGTATTTATTAAATTCATAAATAATATTACTTTGAATAATAAATACTAATGATATATAAACTTATTTAAATACTTTTTTTTATTTTACTTTTTAATAAAAACTAAGTTAGAATTAGTATAATATTCTAATTTAATGTAAAATAATATACTATTTTCAAATGGATAGGATGAAGCAATACTCTCTGAAAGAAATGAGTAGGAATAATTTCAAAGTGATCTCTCCAATGAAGATGATGAATCAAATGATTAAATTGAGAATGAGGAAGAATAAGAAATGAACCCCAAAGATTCTTAAACACCTACATTTCCAGAATAATAAATTATAAAGGATGAGACTAAGAAAAAAGATGTAAATATTTAAATAAATTATTTAGATAAAAGAAACTTGTTTGGAAAAAATTAAAGCTTATATTGGATTTGGTAATCGAGATTTATTTATAAATGAAAAGATTGGATCAATATTTTTCTTGCCAATATCTTCTAATTGGACACTTAAAATATAGGTTACAATTGCTTAAATCATAATTGCTATAACATCATTATCTTTATTTATAGGAGTATAATTCATAGGATAGAATATATTATTTGATACTGTATAATAATGGACTAATAACAATATATCAGAACTATTATAGAAATAAATTTGTGAGATCACTATAGATTTTGTTTAATTATTAATAAATACTAGGGAAAATGAAATACAATTAGTAAATGTTACTTTAGATCTAATTTAATCTGAAACATTAAGATATAATGGATTATTATACAAAATGGATGATTAACTACCAAATTCAACAAGAATGTATCTACCTAAAATAAGTATCATAGATTAATATACTCTTAATCTTGTTACTTATTCTCTTTTATCTGAATAATAAATTTCTGAAAAAAAAATCAGAAATTATCTATCAATCAATAATATAATGTATTATAATTACTAAACTATGGGATCAACATTTTTTTGGATTTTTGATGATGGTTTTATGATGTAATATCCCGGTGTGAATGTTACTGATATCAAAATATATAATGAATATCGATTATAAATGTATAAAAGTAGAAGATATATTTCTTATATTCCTCTTGAACATACATATGACCCAATTTTGAATGAAATTTTGTAAAGGGAAGTATTACCAATAACAGATATTAATAATAAATAAATTGGTTTAATATTTTGTGAAAGAAAACCATTTACATTATATATGCTATTTTATTCAATAGCTACAAATAATCAATATAATTACACATTATTTTTGTTTACAGATTAAAATGATATAATCTATTATCAAACATAAGAATATGAAATTAATATTGAGGAATTTTAATAAGTCATTAAGACTATGAATACAGATGATGATTCTAAGTTAAAGAAAATTAATCTCTCAAAATATCTTGTACACTCAGAAAGTGTTGAATAATATATTCATATTTATTAAGGAGATCTTTCAGGTTAACAATTTCTATTTGCATATGTTAATTATTCAGGACTTCTAGTTGGAATGTAAAATGTTTATTTTACTTAAATAGATTTTAACCAAGTTACTTACCTAATGAAGAAATTGAACTATAGAAGAATATTTATTAAAAGAAAATTGATAATTTCAATAAAAAATTAATTCCTATTGCTTTATCTATTCCTATCGTATATATTATTATATGTGTTTTTTATATGGTTAGGTATATTAAACCTCTTCAAAGAATTACAGAATATGCAGACTAATTATTAAAGAAATCTCAAAATTTTGATGAAAAATAATTTGAAAAATAATTTAATGATTCAACTGGAGATGATCTTATCTAACAATTAACATCATTATTTGCAAAACTTATGGGAAATCTTAATAAATCAAAATAATTGAAAAAATAAGAAATTATTGAATTCTATAATAAATAAACATACCCAAAAAATTAAAAATCAAGAGATGTTACCCCTATAATAAATGAAGTTAAAAAAATTAAATTAGATTCAATTGTAAGAGATCCTGGAGTATTGCAATTTCCAAATTTAGATGATTGAATATATACTTTAATAAAATCATATATAAAAATTAATAAAGAATTTCATATTTAATTTATAATAAATTTAAACTTGAAATTGTGTAATTTCAATTATAATAATATAGAAATCATAATCTCATTATAGTTTTTATATATTCTAATAATTATTCATTAACAAAAATCATCCTATTTCCCTACTCTATATGATTCTAATATAATATCAACAGTGAGATTTAAAAATTAACCGGTATTTTTAATTTAAATCTTTTAGTTTGATAATATGCAATTTTAATGTAAAATGTTATATACCAATATGAAAAATGCAAAAAAATAAAAAATCTTATTATTTATAATTTATCAGATTTTTTGTTTTCCAATTAAAGAAATATTATGCTTATTAAATTATACTTTTAATTCATAAGCGATAAGATAGTTTTGGATTAAATGAATCAGAATATAATATTTGATGAAAAGAGAATTAAAGAAATTTTGAGGATATGAAAGTCATAGAATGATAATAAATTATTGTTTTTAAAGTAAAACATAATATTACTAATAAGCTATAAAATAGTTTTATTAGACAGATCTGATTATAGTAACAGAAAGGAGATTTAAAATAAAACTATAGAATATCAAAGAGATGATTGAATAATTCACATACAAGACTTGTTTGTTTAATCAAAAGGTATTAAGATGATAATTTAATAAATAATAATAATAATTTATTACAGCTGATGCTTCATCTAGAAATCGAAGTATAATCTTTGCAGTTCTTTATTGAAAAATAATCAGAATAATGCAAAATAATCATTCTTGATGGTAGATTACAAATCTTATATTTAGAAAATGAATCAAAAATTTTGATGTCTAAAATATTGAGTCAATGTTCAAGTGTATAAGATATTAATGAAGTAGTTGAATTTGATTTTAATTATACTTAAAATCGATATGTAAATTTAATAAATCTTATCTAGTTAAAAATAATGGTCTAAGATTGTAAAATATGCTATGGAGAAGCAATTCTGAATTTAGGTTTTTATATTGAAAATAATTTACCATTGGTTATTGATAAAATTCCTATTCATAATAGATATGATTAAGAAGCTTATATTTAAGTGGGATTAGCATGGAACTAATTAAATTAAACTGAATATAAAAGACTCGTAAACAATAAAAGGTAATAAATATTTGTCAAAATTTTAGTAAAATGAATATGGATATAAAATAAAGTGAAGAATGGCTTAAGTAAAAGAGAGAATGTTAACATTCCCCAATATAGTAAAGAGGGGAAAATTTAAATCATAATCGAGAAGAGACATTAAAAAAATATTAAGAATAACCATGTAATTTTGAAAATCTCTTGAAATATTCAGAAATAGATAAATTAAATGATGCTGATATAAATGTTAAACGAGTATAAACTGTTAGAGTTTAGAAAGTTTGTTTATCATAATAAAAATCTAAAGAAGAAAAATTTGATTTAGATTGTCCAACAGTTTTAAGAGAGAATAAATTTGTTATTCCAGGAAAGAATAGGACTAAAATTGTATAGAATTAAGAAGAAATCTTAAGAGGATCAACAAAACCTAAAGCTAATCCTAAAAAAATAGAATAATTTGATAATTTTAATTCAAGACCAACTTAAAATGAATAAGCTTTATTATTATCTTGTAGATAATTGGAGGTTGGAGAATAGGATGATAATTTTATATAAATATAGAATCAGGCATTAAAGAATTAGAATAAATAAACAAAGTAATAAAATGAAAAGTTGTAAGAATAGATAAAAAAATCAGAAGCTGCTTTTAATTTATTATCAGAAACTTATATTGCACTTTAATAAGATTACAAAAGAATTTAGATTTAAAATTTCAATAATAATATTAGCAATTCTTTATCTGATAAGAATAGTAAGGAATTTTAATAGATTAAAAAGGAATCTGAAATACTTAAAAAAGAGATTGAAATACTTTTAAGAGAAAATGATATTTTAAAAGATGAGAAGGATTAATAAAAAAAATAATATATTTATGAAATATCTAAATTGAATGAAGAATTAAGTAAATATAAAAATACTATGTATGAATTATAAAATGAAAAAAATTAACTTTAAAACTATATTTAATCTTAAAAGGATTCATAAATAAATCAATATTGTTATATTTGTCTTCAAAAGGATGAATTATAAGGAAATAAAGATAAAATATAGTATAAAACAAATATTTGCCTAGAGAATATCTAATAAATAAATGATGATAAAGGAAAGGCAAAGACTTCTAAATATTAAATTGATAATTTATTAAAGAATGAAGGAAAGTAGAAGTAATATAAAATTTACCTTTAGATTAAACTAATTATCAGAATAAGAATTATAAAATTTGGTCTTTGAATATTCTAATGAATTATAAATAACTTTAAAAGAAAATCAATAATTAAGTATAGATTTAATATATTTTTAAGTATTGAATTCAAAAAAAGACTAAATTAGATTAGAGAGTTATCAAAAAGAACTAGAAATAACAAAAGTAATAATTAATAATAATTAAAATAGAGAATTGTAAAACTTAGTGATTAAAGATGTAGTTCATTAGAACATTAAATAATGTAATTAGAGAAGGCTGTTTTAAATGGTAAATAGAATATTGCTGATATGATTAATGCAGTAATGGAATGTGGTGGATAAAAACTTTATGATCAAATGGAAAGATGTTTAGCATTTAGAAGAAGTTTAAAAATAGATTGAAATTTACACTAAAATTTATTAGAAATTTTTGATTGATTGAATAACATTTGTTATTAATTTATAATTAACTATTCCTACTTAAGACATAATCATAAATGTAAATCAATCTTCTTTTAGATGTGCATTATCAATAGGAAAGTTCTTTTCCAAACTAGTTGCACTAACTGCATATTGTCCATTTCCATCAAGAATATTCTCTTAATTTTTATCTAATTAATAAATAAAAATAGAAAGCACAAATGCAATGGCTCCTAAAATTGATAACATAATTTATGAATAATAATATGTTCCATAATATCTAAAAATAATAAATATTAATACGCTCTTAAAGCTCCAACAGCTAGAGGCACAAGAGTGAATGTGAAATTATATACAGCAATAACCAAAGCATATGCTTTACCTAAAGTATCAGGTCTTACCAAAAATACAATTCCAGTCCAAGCAGAAGCAAATGCTAAAGCCAATGAAGTTCCAAGTAAGATAAGAGATAAAAATGGAAAAACATACCATATCATCAAATGAGAAAAAGTACATAATAAAGTTGCAAATATTAGCTATATAAATTAAAATAAATTTACTAATGATGATCTTTAGCCATATTTATCTGTGTAACTACCAAATAATGGTGTAAAGAGTCCAGTTATGAACCACATAATTGAAACTACAAAACCTGCTTCAATCTCTGATTCTTCAGTCACTCCAAACCATCTCTCAGATAGTAATCCAACTGAAATATTTATGAATCCTAATACTGAACTATAAATTAATGCATAACACCAACTAACAAGCCAAAATATTTTTGGAAACATTTCAATAGCTTAAACTGCATCTGGTTAAGATACAATCTATCCATCTTCTCCATTTTCATTTGCTTATTAATTCTACTCTACTTCTATTATTTCTTCTTAAACATTCTTATCATAATTTATATCAACTTCATTTATATTCTTCCCACCACTTTATCTAGGACTACGATTTTCTGATTTTAAAACAGAATATTTGACTTAATCATAATTCACTAATTCCAATAAATGTTTTTCTGCATTTTTATCTAACATCACAGTAATTATTCCACATATTAAGCTAAATGAATTAAAAAATATTCCACTAGATACTGCTACTAATAAACCATATTCTAAAGCCAATTTAGGGCATAAATACATTGTTAATATAGACCCTAAAGTTGCAAAAAATTCATTCAAACCAACTGCAAAACCCTATAATAGTTAATCAACAATACCAAAAAGTCATCTTTAAAATATGGAGAAATAAATGAGGTTTATGTAGGAACAACAGATTCTATGCCCCAACCTGATATGATTCTGCCTAAATACATAACCATGAAGCTTTTTAAGTGAACTCCATAGACAAATATTATTTGCCCCATCATTACTAAAATCACCATAAGAATTAACACTATTCTATCACCCTTTTAATCCCTAATTTCTGAATAAAAATTATATCATACTTCCGCTAATAAATGGAAGAAAAATATTAGCAAATGAATATAAACTATACAACCCTCCATAATATAACTCAAAGGCTTCAGGTGTCATTATATCAGCAAAATGTGCCTATAATGTGTTGTGCAAAGAAGTTGGAATATCAAAACAATAAAATGCTCCCAAAACAAGCCATATACAAAATCCAAGGACACCCCATCTATACTTATAGTGGCATTTGTTTAGAAATGGAAAGCATTATCTCATCAAGATTTTATTAAATATATCGTTTTTATTTTGTAATTTTTTTAAATTCACTATTCATAAAATTTTAATTACTAATTCTATTCATTCTTAATCTGTTGTATAAAACTATCCAGATTTTAATGATAAACTAAAATAGTATTAAATAATCAAATGTGAAAAATCATTTTATTTCCCCATTTGAATAATAATAATAAAAAATATATAGTTTAAAATTAAATTCATAGTAATATCCTAATATATATATCTTTAATATTATTGATATAATAATTAATACACAAATTTTTATCATTTTCTATTATTAATTATATTTAATTATTTAATATTTCATAAGATATTATAATTTATTACATTTCATTATAAATATAAATTAAAATACTTTTGAATCTTCTTTAGATCACATATTTATTTTTGTAAATAAATTTAGAATTTAATTTTAAATAATAGTTCTAATAGAACAACTAGAATAAAATAAAACAATTAATTTGAAATTGAATATTTATACTTCTATTCGAAATCTAAATGAATTGATTATTGATAATAAGTAAAGATTTAATGGTTATATTAATATAAATAATGCAGATTATGTAGAAATATTATAATAAACAAAAGTAAATAGATAATATTATAATGAAATATTTATTTAGATACAATATTTAATTATAAATATATAAGAAAATAGCAATCCAACATAATTATAAGAAATTGATAAGTAGAATTAGATAGTGAAATTATTTATTAATATAGATTAAATAATAATAATTAGATAAAATAATTCATTAATACTACCTTTTGGAATATTAAAAAAAGTAAATGAGTAATTTAAAAACTTATAAAGCTTTTACAACAGAAATAAATGTAAAAGATTTAAATTAATTATTGAAATATAATTGTTTAATACTTAATCTAAATTAAACATTCTATTAAATTATATTATTAATTCATATTAATTTATTCCATAGGTATTGACAAACTTTAACAGGTTCATTCTCAATAATTTTTTCACTTTCTACCCATGAATTTTTTGGAATTTAACCTAATTATTATATCAATATTATACCATTGTTTCTTCTTTTCCATAAAATATAATACATTTTATTTTTATTTTTTTTAATTTAAACAGCTCTACCAATTTTTTCAACTTTATCACCTTATTCAAAAGAACCATCATAATTAATCAAAGCACATTATTAATATTGTTACATCATATCAGATTAGATAGATTATTATTTGTCTTAAGAACCAGGTGATCTTTATAAATCATAGTGATGAATAACATTTTTTGACATTTTTAATTCTTTAATGAGTCTCAATTAAGATTATAGAATAAGTCTAACATCGTCTTTGAGAGTATTGATTTAATGTTAAAATTCGCTAATTTTTGTGTTAAAAGTAGATAGTTCACTTTTTTAAGGTGGGACTTCTACAAAATCTTCAATTTAAGGAGGTTAATCTAATGGATCAAAATAGAAGGTTTTTCCAAGCATTTGAACACTCATTTTATATTCTGATATCATATTTGAATCTGCTGGTACTTTGTCTGCTTTTTCCCATGTTGATTATGAGATTGGATAACCAGCCCATTTAACTAAAAAATATAGTTAATCATTTATAGTTCTGGAATCTAGAATGGCTTCCATAGAAAAGAGCTTTCTTTTAATTTTGTTCATTATTATTGTTAAAAATAATTTTCTAAAAACACACTTTTAATTTTTAAAAGCACACTAATTATAGAAATAAACTATGGCTTCAAATTTCTTAATGTTTAATTTATTTAATATATTTCATTTAAACATATTCATCAATTTCAAAAGACATATCATCTTATTTTACCTGATATCCTTCTATTGTGTCAGTTAATTTAAGTTATAAACTTTTGGTCTCTTCAGCAAAATAATTTATCCTTCGAGGCAAAGATGGTAATCTTTAATGAAAAGGTTTCGTAGTATTGACAGATTAAGATTTTTAACGAGGCTCAGTTTTAAATTTTAATTCCTTTTTGTTAACTTAGTTAGGTTATTATTAATTGTTCATTTTTAATAATTTTTCATACTTTGACCTATTTTTAATTCTATAGTTTGAAGGAGATCCTTAACTTTAATTCACTGGTGATATTTGACTACAGTTTATAGGAGAAAATATTGCACCTTAATCGATTTTGTAATGATTTGAAGGCGATATTCTTCTTAAGTTTCGAGTTCCCCAACATGATTAACCAATTCTAGTGGGGATGACAATTATATTTATTTTTTTCTTACTTTCCTATTCTATTTCTTTAAGAATTAAGTCCTTGATAATTTATTTTATGCTTTTTGGTTGCCTTTTAAACGGTGATTGCATATTAATTAATAAATATATAATAACATAAAGAAATTTATTTATTTATTAAACTAATTATAAATAAAATGAACCAAGGAAATTCTTCATAATATAAAGTAAATGATTATTATAACCTATTGGAAGTAAATTATAAAAATTATTACAGAATAATGGTTTTATTTTTTTACAATTTTAGTTATATTGGGAATTTTGCAATTTTAGTTATATGGGAATCATGCTAACCTATCTATTCAACTTAACAAAGGAAAGAAACAGTTTTAACATTTTTATGATATATCAATCTGTTTTAGAAAAAGGTATAATATTATATATTGCAATATGTTTTTACAATTTTAAACAAAATTTCTATTTTGAATTTAAAAAGCTATATTATACAAAAACAGAAATAAAGTCTTTTTTTTAATTCTTAAAATCCAAAAATTCTTATATTATAAGTACAATTGTTAATAATTCTCATTTTTTCTCATAATATTTAATTCAAATTAATTATATAGTTTTGAGCAATCAATCAATATTAAATTTAATATTTTTAATAAGTTATCATTCACAAAAATGATTGAATTGAATTAGGAGTATGTATTTAAATAAATATTTAACAATGATTCATTAATAAATATTTCATTATATTATAAAAAACTTTAATAAATTTCAATTAAATAAATTTTATTATAATGATTGTTTATATTTCAAACCAATGTAATAGGAAATTAAATGATATAAATTATTAAATAAATAACTTTAAACTATTTAAAAATTTGGAGGATATCAAAGATTAGAAGTTGATAATACTGTAATTATAGTTTATATTGTATATTTTTATGATATAGGAAGAATCTTCCTATAAGGAAACAAAAAAGGATTTTTTTTCTATTTAAAATAACTGATCTAAGTGTTTCAAGCTATAATCTATAAACTAAGGTTAAATCATTTATATCTGCTTTGTAGGGTCTTTTAAAATAATTATTAATATTATAATTTTATACCTATTTGCCTTTAATTTTTTAATTTTTTAGTCAAATTCTTTAATAATAATTGAACAAATATATCAATTGTAATTAATCATTTAATTTTCATATTCTATTAAAATTTCTTACTTTATTTTAACGATGTCATACTTTGTCTTAGAATATTAAAATGTAGAGTTTAAATTATTTTATAAATATTGAACTTTTTTAATTAGCGTGATAGGTTCATAATAGTAGTAAGATAATTAGGATCTTTAAATCCAAAATTTCTACTGTTCAAATAATATGAAAGAGATATTCAAATAATAAGTTACTATATGAATATTTAATGAAACAGTATCAAGTAAAACAAAAGAAATAATTTAATCAAAACTTCAATAATCGGAATCTATAGGAACCCTTATGCATGATTTAAGTTATTATTTTTTTGGAGATTCCTCAAGTGTCGGATTAAGATTATATATTTCTTTTGTCATTTTAACTTATGTTATAAGTCTATCTCTGAATCGATAGATATCTTCATCTTGATATCTAAGAAAAATTGTAATTGTGGGTGCAAATTTGACTTATTTCGAAATTTTTTTATTTTTGAAGGAGTCAGTGCTTTCAAGATCAAATACTGAATATAGTTTATCTTCAATGAAGTCTTATATTTTGATAGGTGTACTAAAGTTTAATTTAGGTCCTTTGATTTGATTCATTGAATTTTGATAAATATGATTTAGAAAAAATATATAATTAATGAAAATATATTAGTAATCTTAAAGCATTGTAAATAATTAGATGATGTTTCACACAAAGTTAAACATAAATATTTTTAGAGCTATTTTACATTTTGCATTGAAAGATCAAAAAAATACTTTATTTACGAATTAAGTAAATTTCTAACTTGAAAATGAATATATTATTGAATTTTATTAGTTTAATTATATATTGTCTAAGATTTACTAAATTTTACTATTATTATTCATCCATTTAGATACAATATTGATAATTAATAGTTTCTATTAATATAGATATTTGATATGTATTAAAATTGTTATTATTAATCGATTCAGTATACTAATTAGCATTCAGGAATTTTCACTTTTTATAGGATAATTGTTTTTATCTATTTTCGTTTTTATATTTCACTTAAATACACTATGTTTCTTAATAAAATTTAGACAATTAAAAATTGATAAATTACAACCTTTTCATTTAATATCATTTATTCTAAAAAAATTAAATTTCATACATTCCTAAACCCAAATATATTCTCAAATATTGTAAAATTAATTGATATCTAAATATTGTATGTTGGCCCACAAAATACATTAAATAATTAAAATTAATCATATTAAAAATTATGTTTTTTAATATTACTTTAAGAAAAAAATTAAATTGTTTATGGACTATCCAAAGCTTGTATATATTAAGAAAGATTCCAGATATATTTCATTACCAAAAAATCAAAACTTAATTAAACAAATTTTTAGTTCCATTCTCTAAGTTCTAAAATTGTCTACAATGCTAAAATTTGACTTTAATGGAAATATATGTATGTAAGATTCATAATTTAAGGAACTTTATGAATTGGAAGATCAAAATAAAGAATAAATTGTTATTTACTGAAAAGATGAAGATGAGAAATATTATAGTGAAAATATATATTAAATTATGATTTGTAATAATTAAAGCAAAAGATTTATTCGTCCATTTTTCATCATTTTCTCAAAAGGTTCTTCTATATTGAAAGGATAAGTTCATATTAACAAATATGAAAAGTAAATATTGGCAAAATAAAATGACTAATTTTTAAGAGAATTTGAAGTAAAAAAATAAAAGGATGAGTTATTCTAATAATGAATTTATAGTAAAAGGAAATACAGAGAGTTTAGATGTAGATTATATTAAATTAAGATAATATGATAAAGATAGACTTATATACTTAAATAATAAATACTTTTATATAATTATTAGAATGTGATTCAGCTAAAACAAACCGATTATTATTTTATTGGATTTTAAGAATAAGAATATGATGGGAAGGCCAAAAAAAATAATTATAATTTTAATAGAAAAAGAATCTAGAGAAATAAGAATTGAAATAAAAGAAATTTTAATTGGCATAAATAAAATGATAATATGAAGATGATGAAAAATAAAAAGTTGGATTTAATCCAAATTATTAGAGGTAAAGAGTTTTAAAATATTTATTTAGGATATGAAACCATATACACTAAATATGAATTTTAAATCTATCTAACTAAATAGTTTAAATCTGTAAAATAATATGTTTTTTTATTATTTTTACATATCTCTAGAAATATTTTTGATATATATATAAATTATTATCAAATATATATTATTTTAATGGGAAATTGTTAGGCAACATGTTGCAACAAAGAAGGAGAGATTGTTGTGAAAGAAAATTATAAAAGTGATTTTGAAATGGATGATAATAGTGATGTTGTTAATTCTATTGTTTCCATTAAGACAACAAATCAATAGAGAGAAAGAGATAAATTTAAAATAGACCTTGAATAAAGTAAAAGGGAAGGAACCTAATTTTATTGCAATACTCGAACAAAGTTTCCAGCTGTTTAAATTGATAAAGATACTCTATATGAAGGAGAATGGTTGTTAGGCAAACGTGATGGAATTGGAAGGGTAGTTTGGTCTGATGGCTCTTGTTATGAAGGGGAATGGAAAGATGATAAGAGTTCTGGAATAGGTAAATTAATTCATGCCGATGGAGATATTTATGAAGGAGAATTTAATAATGATAAGGCAAATGGAAAAGGTGTATATACACATGTAAACGGAGCTAGATATGAAGGAGATGTATTTTGTATTTTGATTTAAATAGTGGCTAGATGCTTAATAACATGGTTAAGGTGTTGAAGTTTGGCCTGATGGATCTAAGTATGAAGGAACTTATGCAAATGGAAAAAAAAATGGATAAGGAATCTTATATTTTGCTGATGGATCAAAATATGAAGGCAATTTTGTGGATAATGAAATTGATGGATATGGAACTTATGAATGGCCAGATCATAGAATATATATTGGAGAATGGAAAAACAATAAAATGAATGGTCATGGGAAGTTGATGTGGAATGATGGCAGAAAATTTGAAGGGGTATAAGCAGTCACACTTATGAGAGGAATATGTAAATGATCTCAAGCACGGACCTGGGATTTTTGAATGGGCTGATGGAAGGAAATATGAGGGGTAGTGGATTGATGGTTCTTAATAAGGAATTGGCATATATCATTTAGGAAATGGTATCTAGAGATATGGTATATGGAAAAATGGAACTAGGTAGAGATGGTTGACAGAAGAAGAGATAGAACAATTTTTAAAGAATAAACAATGATTATTATTACCTTATTATCAATTTTATATATACTTTAAATAAATATTAAAGTCTATTTCATTTGAGAAAATTCTTATTTAAGTAATAATCTATTAAATCTATTTCTCTCATAATCTTAATACTATTTGTCAATATCTATATAAACAAATGTTTTTGATTTAGTAGCCTTAACATAAATAAAAATCTAATTAAATTGTAATTTCTTTTCTTTATAGACAGACTTAATTTTAGAAAAAGAACTTTACCCATCTTTTTCTGAGAAAAATAAGAATTATTAAATTAAAAAATATAATTATATTTTTTTATTTTAAGGTATAAAATATCCAATAAAAATAAGTTATGATGATAATTTTACAAAAATTATTCTAAAATATTAAAATTAACAATTGTTTACTAATCTTATGAAAATATTGTTATCTATAAAAAAGTGAAATATAGACAAGGATAATTAATATTTAGAGTATCATGTAAGAATGTAATTAAATAATATATCATAAATGTCATCGATAACAATTCCAATGATAACATAAGCTCATCGTCTTTAAAAGGACAGCTCCTTAAATTTTAAGACAAAGTTGTAGAGATCTCTTAGATTATCTGAGAAATATCATTGCAATATTCATTTGAAGAGAGAAGATTAATAACAAATCAGAGTATTTAAAATGAGAGGTGCATTCAACTCTTTTATGAGTTTAAGTCAAGAACAGAGAACAAAAGGGTTAGTTACAGTAAGTGATGGTAATTTTGCAGAGGCATTTGCCTTCTTTTGCAATCATTTCAAAATTAAAGGTACATCAATTATATTAAAAGGTAGGAACTGTTTTTTTGCCAGAAGTATGCTTTTAATGGAAAATAGAAATAATTTAGAAGTATGGAAAGGATTATGTTGAAATAAGAAGTGTTGGAGAATCATTTGATGAAGCTGAAGCTGCAGCTTAAGAATATATAAAATAGCATGATAAAATAATGATACATCCATGTGATAATGTTAAAGCAATCATAGGAAATGCAACAATAGTATTATATAATTTATTTATTTTAAAGGGCATAGAAATAATAGAAGATTTTCCAGGAGAGGTTGATTATGTTTTTGTTCCAGTTGGAGCAGGAGCATTGGCAGCTGGAATAGCAACTTACTTTAAAGCATTGTCTCCAAATACAAAAATAATTGGTGTTTAACCTGATGGAGCAGCATCTATGAAAGCATCTTTTGATGCTAATAAAATTGTGACAATTGATAGCATGTCTAGATTTTGTGATGGATCTGCTGTAAAAACAGTTCCTAAAATAACATTTGATATTTGTTAACATAATTTAGATGGTTTAGCAGTAGTACCTGAAGGAAAAGTAAGTTCAACCATTCTTGAATTATATAATTAAGGAATAGCAGTAGAACCAGCAGGAGTAATAATATTATAAATAACTTTTAGGCATTAGCAGTATCTGTTTTAGATCAATATGCATCAGATATAAAAGATAAAAATGTTGTCTGTTTAATATCAGGAGGAACAGTGGATCTTTCAAGATTTGATGAATTTAAAGAGCATTCTTAATTATTTGAAGGATTGAAATACTTCTTTTTGATTTAAATTCCATTCAGACCTGGTATTCTTAAGAGCTTTGTTAGTTTGTAATTATAAATACTAATATTAGATGTTTAGGACCAGATGATGAAATTAGTCATATTCAATTTTAGAAAAAAGCTAATAGAGAAAGGGGACCATGTTTGGTGGCAATAGAAGTAGCTAAAAAGGAGAACATAAAAAAGGTTATGGAGAACATGACTAAAATGCATTTATAATATGAAGTTGTAAATGATTCAAAAGAGTTGTTTGATTTATTGGTTTGATAAATTATAATATTAACGTATATAAAATATGTCTGTTATATTCGATTAGTTGGATGTATGCTTATTAATAAATACTTTAGAATATCTAATCACTTAGATTTAGATTTACTTAAGCAATCAAGTTAGGAGTCTCTCTATATTACATTGAAAATTGCTCATTAAAAAGACTTGTAGTTACTGATAATTAAATTGCATCATATAATGACTCTGAGGTTATAAATGTCTTATAAAACGTATCACAGATATGTTCTGATAGTAAAACTTTGTTTTGTTTACAGAGTATAAAATTATCTCAATTTTTAAGGTAATGGTGATCTATATTAAATTGACTAACAACCAAAATTATTAGTCTCTGGAAAGAACTACATGAGCATTACACCAACAACTGCTATTGATCATTCTGGTAGAGGATTCTTTTGGAAAAATAATAAACCTATCTATTCTCATTGTAAACATATAAGTACATATCAGGACAAAATGACATTGATTACAAGTATAATTTTAATTGATTAATTAAGTTGGTGGAAAGATTTTTAATATTGAGAATGGTACTCAAATTCCAATTTAATAATTAAATGGTTTAGGAGTTAATGGATATTTTAAGAAATCATTATTATTTTAATTTGGTGGTATTGCTATTACAGAAAATGGTGATGTTTATTGTTATAATACTAAAATGATTAAACTAAAAACAACAAATCTTGAGGATATTTAAGCAAGCAATAGATTTATTTTTGGAATTTAAGGAAAATATATTTTGTAATGGAATTTGGAAGATTTTCAAAATCATTAATTTTTTGTTAATTAGACTTTATTTAAAAAAATGAATTATGGTCATGAAATATAAATTAATTGTAAAAAGAAAGAATTTTAAGAGGTTAAATTTATATTTTCAGATTAATTCTCTTAATTTTGTTGTGCATCTGTTCAATCAATATCTAAATCAAATTAGAATGAATAATCTATTTCTGTTATAGAAAGGACTTTTTGTAGAAGTACTGTTTAAAACTTGAAATAATAATTATTTGATTAATGGGATCCACCATCTAAAAAGAAATCTTAAGAAGTCAGATAAAGCAAATATCTTAGAGGAGAAAGAACAGAAAGATCAGAAACAAGTAATAGATAAACAGATAGAATTGATAGAAAAGATGATGTTTCTACATAATCATAAGAATAAAAATAGAGATAATAAAATAATAATATTCTTGATGCTTTATTTGATAAAACTAATAAATAGGATAATATAGTTTAATAATAAGTAGAAAAACAAAAAGAAATACAAATTAATCCAAATTTCAATTTCAAAAATAGTTTATAAAAAAAAGCTGAAATCTTTGCACCTCTAGAAATTTCAAAATTAAATTTAAATGATAAAACTTAACAAGGAGACACTTAAACAATTAACAATTAAAATAATTAACAAAATTAACCATAATAATTATAAATATCATAATAGCAATAATAAAAGTCTGAGCCATAATTAGTTTAATAATAATAATAATAATAATAATAATAATAATAATAATAATAATAAATAGATTTATAAGAAAATAAGAAAAATATAAAGGCTGAATAATAATAAAAATTATTAAATGAAAAGAAAATAGAATAATTAGAATAACAATAAAAATTAGAGTAAGAATAACAATAAATCTAATAATAAAAATTAAAACAAGAATAGCAATACAAATAGGAATAATAATTGAAATAATAATAAAAATTAGAATAATAATAAAAACTAGAGTAATAATAATTAGAATAATAATAGTAAAAATTAGAATAATAATAATAATAAAAATTAGAATAATAATAATAATAATAATAATAATAATAATAAAAATTAGAATAACAATAAAGATTAGAATAACAATAAAAACTAGAATAATAATAAAAATTAGAATAACAATAAAGACTAGAGTAACAATAAAGGCTAGAATAATAATAAAGATTAGAATAATAATAAAAACTAGAAAAATAATAAAAACTAGAGAAATAATAAAGATTAGAATAACAATAAAAAGCTGAGGAATAATAAAAATTAAAATAATAGTAATAATTAAATTCTATTAACATGCCAAAATAATGTTCAGAGGAAATAAAATAACCTTCAAAATTATTAGAATAATATAAAAAATAATTTGATTAAATCTTGAAATCAAGTTATGAATAAATCATAGATTAATCAACTGAGCATTCAAAAGAAACAGAAGATCTTTCAACCATCAAACATATTAATCAAGAAAATATTTATTTCTAATAAAATACTATAAGTCAAAAATTATAATCAATTAGAGAAATTTATGATCAACCAAAATTTAAAACATAAAATAACAGTTTGTATACATTAGATGAGGAAAATTCAATTGAATAAAGTATGTGTTAAGAGGAAGATGATAAAGGGAAATTTTAATTGAAAAGATAAGCACTTTTAATTTAAGATATCTTTAATAATAAGGTTGATAATTAATTAGGATAAAATAAATAAGAATCTTTAAAACAATAGTTTTTAGCCAAAGAATTTTAATCTCCTACATTATCTTAAGATAATTCAATATAATTCACATAAATTTCTGTAGCAGAATTACAATTACCTCCTATTTAATCTTCATTAAATACTTTCTTTAGTAAATTGTAATTAAAACCAGAAAAATCCATAGATTAAGTTCTCAAGTCATAAACATAAAAAGAATAGATATCTGAAGATATTCCAAAATCGAATTCAACTGAATAAACATCTCAAATGGAGATTAAATAAACAAAAATAATAAAGTCATTCTTAAAGCCAGAATAATGTTAAAAATAAAAGAATGCTGTAGAAATAATGGATTAATAATCAGCTATTGATTATTAAAATAACAGTGACTTTATTGATTAATAACAAGATAGCTTTATGTAGATTTTACAAACAGAAAAAAAGCAATAAGAAAACAATAAAATTTAACATATTTTATCAATTTTTGATTAAATTCAAATATAACCAAAAAGAAAAAGTCCTCCTAAAATGAATTTATTCAAAAAACAAGACTAAGAAAATAAAATAAAAAAAATTGATATAATATCTGATTCAGATGGATAATTAGATGAGAATTTAACTGAAATAAAAAATATACTTAAAGAGAAAAATGATTAAATAATAGAAAAAAAATAATCACCTAAGAAAACTAATACAAAATTGCATAAAACTTTAGTTACATTTTCTGAAGATATTTCATAAGTCGAGGTAGAAGATAGAGTTATGCAAATTGTTAAAGTAGACTAAAATTTATAAACTATATATCCTAAGCATTCTCCTATAAAATCTAAATCTCCATTAAAAGATAATAATATTTCATCTAGCAAAAATCACTCACTCTAATTAAGTGAATAGAAAATATTGACTAAGATTAGTTTAAATGCAGATGTCAAATAACCTAATTTTGACACTAAAATTCCATCTATTCAACCTGAAAAAAAATAGACATCATTACATGTAAGAGTTCAAACCTTAAATTGTAATGCTATTAGACCAGAAAAAATATTTACTCCATTAAGAAGCAGGAGAAATAGTACTGCAAGAGGTTCTAGTGTTGAAACTACTAGATTTAAATAATTGTAGATTGAAACTTAAATAGTTGTTCCTGATGAATAGAATTAAACTCCTTAAATAAATAATTTTGAAGTATTGGATTTAAGTAATGCCATGTATCACATTAATCAAACATTAATTGAGGACTCTGCAAAGCATACACCAGTTGCTTAAGTTCATAATGTCCTCAATATAAATTAGCAATCTAACTAAAAAATTCTTAAGGAACCTCAATTAATTAGAGTTTCTTCAACCTCTTAAATACCACCTTCTCTAAGAACTAATAGTGTAGGACCAATTAATAAAAAAACAGAAGTATCTCCTATGAAGGTTTAAAAATAAGTAAAAAATGTCTCATCTTCTAAGAGTGTAAATGATGAAACTATCAAATTAAAAAAACGATAATAAGATATCATTTTAAGGAAATTATTCTTTAGATTAGATATCCATGTTAAACTTATGAAATTGGAATTTATGTTTAATCTAAAGCAGAAAACTAGAAAATGATGAATTTGTTATTATTATTTTATTACTAATTGAAAAATAAAACAGATACTGTATTTATAAATTTAGTTAAGAGATAAAAAATATCTTACTCTTATCCTCATTATAATAACCTTCTTCTAAATAAGTATTCTTAAATTATTTAGACTAAAAATAGAAATTTTATTTAAGTTTCAAAAACCTTATCTGTAAAATTTATTTCCTTATTTCATAAGTTATAATTCTTTCTTACTCAATTAATATGTAAAAAAAATTGATTGATTATAAATATATTCTTATAATATTCCCAGTTCTTAATTTCAAAGACAATTTGCAAATGAAAGACTTTAAATATAGTAGATTTTGAATTATTTAGTTAAGTTTAATTGATATAATTAAATTAAGAATTTTAGATACTAATCATCATTAAAAATGAATGATTTCTACATGAGAAGAATCATATAACAGATAATTTCAATCAAACAATTTATCCATATGCATCTTCTTTATCATCAAAAATTTGATTTATTTGTATATTTTTTAATTATTAATAAGTATATAAATATCAATTATAATTAAATGTCAGACGTAGATATTGAGGACACTATAAACAGAATTAAAAATCATAAATCAGTTTAAGGCATAGTGATTGTAAATCATGAAGGGACAATTACAAGGACAACTTATTTGAATGAGAAAAAGGAAGAAGGTAACTGTTATATTTGATTGTTTATTAAGGTGATACTATAGCCAAATCTATACCGATTTTAGCTTAGAAAGCTAGATCTTTAGTACGTGACTTAGACCCAACAAATGATTTAGCATTTTTAAGAATAAAATCAAAGTAAAATGAGATTCTGATTGCACCTGATAAAGACCTTTTATTGATTGTTATTTAAGGACCTAAAAAATAAGGAGAAGATGATTAATGATTAAATATATATATTAATATCATTTAAATAGGTCTGGCTAAACTAATAAAATATTTAACATTAATACATAATTTCATTATTATTCTATCTGTGACATATTAATCACCATTGCTTTTAGTTTTAACAGCACTAAATCTTCCTTTAGAAGAAATTGAAAGTTTTTCCTTTTATTATGGAATAATGTAAGCATTTTCTTCTTTTTGAGCAATATCTACTTTTTCTCTAAAGTGATTTAATGTAAGATGAGAAGTATGTAAATCATTTCTAGTCACTTTAGATTGACTTTGTGATTTAACAAAGGTTCTAGACTCATACATAACTTCACATTCCTTGTGTTCAGATTAATATTATTGGAATTGATGAATACTTTTTATTTCTTTATCTTCCATAGGAACAATATTTCTAATTTCAGAGGGTTCTCTAGAATTGTTGTTACAAAAAGGTAGAGTTTTAGGTAATAATTAAGATTTAATTCTGCTCCTTCTAAGTAATGTAAGATTTGGTGCTTGGATTTCTTCTTTATTTATCACTTTAACACTATTAATATGATTAGTAAAATTTCTTTGTTTTGTGCTTTTTCGATGTTCAAGTACTTTAATTTTCTTCAAAGTTTATACAAAATTAAAATCATTTAGAGTTCCTGTTATATGTTTAATAGGTTTATCTATTTAATATTTATTATTAAAGGATTGTTATTTTACTAATTCTATTGCACTTTCAATTGTAGCATCAGATCTCTACCTTATATTATTATTATAAAAAGGTTTTTGTAAAGTACGAGGCAATTATGCATAACCATCAAATTTGTCTGGTTGAGGTATATAAAATGGAGGAAATTAAGATAATGATTCTATGCTGCATGGATAATGACATGGATCTGGTTATTGAATTCTACTTTTGAATCCTTGTTTGCCAGTATAATCTAAACTAAATTTTTTAATGAAATCCCCTGTTTTTGTAATCTATTATGTTGCACCATTCACATTATTTATAAGAAAAAACTTGCCAGTCTCATAATCTTTACTATGAATAGAATTACTAATATATACCGAATCAGATGGGAAGCCATTTACAAAAAATTAAAATATAAAAAATCAATATTCACTATTGCGTTCAGATACATAATCTCTTCTAAATACAGAAAAGGCTAAATCACTATTAACTTCTAAAAAGTCTTTTTTAGTCTATAATATCTCTTATTCTTTTTTCTCTTTATCCTATTTAATCTTTCTTTAATTTTCAGATAAAAAGTCATTCTTGTCAGTTACAATTTGAATTGCAGGTGACCTTATTTATTAGGATGTCTCCTCTAAGGATTCTAATTATTATTCTCTTTTCTTAAGAGTTTCAACAAAATCAACCAAACGGTCCTTCTCTTCTTTACCTTTCCCATAGTATGTGCACATAATTACTTCGATATCCTCTCTAACTCTTTTTATTTTCTCTAAATCCATTCTTTCTTTTATCATTTATATTTCTCTAATCTTATCTTAAAGTTTATTTAATTCAAGTGAACTTTTACTAATAGCCAATCCTTAATCACTAAATGGTAAATTTTTAGCATGACCCAAATAATGTTTTAAACCCAAAGATTCAGCTTATTCTTTTGGTATCAAATATTTAGTCTTCTTTATCATATTATCTTTATCATTCACTTAAACCTTTATGATAGTAGGCAATTAAAATCCAGCCTATTAATGTTATTATAGTGATCTAGTTGTCTTTCCTCTTTTCAAAAAGTATTTATCATCTTGAACACTAGTCAATGTAAATTCTTAAAAGAATTTAAGTTAATCTGTATCAAATTATTTGAGTTTATCAAAAAATTTACTATGAAATCTCATTTAAATCTTAGCTTCTTTCTAGATATAATCTTTAAATTAATGAATCGATTACTTTAACTCATAAATTTGGAAACTTCTGCTTCAATTTATTAAGGAGTTAGTATTACTCTCTTATTTTTTAATTATTAATTTCTTAATGAATCTATTTTATTATAAACATGAAAACAAAATTGACAAACTGTTTCCTATTTATAAAAATTGGATATCTTTAAATGTTTAAAAAAAGAATTATTTGTAATATCTCCCAATGAATAATCTATATATATATATATATAACTATATATTACATATCCTTAATTTGAATATCAATTATTCAGTTGGTGGTTTATTAAGATATGGTTCTAACATTTTTATTGTTTTAAATCTTTCAATCATATCTAGAAATATAGATTTATATGTAATTTTCTTATGTGTTTCTTTCTCTCCTGCCATAATAAATAAAGAAAATTATTCATCAAATTCATCATAAAAAATATTATTGGTTGCATAATGACAATATAAACCAGCACACTTATCAAAGTTATGAACTTATTGTTTAACAGGATATAAGGTAGCTATTTCAACAGGTTCTCCATCAGAATGAAATTATATATTATCTAATCCTGTTAAATATATTTATAAATCTCCTTCAGTCATAAAAAACTCTACTTATAATAATTATATCGATCTTTATAGTCTCCCTTCTAAAAATCTAACCAAACTAAAAGCAAAATGTTCACATTTAGTATTCTATTATGCTGCTAATGATTTATCATATTCTTCCTTTAGCTAAACAGGTTTCTTTACTATATTCTCTTATTTAGAGAATTCCTCCTTTTATAAGGGAATTTATGCAAATCTCTTTCTATTAACTCTAAATTTAGGTTGATTATCAATTTGATCTTTCAAAACTGTTACTTAAAATATATGTTTAGGTGATTTTGTTACTCCACAACCTATAATCTTAGTCCAATTTGTAATGATTTCTGATTTCTCATTAGGATTTTTAAAAAGTTCATTAGCTACTTCTAATGAAACTGCCCTATATATGCGTCCTATTAAAATAGATGAATTGATAATACCTTATTATAATTTCTATTCAAAATGGAATATATAGCATTTGCAAGTAGTTTTTGATTCCTCACATAAACATGGGTTTTGTAATTAAACTTAATCCAAGTTATCAGATTAAATAAACTCACTTAATCTATTTACATTCTTAGCTCTACAATATGTACTAAAAACTCTCCATTTTAACCATTCATCATCATGTGTTTTAATACAATGCTATTGAAATTTAATATAAGAATTACTTTATCATCCATATAGAACCATTATTTAGGTTCTCCTTATTTTAAGATAATTGTATCAAATATTTTAAATCCAACCGAGTACATTGTTTCAAAGATAGAAGAATACTAATAATAGAATATTATTGATATACTGGCTGTAACATTTAAATTAGCCATGGTGTGAAATCTTCTTATTACATTTTTTTTAATATGTAAATTAATAAACAAAGTATAAGACACATTATTTACGGATCAACTTCATATCCTCGTCCTAGAGCTACTCGTTTTTTAGAATCGTAACTTACTGCTAGTTTGTTATTACAGAAATTACTGTACTTCAATGCATATTTCTCTTTATTATTCCTGTATATCACTTTAGGTATTAATATTCAGAGAGTATAATTTATGGTTTCATCATATTTAGCTTTGGATAGTCAAATCTAATTTAATGGATACATTGAATTTAGTATTATTGTTAATTTGGGCTGTACTTGAAGGGTTTCGTTTATCAAATGGATATAGCGGGAATATTAAGGAATAGGTATTAACTATTAATAAACTTAAGTTTCCAGAATTATTTTCATTTGTCCTCATCACAATTGTATCTCTTGCTCTTGAAGTGATGCAATATGTTATTCCAACTTTAAATTATCCAATGTAATTAGGACTAGTAATCATTCTAACAGTTTTGTACTTTTGTGAAATCATGATTGCTTTATCATCTCTATGCACTTAAAATAAATCATAATTGGCATTAATGAGTTTGAGAGTTCCTAAATCTGAGAATGATTATTAAATTAAGAAACGTATTGAAGTAATATGGATGTGTGAACATCTAGGATTTGAGGATTAAATAAGAGGAGAAATAACGTTTAATGGAACAAGAGTAAGAAAGGTTAACCTATCCAAATAATTATTGAAATATTAATTCAAAGTTTTTAATATAAACTCATTTTTTTAATTAACATTCTTTCTTTATCACTTTACTAATCTATAATTTACTTTTATTCAAGCTAATTATATTCAAAATTAAATAATACCAATTTCTTTTAATAATCTCTATTATTTTGATCAATATTTTATTATAACTATTAAATTTTTTATTTAAATGATATTTCCATAGAAGAATATTCCTCCTTTAAGGCAGCTTCATATGATTATTCAAACTCTTCCGTAGTTTTATATTTAGCCACAAATCTTTTATATAAATCATCCTATATTATAAATATGTTATCTCACTTTCTGACTCTTCATATTATCAACTTTTTTATTTAATTCTATAATTTCATTACTCGTATTTGTAAATTTTTATTGTACTTCACTTAATTTCAATCCTAGCTATAGATTTTCCTATTTATTTATTCAAAAGTTGTTTACATCTCTAAGCATAGTAACAAGATTCTAATAACTATCTTTCACTTCATCAATTATTTTATTATAATAGGAAGTAGGATTAGGAGGTAATTCAATTGAATAATTACTCAATTAACTTTGAGTTAAATTAGTTGAATTTGATATTTAATCTTATAATTTTTTACATTGATTTTATAATGATTTAATATCACTCAATAGTTTAATATTCTCATCTTTTAAATCATACAATTTTTTTTGTAAAATACTTTCACCATTTGATTGATTCATATCCCCTTTTTTCTAAACTAAATATTCAATAATTTCTAAATTCAAAAGACTCATTAAAAACCTATTTGGTAATATACCTTAAGATGCTATTTTTTAGAAGTAATTTGATTAAAAATTAGTAAAACATTATTCGTATTATAAATAATGTATACATTAAAGTTCTGTTATTTTATTGACATAAAAGTCAAAATTTTATATCATATTGTACAATTTAACAACAGNTATCTCTTGCTCTTGAAGTGATGCAATATGTTATTCCAACTTTAAATTATCCAATGTAATTAGGACTAGTAATCATTCTAACAGTTTTGTACTTTTGTGAAATCATGATTGCTTTATCATCTCTATGCACTTAAAATAAATCATAATTGGCATTAATGAGTTTGAGAGTTCCTAAATCTGAGAATGATTATTAAATTAAGAAACGTATTGAAGTAATATGGATGTGTGAACATCTAGGATTTGAGGATTAAATAAGAGGAGAAATAACGTTTAATGGAACAAGAGTAAGAAAGGTTAACCTATCCAAATAATTATTGAAATATTAATTCAAAGTTTTTAATATAAACTCATTTTTTTAATTAACATTCTTTCTTTATCACTTTACTAATCTATAATTTACTTTTATTCAAGCTAATTATATTCAAAATTAAATAATACCAATTTCTTTTAATAATCTCTATTATTTTGATCAATATTTTATTATAACTATTAAATTTTTTATTTAAATGATATTTCCATAGAAGAATATTCCTCCTTTAAGGCAGCTTCATATGATTATTCAAACTCTTCCGTAGTTTTATATTTAGCCACAAATCTTTTATATAAATCATCCTATATTATAAATATGTTATCTCACTTTCTGACTCTTCATATTATCAACTTTTTTATTTAATTCTATAATTTCATTACTCGTATTTGTAAATTTTTATTGTACTTCACTTAATTTCAATCCTAGCTATAGATTTTCCTATTTATTTATTCAAAAGTTGTTTACATCTCTAAGCATAGTAACAAGATTCTAATAACTATCTTTCACTTCATCAATTATTTTATTATAATAGGAAGTAGGATTAGGAGGTAATTCAATTGAATAATTACTCAATTAACTTTGAGTTAAATTAGTTGAATTTGATATTTAATCTTATAATTTTTTACATTGATTTTATAATGATTTAATATCACTCAATAGTTTAATATTCTCATCTTTTAAATCATACAATTTTTTTTGTAAAATACTTTCACCATTTGATTGATTCATATCCCCTTTTTTCTAAACTAAATATTCAATAATTTCTAAATTCAAAAGACTCATTAAAAACCTATTTGGTAATATACCTTAAGATGCTATTTTTTAGAAGTAATTTGATTAAAAATTAGTAAAACATTATTCGTATTATAAATAATGTATACATTAAAGTTCTGTTATTTTATTGACATAAAAGTCAAAATTTTATATCATATTGTACAATTTAACAACAGTTTCATTTGCATCAGAACAATTACAAATTTGAATAACTCTTTAAGGATCCAAACATTTATCATTCATTTTAATATTTGAAATCCATTGTTTTATTTTTTAAGTGTGATTTTAACTCAATCTAGATTATTGAATACCCAATTTATTCAGTTTTGAAATTTCATCTTCAATATTTAATAGATCCATCTTAAGTGAAGTTTAATATGCTTATTCACTCATTTCATATGGAATTATACTCACTATTTATTCTTAATAAGCACTCTATGGACGAAAAGAATGAGATGATCTTAATTTAAGTGTCTTAAAACCTGTTCCAGTTTTATTCATTTATAACATAAAATTAAAATGATAAAAAAATATTTTAGCTTTGATTTTCAGGTTATTGGAAAAGTATACTAAAATATATAACAATATCTTATTAATTTTATATTAATTATACAAGGTAATTATGATCATCAATTAAAATAGGAGTATTCTTTAGAAAATTTACAAAAGAGCAAGGAACTAGTTTAGGATTAGTAGGATGGGTTGAAAATTAAAAAGATGGATCAGTCAAAGGAGTTGCTTAAGGTGATCCAAAAAAGTGTGAATAAATGTAAAATAATTTTTAATTCTTAATTATCTTAGGATTCATTGGTTATCAAATGTTGGATCTCCAAAAAGCAAGTATTTGAATTTAATTTTAATTTTAGAATTGAGAAGATGATCAAAACAAATGAGAGGGAAATAGATAAATTATAATATAAAGATTTCTCAGTTAGAGATGATAAAAAATAGAAGTGATTATAAAATATAAATATTTATACCATAAGCAATTACATAAAGTTTTTAAATTAAATAAATTATCAGCAATAGAATAGTATTTATTCATTGTAAATCTAATTATTGTTATTAAGTTTTTGATAATATTTAAGTTAATTTATTTATTTTAAAAACTTTAGACTATTTGAAATGCTATTTCATAATAGTGTTGATAATCTTGAATAATTTATTTTGGAATGAGATAAATTATTACAATTATTCCTTAATCTTGTGATTTTAAATATTTATTTTATTATTATTTATCATTATTTCATAGCAAGACCGGCTTCAGGAATGAAGACTTCTAAGATACTCTTCAATTCAGCATCATCTTATTTGCTTAATTCACCAGTACTAAAGATATTATTATAATAAATACCTTCTAATTCTTTCTAACATAGCTGGGAAATTAGTTCTGAGATGAGTGAGGAATTTCTCTTCGAATTTTGCAATTTCTGAAGTTTATACTTTATCCAAAAATCCTCTAACACCAGCATAAATAACACAAACTTATTCTTCAGCACACATTGGTACCTAAAATTGTATTCATATTAAAATTTACGTATTATTTTTATTTAAGTAATTCAGTTAATTAGGCACCTCTATTTAATAATTATTATGTGGCTGCATCTAAATCTGAACCAAATTAAGCAAATGCAGCTACTTCTCTGTATTAAGCCAATTCTAACTTAAGTCTACCAGCAACTGTCTTCATTGCTTTAATTTAAGCAGCTGAACCGACTCTTGACACAGACAAACCGACATTGATAGCTGGTCTAATACCCTAAATTTATATTATATTAAAAATTTACCTTNCTATTAGATTTTTTATTTGAATGATATTTCCATAGAAGAATATTCTTCCTTTAAAGCAGCTTCATAAGATTATTCAAACTCTTCTGTAGTTTTGTATTTAGCCACAAATCTTTTATATAAGTCATCCTATATTATATAAATTTTATCTCACTTTCTGATTCTTCATATTATCAACTTTTTTATTTAATTCTATGATTTCATTACTAGCATTAGTATATTTTTATTGAACTTCACTTAATTTCAATCCAAACTATAGATTTTCCTATATAATAATTTAAAAATATTTACATCTCTTAACATAGTAATAAGATTCTAATAACTATCTTTGACTTCATCAATTATTTTATTATAATAAGATGCAGGATTAGGAGGTAATTCAACTGTAATATGACTCAATTAACTTTAACTTAAAGTAGTTGAATTTGATAATTAATCTTATAATTTTTTGCATTAACTTTATAACGATTTGATTTCATTCAATAGTTTAATATTCTCATCTTTTAAATCATACAATTTTTTTTGTAAAATATTTTCACCATTTGATTGATTCATATCTCCTTTTTTCTAAACTAAATATTCAATAATTTCTAAATTCAAAAGACTCATTAAAAATCTATTTGGTAATATTCCTTAAGATGCTATTTTTTAGAAATAATTTGATTAGAAATTAGTAAAACATTATTCGTATTATAAATAATGTATACATTAAAGTTCTGTTATTTTATTGACATAGAAGTCAAAATTTTATATCATATTGTACAATTTAATTACAGTCTCATTTGCATCAGAACAATTACAAATTTGAATAACTCTTTAAGGATCTAAACATTTATCATTCATTTTAATATTTGAAATCCATTATTTTATTTTTTAAGTATGTGTTGAACTCAATCTAGATTATTGAATACCCAATTTATTTAGTTTTGAGATTTCATCTTCAATATTTAATAGATCCATCTTAAGTGAAGTTTAATATGCTTATTCACTCATTTCATATGGAATTATACTCACTATTTATTCTTAATAAGCACTCTATGGACGAAAAGAATGAGATGATCTTAATTTAAGTGTCTTAAAACCTGTTCCAGTTTTATTCATTTATAACATAAAATTAAAATGATAAAAAAATATTTTAGCTTTGATTTTCAGGTTATTGGAAAAGTATACTAAAATATATAACAATATCTTATTAATTTTATATTAATTATACAAGGTAATTATGATCATCAATTAAAATAGGAGTATTCTTTAGAAAATTTACAAAAGAGCAAGGAACTAGTTTAGGATTAGTAGGATGGGTTGAAAATTAAAAAGATGGATCAGTCAAAGGAGTTGCTTAAGGTGATCCAAAAAAGTGTGAATAAATGTAAAATAATTTTTAATTCTTAATTATCTTAGGATTCATTGGTTATCAAATGTTGGATCTCCAAAAAGCAAGTATTTGAATTTAATTTTAATTTTAGAATTGAGAAGATGATCAAAACAAATGAGAGGGAAATAGATAAATTATAATATAAAGATTTCTCAGTTAGAGATGATAAAAAATAGAAGTGATTATAAAATATAAATATTTATACCATAAGCAATTACATAAAGTTTTTAAATTAAATAAATTATCAGCAATAGAATAGTATTTATTCATTGTAAATCTAATTATTGTTATTAAGTTTTTGATAATATTTAAGTTAATTTATTTATTTTAAAAACTTTAGACTATTTGAAATGCTATTTCATAATAGTGTTGATAATCTTGAATAATTTATTTTGGAATGAGATAAATTATTACAATTATTCCTTAATCTTGTGATTTTAAATATTTATTTTATTATTATTTATCATTATTTCATAGCAAGACCGGCTTCAGGAATGAAGACTTCTAAGATACTCTTCAATTCAGCATCATCTTATTTGCTTAATTCACCAGTACTAAAGATATTATTATAATAAATACCTTCTAATTCTTTCTAACATAGCTGGGAAATTAGTTCTGAGATGAGTGAGGAATTTCTCTTCGAATTTTGCAATTTCTGAAGTTTATACTTTATCCAAAAATCCTCTAACACCAGCATAAATAACACAAACTTATTCTTCAGCACACATTGGTACCTAAAATTGTATTCATATTAAAATTTACGTATTATTTTTATTTAAGTAATTCAGTTAATTAGGCACCTCTATTTAATAATTATTATGTGGCTGCATCTAAATCTGAACCAAATTAAGCAAATGCAGCTACTTCTCTGTATTAAGCCAATTCTAACTTAAGTCTACCAGCAACTGTCTTCATTGCTTTAATTTAAGCAGCTGAACCGACTCTTGACACAGACAAACCGACATTGATAGCTGGTCTAATACCCTAAATTTATATTATATTAAAAATTTACCTTGAAGAACAATTCTGTTTCTAAGAAAATTTATCCATCTGTAATAGAAATAACATTTGTTGGAATATAAGCTGAGACATCACCAGCTTATGTTTCAATGACTGGTAAGGCAGTTAAAGATCCATTTCCATTTTCAGCATTAAGTTTAGCTGCTCTTTCTAATAATCTGGAATGCAAATAAAAGACATCACCTGGATAGGCTTCTCTGCCTGGTGGTCTTCTCAATAATAATGACATTTATCTATAAGCAACGGCTTATTTAGAAAGATCGTCATAAATAATAAGAGCATGCATTCCATTATCTCTGAAATATTCTCCAATAGCACAACCAGAATATGGTGCTAAATATTAAAGTGGAGCAGCTTCTGA